ATATATATTTGTGTATGAATATTTCAATTGAAATTGTAATATAGAATATTTTGTCGTCAATTACAAACTTTATTTACAAAGTTTACAACTTAGTCATTACAAAACATTATAATAATATTCGAGAATGATAATAATATGATTATATAAAAGATAAGATTGAGAATTATAAAACTGCATGTATCAAGATATTTTAAATATATAAACCTAATTTATAAATATGTTATTTAATTTAAATGTTGATGTACACATTTTATTCATCATCATCGTTGTCCGGAAATAGTCGTTCTTCATCTTCCCTTCTACTTTTGCGTTGGCTTTGAATAGTGGATAGTAACATTATTAATTTATAAACAAATAATTGTGAACTTTGTATGCAGATATGCGTACATTTTAATAAAATAATTACAAATATGAGAATCTAAAGTACTTTTTGTAAAAAATCTTAGTTAATTTAGTAGAGTACTAAGTCCTTTTGTTTTGTTGCCCGTTGGATTTGCTGTTCCATGTGAAATTCTCAGCCAAATTGTTACACATCGATGATAGCATAAATCGATGAAAGGAATCTTAGATTTTGTCCACCAACAAATTTGTTGTGTCGTTGTTAGAAAATCATAACAGCATTACAAAGACATTTCAGATATCGAATAGTTATTAGATTATGTCATACATCAGTGGAAACCCTGTCGGTGGCTCAAATGATTCTTCTTCCTCCGTATCTGATTGATCTGCTTTTCTTCGTAATGCTGCTATGTCTAATCTGTAATGATGTAATATTATTATTACCGATCTCAACGTTTTTCTAAATATCACTCCGAATCATTTTCTACTTATACCTATTGGTCGACCTTCTGAAGAATTATTGATATTAAATCGATTGGGTTCTGCTGAGTTCTATTGCCATTATCAGGCTGTTGATGGCTTAGAGTGCGTCATAGGCGATGATCTTGATTGTGGTATTGAGCTAGAATGTTGGACTAAACAGGTTGTTAATAGTGGTGCTAGGTCGACTACAAAAGGTAAATGCAAAAGATGCATTGTTTGGTACTGGTGGTGGTCCAGAATAAAATGGTTCTGCTGGAGATAGAATATTTGATGCTGATGGTGTTTGATACTCATGTAGGTGGATACATGACTGTATAGATAACAATACTAATGATTAGAAAGTAACGTCATTACATTAACAAAATTAGTTAATATTCAAAATGCGACAGATAACTTCTGTATTCAGACTAACGCAATCATCCCCATCGTTTTTAGCCATCAGTATAAAATATTCGAATTGTAATCCTTTGAATTGTTGATAAGTCGAATTCCAATTAGTTCATGCAACTGGTCAATTTGAATGTTTATTAAAAGATTTTATCTTGGAAATTTTTTGTTTTATATTGTAGAAGTTCCGATTTTCCGAATTACGATTACGTAAGTGTTGTAATAATTTGCCTGGTTTTTTCAAGAATTTTCTAAAAAACGTCATATTATCTTCATATGGGAAAGCAGAATATTTATTTAAATTTCCAAACAGTTTAATATCATCAATGTAATAAACAAACATGTAACAACCCGTGTATGTTGTAAGTGAGAAATGTCGGTCCATAAATATCATAACAATATTCCGCATAAAGTTTTTAAACTGAATATTTAGCCCTTAAATAGGGGTGAAAGTTCCGAAAAATGTGTTTTTAATTTTTTGAAGGGAAAAAAAGAATTGTTTGGATAAAATGAGATAGCCATTGTGCAGAGCGGGAGAAATCCTATCCCCTCCTCAAATGGCTATAAATGTTCAAGAATTGTTCAAAAATACAGATGAGCAAAGTTGACAAAAAAAGACATTTACAGCAGAGTAAAAAATCGAAAAAATTAATTTTTTGTCAATATTCCAACAGGGAAATGTTCAAAAAATGATTAGAAAATTCGATACTCTACAATATATGTGTACATTTTTTCGAACAAACGAACGGTTCTCGTTACGCAAGTAGTGAAAGGTCAAAAAATGCACTGTGCCAAATTTTAATTGTTGATAAACGATAGTAAAAATCATTTTCAAACAATGAAAATTGGCACAAATGCTCTTCTCGTTAATCTCTATGAGAAGCCGCTATCAAAAAATTTTTTCAACTCTTTTAAAATTAATGCATAGGGAATTCACACTGCCCTTGGACTACTGCTATTCGAATTTCTGTAAATGAATACGTGAACTTAGTTTTGCTTATACTTCTATACAGCGATAAAACTGCCTCAACTCCCATAACTGACAAAAAAATAATTCTCCTTTTATTTAAGAATATGCACTCTTTGGGTACATTTGAGATCCGTGCATATTCAATTTTAGTATTTTCTTAAACTTCTTCGAGAAACGATCAAGTTGGTCAGTTTGTGTGTAAAACGTAGATGTGTTTTGAGTTGTGATGTTTTTTTACTAAATTTGTGATAATAGTGTCAGTGATATTGTTTCTGATGGCGAATAATTTTCTAATGTACATAAGATGTGTGAAAAAAGAAATTTTACAATATAAAATTTTATCGAAAATAAAAGTAAAAAATATCCCAAAAATCTGTTAAAATTTAAACAGAAATACTAAGGTAAAATTTACTCAAAAATCAACAGTAAAGTAGCTTTACCAAACTGCTTGCTAAATTTTACCCTCACATTATAGTTAATTTTTCAAGAAAAATTTTCTTAGTGTATGTTCCTGTATTCGAAATACTTAGAATTAAATTCTACTCCTTCGGTAATTGGTTCGGGTACAAGTTCAGACTCACCCTGTATACGTATGAGGAGCTGGAGTCTATTTAACTACAGTAAAAATGACGTAGAACTTACAGAGAGTAGCAGATAAAAAGGTTGTACTGTAAATTTGTTTAGTAAATACTTTTCTGAAAAAATGTTTATTGAATAAAAATAACAATAATAGTAACATAGTCAATTCTTTAGCATTAAAAAAAAATATTCAGAAGCTAAAAATTTTGCAATAAAATCTAATTGTAAAAGTATTTATTATGCACCAATAAAAAATTAATTTCATTCACATGGTGTATATCACACTCTATTTTCTATTGAAAATAAAAAAAAGTTTTTTTACTTTATTTTCTCGTATTTCTATGATTTCAAAACATGGACAATATACAAGGTGACACACAATGATGCCTCTTCAGTGTAAACATACAAGTCACCAATATAATGACACAATATATATGAAAAAAGAATGCTTTTGTCAATCTTTGTTGTTATGTAGAAAAAAAATAATCAACACTTTGATTGTCAATCCCACGTGTATTATGTTTATTATCTCATGCAATCGAAATGAAATACTAACCCAAAATGAATACAAATGTATATAGGAAATAATAGAAAGTGCTGAATAAATATTTGTATGCATTTGAATATCATGAAAACTTGTAAAGTATGACAAGAATAATATTATGACGAAAGTGGAATGATGTCCTTTGTTTAAGCAATTTAATTACTTTGATAAGTTTGATTCAATCTTGTGTTTACTGGAGCACTCTATCAATTTAACTAGGTATCTAACTATCATTCTAACTAAATCATAATTTGTACTAATAAATTTTTATCAAAAACTATATTTTATTTAAAAAATATTCACTTGTCTTAAGAAATTTTGACAATTACAGTTTTTATTAAAATAGCTATATTGTTAGTTATTATTGTCAAATTTGGATAATTCAGAGCTCATTTTCTCTAGTTTATGAGAAATTTGATGAAATTGTTATTAACTTCCCAGTGGGAAGTTATAGTAATGGGTCCGATTTTGCGAATCGCTAATTTTGACATATCTCCACGTTTTAAGGTCCCCAGAGTTGAATACGATAGTTTTTACGTGGACGTCTGTGTGTGTGTATGTACGTATGTGCGTATGTTCGTACGTGCGTTCGGAATTATTTTTCGCCTCGATTATCTAGGGAACAAAAAATGATATCGACGTGGGACCAACTGCATTCGACGCGTAATTACGTAACTTAGAACTGATTAGATTTTCAGCAAAATCGGTCCAGCCGTTTTTGATGCAGAATCAAAAAACTGAAAAAATAGTGAACTACCTAAATTCTGCAATTTATAAATTATACCATTTTTTAGACGGAATTTCGAGATCTTTTGAAAAATATAAATATCAAATGTTTAGAATAATTGTACAGGAATATGATGACAGTATTTCATAGAAAAAAAATTTTTAAAAAACGAAATCAGCAATAAAGAAATTTTAAACTTGTGTTGGGATGGAGAAAATAGCGTTGAGGATAATAAAATAGTCAATAATTATTGTCAATAATATGGAATTGTGTTCATAACAATTGAACATTGTTACTAACAAGTGATTATTGATCATAGTAATATTTAAATAATAAGTTTTAAATTGTTATAAACAATAAAAATAGGGACCCTTTCTATATATATATGAGTACTTTTAACGCATAATTTTTCCGTTTACTAAAAAAATGTTACCAACCGTATGCCATAAATGAAAACATACTTTTTTCGTGTATAACAATGAAATTCGTTGTAAATAATGAAAAAAAGGATCTATGAGGTACATTCGAATTCTTCTAACGCACAATTTTTTCTTTTACTGAAAGAAGGTAACTAACCATATCAAATGAATCTAAACAGACTCATTTCGTTTATAACAATTCCATTTGTTATAAAAAATGGAAACGGGTTCTATTCAAATTGTTTTTTTATTTTTTTCACTGGGAAGTTGATCGTGTGGACCTTTTGGGTCGCACCCAGACCACTGCAGAGCACTGATATTTTTATTATTATATTATGTACATTTTCAAAAAATTACTAAATATCAAATGAAATGGTATCAACTTCGATTTAACTTTCATTCTATGATAAATGATCAAGTTGTTGATTATAACATAAAGAAAAATTACAAAAATATTTATTAAGCTTTATAATTAAATTAAAATAACATAAGAAATATATTATTATGATATTATACATATATGTGATATTAATAGTAAATCGATGTTTTCAGGTGGTTCATGGGGTGCATATTGAACCAGCTCATGTAGTAAGAAAGCGAAGTATTAGTCAGCCTTTAAGGATTTTATTGTCATACGATGAAAGTGTTTATCGGTAAGTATTATTTTATTGATTTTTTTAATAAATTATTTTTTTAAGAATAATATTACGGAAAAAAGGAATTTAACTAAAAAAAAAAAGAAACATGTTTATTTCATTTGAAAAAGATTATCAAGTATAGTAGAAATTGGAAAACAACTTTCAACAAGAAAGTTTTTAAAAATTGATATTTTACTAACAGTTGATGAAAAAGATTCCATAGTTCATATAAAAGCAATCTAAAATAAATGTAGACCCTCCAAATCCATGATACACCCTTTATAAGTTCTTTTTGCTCTACAATTTACTTTTTTTTCATTTAAAAAAGTCAAAGTTTTCCAATTTTTTCTTAAAAAAATAAACAAAAATTTATTGATCATAAACTTAACTTTGACTAATTAGTTAATCAAATCAATTAATAGAATAGTTAGAAGAGCCAAACAAAATATTTAAAAATACTATTTTTTTTTTCTGAGACTCAAAAAGCAAAAAATTAAGCATTATTCAGACCTATAATCATTAAGTCATCAATATTGCCCACAAAAAAAAGATTATTATTCTCTCCACGTAACATTGTGTCATTCGATGAAATAATACACTGTCATTTCATGGTGTCCAGTCGTCAGAATGCGGTAAAGAGAAAAAGAGATTCTCAAGCATAGCATTAGATTTCACTTCTTCCAAGATTCAATTCAGGTCAAATAAGCAAACATTTAAAAAAATCACCTTTTTCCCTGCATAAGTAATTTAAATCGTTGTCTTTTTATTACTATTATTATTACTACTATATTTCATTTTGTTATATCAATATAAGCCGTACCAAGTATAGAAAATAAAGCCAGAATGTTGTTAGATGTCGAGAGTTGCATTGAAAACGATAAAAAAATCACGCAAAGATGAATAAGAGTAAAATTTAAAAGAATCATAAGCAGATACATTTATAATGAGAAATTCAAGTTAATTTTTGTTAAATGAAACCGATTAAGTTGAGTTAATTATTTTCTATTGTTACTGAAATATAATAGAATAAAATAATATTCTAATAAGTTGACTTTTAAACATTAATTTAGAACAACTAAATTAAAAGGAATAAAAATTATCGCATATTGTAATAACTTTTGATGGACAAATTATTCATGATTAAGAGGAAATGGAATATTTAAATTAAATGATCAACTTTAATTTCCTTTTAATCATCTCACTTTGTTAAAATCCCTTGTTCTCTTTATATTAATTTTAATCTCATCCCGTTTTACAATTTTCCATCCAGCTATATTCAACTAAAATGTAAGATTTTGTTAAAAAAAAATATGCTCATCAATTCACATTTTACATAAATTCAGTAATAAATTTAATCTGAGATTATTTTTATCTTGAACTTGAAAGATCTATTTTTTAATTTAATATCAACACAAGTGGCTTAGTGCCGAATGGAAAAAATATATTTTTATCATATATTTTTTGATTAATTGTTAAAAAACGACTATTATGGCAGAAATTTGACAAATATTCCTCATTATAAGCTGTGAGCTTTTTGATTATTCACTTTATTATCCCAAACTTTTTACTCTTAAAATATTCTATACATAAATTCATTTTTTCTAGTTAGATACAGTGTTTTTTTTTAAAGAATAAAAGACTATTAAAGAAGAGCCTATAAATCATCATGACATGAAGTGTAAAGTATATTTTTTTATTCAAAAATATCTTGATAGTAAATATTTGATGTTAATTTAAATATGTACAGTTTAAAAAGGTACATCTCATATTGATTTTATAGTGTGTAATTGAAAATCTGTTAAAATAAACAAAAAATTGATCTGGGAAAGCTTCTGAAAAATAGATTTAACAATGCCTATATACAAGTAGATTTTATTTCTGAAATATTATTTTTATCTTGCAGATTAGATGCAGAAAAATTTGATTTAATTAATGTAAGTATTTAAAAAAATACAATTAAAAAAAAAATGATCATTAAACAATGAATTATATTTTTATTTATTCAATTTTATTATTTGTGTTATAGAATACAATTTTACCAGAAGCTGTTCATTTTTGGGAACGAACATTAATGGTACGTGAAACGAGAAATACCATTCGTTTAAACAGGTAGGAAAATTGAATAAAAAACATCATAATACTATCAATACTATTATTAATAAATATTATATTATATTAAGTTTATTACTCTTATTAATGAGTTCATTAATTGGTTTATTATTTTTTAGAAAATGTGAAAGTAATCAAATTTTCGTCAAAGATCATTACGCTTATTGCATCGATTCTTGTCGAGCTACTACCATGTGCGGAGATGTTGTTGTACCAGAATCTCATCTTGATGTAAATATTATATTATTATTTAGCCAATAACGAAAAAATTTTTTAAAAAACATATTTTAACGGGAAACTGTTTTATCGACATTTATTAATAGTCGGTAAAATGTCTGTCTGAGTTACAACTATAAATGATCGATAAGATATGGATTCTGTCGGCAGAAATTTTATTTATCTACAAAAATGTTTTTTTTAATTACAGGTTTGTCGAACTTGTAATGCAACAGGTCACAATTGCCGAGTCCAGCCCGGTAGTGTTGCTGGTGAAGGTATCAATGGCGCGGATTTCGTATTTTATGTATCAGCAATGCCAACAGAAAGATGTCATAGTGGATTAACAGTTGCTTATGCTGCTCATTGTCAACAAGAGTCTGCTCTTGACAGGTAAAGTCAATTATATCCTAAAATTAACATATGCAAAAATATATGTTAATAATTTTCTTCATTATTCTAGGCCTATTGCTGGTCATGCAAATTTATGTCCAGGAAGTATCAGTACAAAACCACAAGAATTAGAAACATTACTAAGCACTGTAAAACATGAAATACTTCATGCTCTAGGATTTTCTGCTAGTCTTTATGCATTTTATCGTGATGAAAACGGTGATCCTCGTACTCCACGTCGTAGTGATACTGGAAAACCGCCACTAAATGAAAAGTAATAATTTATTTATTAACAAAAAAGGACCTAACAACCTAAGTCAGAATCTCTTTTAATGATATACAACAATGTACCAATTTAGTTAATATAATGATGAAACGTGATAATGTAATATTATGTATAAAGAATCTTAGTAGGCATGATTAATAAGCATTATAAATGATGTAAACAATTATACAATTATATTATTATAAAAATTATTTAAATTTATGGATTAGACTTCAAACACACCAGTGGAGTGAATCAACAATAAAAACAATAGTCAGACCACAATGGCATGTTCGTGGCGGCACAGTTGAAAGATCAATGCAAATGATCGTGACTCCAAAGGTCAGGAAAGAAGTTCGTGAGCATTTTAAATGCCCTGCTTTAGAAGGAGCTGAATTGGAAGACCAAGGAGAAGACGGAACTGCATTAACTCATTGGGAAAAAAGAGTTTTTGAGGTAATTTTGTAATAAATTTTTTTTTAAACACTGATTATTGATTATTTTATTGTTATAGAATGAAGCTATGACTGGTACTCATACACAAAATCCTGTCTATTCAAGAATTACATTGGCTTTAATGGAGGACACTGGCTGGTACAGTGCTAATTACTCGATGGCACAATCATTGAGATGGGGTCGACATTTGGGTTGTGATTTTGCAATGAAATCATGTAAAGAATGGATATCAAATCGTTCATCACGACTTTTGTAAGTAAATGAAGATTTTATTTTTATGATTTAATGTAAACGTTTTCTATTTAAAAGCAAATAATCTTTACGAATTAATTTCAAATAATTCAATATTCTTTATTGTTGCTTTTATATCTCAGGAAAACTAATTTTACGTAAGTTTAGTTTAAAAAAACAAATTGAATAAATAGATAAAATAAAAGTTTCGAAAAGAAAAGAATATTTATTATGAAATTTATTGATTTTAGAGCAAAATCTATTCATCCGTTTTGTAATAAAGTTAAACAAGATCCACTACAAACTGAGTGTACCGATGATCGTAATTCTGTAGCTCTTTGTAATCTTATTGAACATCCTCAGCCTTTACCAGTAAAATATCAGGTAATTTTTTATTTTTTTATACGCTTAAGGTATGACGAAAAATCGTAGTCAGCCCTAAAGAGGACAATTAAACTAGCTTAAACCGCATATTTACTATCCTCGCCTTCGGCTCGGGTTATAATTTTACACGTAGTTTGAGCTAGACTACTTTCCCTCCCTAGATGTGAAATTTACTATTTTACTCACTAGAATATAAAGTACTTATTTTTTGCATTTCTTATATTTTTTGACTTCAGTATACTAAGAATAATTTCAGCTGTACACTGACCAATCAGTAAATTATACAAAATTAACAGTAATAATTGAAATGAAAAAATACAACCTTTAGAGTGTATGAAATTTCAAACAGTGCAGAAAAATAAAAAAATGGTAGGGAAAAGTCTTACCCCTGCCCAAAGTTAAAGTTTGTTGCCTGTTTTTGAGGTTGGAAAAATGACGTTCTCCCCTCGCAGAGAAAGGCAACACCTATCTGGGCATGCGCACACACTTTTTTGTCTTTATATGCGGGATACAATACGTCATTTTGAGACCTACAAACATGGAGCAAACTTTAACTTTGAAACTTTAATTTTAACTTGAGAAAAAATAGTATGTTGGCCATGAGAGCAAATTAAGGTATCCTTATGTGGGGGTTTACCACCCTCTCTTTTGGCTCGGGATGCGATTTTACACCCAAGTCAGAATATTATACTTTGCTTCCTTGGCTAACAACGTACTAATTTCACACTGGTGTGGAAAAAAATTTTTTGCAAATTATTTTTGACGTGAAACCTCTTGAAGATCGTATAAGAAAAGCTATTCCAGAAACTTAGGTCATAATAAAATGGAGATGGTTGCCGATACATATTATATCATCATCAAAAACGGGATTTTAAAGCCGAATCAATAAATATTAAAAAAAAAATCTTAATTTTTGAACCGTATTGACTTGTCTATAAACAAAACTATATGTCCATCTATCTTAGTTGTAAATATCTTTCATAGACATTCCTCATCAAACTAATAATTGTGCATTCTAATATTGCTACTCTAACTTTTATTCATTTTGTTTAGAATTTCGATTGGATACCTCACGTAAAAGAGGGCAAAGAAATATATTATGGTGGTTCAGTGTCTCTGGCAGACTACTGCCCTTATATACAGGAATTTACATGGAGATCGAAAAATATTGTTGTAAGAGGCTCACATTGTCTTTATACAGAAAATAATCCACGTAAGTATTTCAATGTATTTATTTGATTGTTTAAATCATTTCACTATTCTCAACTTCATATATTAAGTATTTATATGATTCATTTTTTTTTTAGATCCGGAAAAAAATTTTGCTTTAGAGCATTATGGAGCTCATTCCAAGTGTTTCGATCATACTGATGATATGTGGGAGGAAAGGACTTGTAAACAAGCTCGACAATGGCAGCACTGGGGTTCTGGATGTTATCAGTATAAATGTGAAGTTGGGCGATTACACATAATTGTAAATATCGATTTCATAATAATTTTACTTATAAATCTTTCATACAGTACCAGACATAAATGCTGTTTAATTTTTTAAAGGTTATACATGTGATTTCCCTATACCGTCTCATAGAAAATCACACAGCATTTATGTCCGGTACTGTATAAAGTATTTGTTTAGAAGCGAATTTTCATCTGAAAATGAAGTTTAAACTTTTTTTATTAACTCAAACTGCTTTAAGCCACTTGATTCATTCTATTTAATTTTTTGAAATTTATACCGGTTGTTTGAATAACTAATCGTACGAAGAAGTATCTAACTGAATATAAAAGTAGTAATAAAAAAGTTTTTTTAATTGTATTATTTCTTTTCACTTTTTGCTTATAATATTAATAATATAACTATTTATTTTATTCCCATAATCTTATGGTGATAATAAAAATTCAAAATGGCCTATCTTTTAATTAAATTATTGCTTAAAATATTAAAAATTTAGAAAATTATTAAAAAGAATTTAAACTTTATTTTCAAGGAAAATTTTCGCTTCTGTATGGAAAAATTTTATAACAAATTATTAGATTTACTTAGTAAACGGTATCTATATCAAAATCTTTACAATAAATAGAGCTTTCTTTGACAATCATTCTTTATGGATTCTTTTTTCAATATAGACTAATACTTTTTGGATAATCTTGATAATTACTTTTGTTTTTTAAAAAAAAAATTTTTTTCAATTCTAGGTAGCTAATTATACATATACTTGTTATCATGCTGGTCAAATATTGACAATAAGGATAATTCAAAATGACTGGTTACATAAAGGAGCACTAATTTGTCCTCCTTGTCGCGATATTTGTCAAGCAGAACTTCAAGCTAAAGGAGAATGGTGTAAACCAGGAGATGAGCATCCTCCTGCAACATTTTATCATCGTGATAATCTTATATGTAGTGCTTCTTATAATCTTATGTCGTATTATCTATTCATAATTGTTGTCAGCGTTACTGTGATGTTTAGATAAAATTAACAATCTTTTTTTTTTTTTAATTTATTTTATAAATTCATTCATTTACATTTAAATTAATCCATTAACATTAAATTTTAAAAAATTTGTTAATTTTTTTTTTCTTTAATCTGGTCTAAGTGAACCCCAGAAGGTCCACACGACTAACTTCCCATCATAGTTTGCCTTGGTTTCAGTTTTTTTATTTGGCACCAAAACGATTACACTGATTTTGATCAAATTCAATCATTCAATTTAAACTCGTCCTAAGTTAAAATCATCATTTGTTCTCGGAATACACGAGACAACTAAATTGATAACGAACAGACACCCTTTTAAAAATCATAGCATTTGACTCTAGGGACTTTAAAATGTTTAGGAATGACAAAATTGAGAATTTGCAAAATCGGACCCATTACGATAACATCCCACTGGAAAATTAAAAAAAACAATTATCACTGACTCCCAACACTCAAAAACAAATAACTCAAAAGTTTTTTAAATGGCTTTATTTAAATAATATAATCATAGATAAATCAACGAATAAACAATCAATAAACAAATTGTGATTAATAATAGTCAAATTAACAAAATGATATTAAAGTTAATTAATGATTAACTACTCAACAACTGTCAATAATAATTAAGTGAACATTTTTTAAAAATATTCATATGAGATATTCCATCAATGAATTAATTTTTATTTTCATAAGTTTATATTATTAGATATAAGTGACGCTGATTTTATTTTTTAGTATTAAATATTTTTTAATATCTTAAGATATCCAACAATGCAGTATCAATATTAAGTATGTACATTTATTTATATATAATTATATGGATACAATTATTAAAATTGAATCAAACAATTTTAACATCATTATATACATTATTTAAATTAAAACTTTATTTTATAAAAAAAAAATGCAAATTTGATTATTTTAGTTACAAAAATAAATATTTATAAGTAATTTAGTCATTTCTCTTTTGACGTTAAGTCGTTAAAAAACCGTTAAACATCAATGTTATCTATTAACATTCAAGTGATATGTTATCAAAATCAAACTAAAACTATAAAAGATGAATGCAACATCAAAATTCTTACAGAATTTCGTAATACAAGTGTTTGTTACGTACTTTATTGAAAGAATACAAAGACTTGTGACAGTTATTTGGAAACTATTTTAAGAAGCAATCGTTAAACTTCAACTAACTTTTAACTCAAATCATGAAGATAATAAAAGAAAATATTGTCAGCAAAATTATAATATTCAACTGTATGCTATTAATAAGTTTTTGTCAAATAAGTGGTATGATGGTGAGAAATATAACAAATATAGAGAAAGGTATTTTTATTTATTATTTTAAAAAATATCATTTTATTAAGATAGTTAAATTTCAGATCCTGATCAAAGTATCTTAATTCTATTTTTATTAAATTTATCAATTAGTTAATTAATTTTATTAATGTGATTGATTAATTTAGAGGGACATCATGTGAGCTTCAACCATTTTTTTCCTCTGAATGTTGAGGAAAAATTTATCAGTGAAAAACAAAAAATTGGCTCCTGTGGCAATTGTTATATTGAAAGTGATCATCATAACCATTTAAATCGAAGAAATGACTTGAACTGGTATGATAAGTGTTTTGGACAGTTGCAATCCTGTGCTGTAATCAAAGCAAGTCATTTTTTGAAATACTTTTTTTTTTTGGCAATTTGTATTTAAATCGTTTGATTGTTTCAATGTAAATGGATTTTAGGATTCATCTGGAAATAATGCGAATCCAAGCGACTGTACCGGAAGCTGTGCATGTGTTTGTTATACATCAGATCTACCTGATGATCAACAACAAATTGACTCTTTATGTCTTGATCCACTTTATGTAGATGTTTCCCAGCAATAGTAAGTTCATTTTTTGAGATTTTATTTTTTCTTACGGCATGCGCATCCGTAATATTGAGTCCTATATCACTCCTTATTTCTATTTTATTTAATTGTGTTAACTTATAAACAATTTTACTAAGTAATAAAAAATAAAAAATTAATAACAATATTATTTATTTTTTTTTCCAGTGTTATTACTGGAGTCCGATTTACAACCGTCAGAAATATGGTAATGTTGCAAATTCAAGAAGGAAAACTACAACACGGAGGAATCATCGCTCGGGGTACCAATCATTGGGTACCGCCATCAAGAAACTGCACCAAAGTAGCACCTATTGTTCATGATGAAACATCCTTTGTTTTTGATAACATAACATTCCCATCTGACTACGCACTTACTGGTACTTTAATAACATTTATACAATCGAAAAGTACAAGTACTTTTATTTCATTTATATTATTTTACAGGTATATCATTCAGAAAGTGTGTAGAATCATGGGAACATATGAATATAAAAATAAAAACCATTAGAAACTGTAAAGATGATTTTATTTTCCTTACTGCTTACGGAGCTAGTTTCGATGATATTCTAAGAGGGTACAATGGTAAAATACTTGAAGGTGAACGAAGTGGTGCCTTAAGTCTCTCAGGAAGGTAATATCTGTTGTTTCAACTCTGTCTCAAAATTTGTTTTCACTTCAGATCACAGTTTTGATAAGTTGTTAAGTAGATTGTTCAAGCAGTAAACTTTTTTTTTATTATTATTAAAAAGGAATTTTAGAATGTATTGAATATAAAAAATTTGTTTCTTAGGCATGATTACACTAAAAAAGATATGTTGATTCCAACGAAAGCTGAAAAACATGATCAACAAGAAAAGAGAGGAAATTTCGCGACATTCAGATCTACTAAACGTATATCTAATGATGCTGTACCAATTATTCCTTACATTAGTACTCAAGACTTCATGGCAAAACCAACGAGACCATTGGTGGGCATAGAAATGATCTATTATGGAGATGATCATCATGGTGGATATATTTCACCTGTTATTTATATTAAATAAAATTAAGTTAATAAAATTAATTATTTCAAAGAAATAATGGAAATAAGTCACATAAAAGTGGAATAATGAATAAAAAAGATAGTTGATTAATAAAGAATGTAATCTTTTGTTATCGAGTTACACGTGGAAAAGCTATTTTGATAAGAGTAATAATAAAAAAATATTATCAATATTCAGTGCTAGTGATAAAACTGATATTGAAAAATCATAAAAACTAGTATTCATTTGTGCATTTATTATAAAGTTTTTTCTTATTGTTGCTTCGTTATTTCATATTTTTTGTGAGCTCTAGATACTACAAAAAACTTGATACTTTTTTATTAGTTTATTTAAATCACTTTTGATTTAAAAAGAAATTATTTATTAGAAAAAAACACAATTAGTTATCTTAAAACTCCAATTTTAAATGACATTTACGAATGATCTCGTTTTTGTTGTATTTTATTTATTCACATTAATTAAACTCATTCATAAATTTTTATCTATTTAAACAAACGTGTGTTTATACAAAAAGACCCTTTGTTGATTTAGAAAATTATGAAACCATTTACTGTGAAAGAGGAAAAAAAACACTCAATAATTTTTTTTAAAATACTTTTTATTGCCATTTTTTTTCATGAATCTATGTCATTTATTTGAAAAAATGTATTTTTGACTTTTTGATTTTAATTTTCTTATAGTCTTAATAATAATTTAATTTATTCCGTTAAATTCATGTAGATGTGTGATTAATTATTATTATTATTGCCATGCTATGTTTCAATATATTTTTATAATAATATCAATAATATTAATTAAAACTTCTATTAATATTAAGCAGCACTTCAAATACAACATAGTTACTGCATTTTCATTATCCGTTTGTGCCAATGAGTTCTATAACATTATTTATTATCAGCTATTACAGCTAATAGAGTGTAAATGTACGCTTGAATGAATTTTTTTAATTGAAAATAACCAATGGCCATGCCATTAATATTTCATTAATAAATAACATTAAAAAAATTCTTCTTTTTTATACATCTAATTATACACTTAAGTATTTTCACCATTAATTATATCAACAATTTTGATAATAAAAATTATAAAATAACAATTATATTGACAATGTTTATAATTATTCTGTACATTTAATAGGCAGTGGTATGATTCAATATTCATTAACATGTCATTATTTACAACATTTAAAAATTCTTTGTTATATATATATATATATATATATATATATATTTTTTATTTTTATATTATTTATGATTATAGGTTAGTTTTACGTTATTTATTATGAATAATAGTTATATTTTTTATGTTTATTATCTCTCAGACTATCAAAGTAATTTTTTATAACAATTGTTTCTATTGTTTGATATATAATTAATTTCATTACCTGGTATGTTTAGTCCGGTCATTGAGGTTCTCAACTAATGTCGATTAAAAAAATTTAATATTTTTAAAACAATTGTTGATAAAAATATTACTATTTATGGTTGTCATTACAAAACTACCAAAAGTCTAATAACTAACAGACTCATCATCATATCGATTTTAAATATCAAAGACTATATTATGTTTCATTCTTTTTTTTTTAATTTTAATTTCATAGAAATATGCATCATTGTTAGGTAATACTGGTTTTAAATGCATATTCAGTGTGAAAATTGAATGAAAATGGCTGATAATAGTATCAATAATACGATGCTGCCACACAAAGTATTAACTACAATCATCAGAGAATCCGAAATCCTCTGTTTGCGTGGCAGCATCTTTTCCTCACGTTATGCATATATCGTTATCGATACTTGAGTAATTCGATTCCCATGGTAATGGTGGTGTTGCTAATGATGAATTGGAACATCTTGCCATTGAGCAACGATCTATAGAGCATCGATCTACACCTGTGACGACAAGCAAAACTGTTTATTATATTGATTGTATAACAATATGAATTGTGCAATAAAAAAGAAATTCAAAAAAAGTAATACAAAATATCGGTATCATAAAAATAAATGATATACTTGATAAATTGCGAAATTCAGCTAGACCAATTTTGCTGAAAACTAAATGAGTTTTAAGTTGCGTAATTATGCGTCAAATGCAATTGGTCTTATAGATTGTATACGTTACGATCATTTTTTGTTCTCAAGATAATCGAAACGAAGAATAATTTCGAACGCACATACATACACGCAAACTTCCACTTAAGAACTGTTTAAAAGTGTGAATCAATACATTACAGAATAATAATTAGCACAATTAAGTTTACCTGACATATCAAATCCTCCAATACTACAAACGTCTAAGCCTCCAGTACTAGTAGCACAACAATTTTTTTTTGGACCCAATGGTTTTTGTCTACATAAAATCTATAAATAAATACATGAATTATTTTAAAAATTTACAATCATGTAATAATATAAAAGTTAATATTTACGTTAGTATAAATAATTTCACGAGAGATACGTCGGAAATGATTGTTGAGTAGCCAGTAAAGGAATGGATTCCAAAAGCTATTTGAAAGTGCAAGCCACGTGGCAAGGAAGTCAAGAAATGGTGGTGGTTTACTTCCGGTACATGCAACCACTACTTCCTGTATGGTCCATGGTGTAACCATTACGATAAAGCCCAGACTCATTGCTGCCATTGTTCGAGATGCCGATGTTGATAGTCGTCTCTCGTGAGCAACGAGCTATAAATGAATTACACATTATGCTTCTCATTATTTTTATTACTTAATAAAAATTAAAAAATATAACAAAATGTATTATAATGATTTTTGTCAATAAATATAGTCAAGATAAAAATACGACTATTGAAATGACAATAAAAAGAAAGATTAATTTTGAAGTATGTCTATTAGATGAAGTCTACTTTAGATTCGTGTTGACTTTGGATACTCTGTTGTTTGCATTGTCCATGTATGAATGTGTATTTTCAATGTATGTTATTAGTGATTAATACATAAGTCAGATAAATTCCAAATTACTAATCAAAGTTATTCGCAGTGAGTACAAACACTTGAAGGTGTTGAACGATTAAACCCTTGAGTACTTTTCTTTGTTTAATAATTCCAATAATTTAACGTATGATTAGAACCTGAGTAGAAATAAATCAATTTAAATTTCGGTGTGGAAATGATCAAAATGATCTAAAAATATAATTTATACTCGAATCATATATTTATGTCCATCATTACGACGATTTTGTTGAATCGATTTCAAATACTAGCTATTGACGTCATTAGAATGCATAAATCGCAAGATAATTAATAAATATAAACAACTAATTGATAAATATGCACAACTTCTATAATAATTATGCTATGCGGCTCATTCAAGGCTCACTCAAAAGATCTAAATGTCAGCGAGTTAATCGATACCATCCTCCTTTCTCCCAGTAAAGTCCGTGGTCAAAACTGCCGTATCTATCATAGTTTCCGAGTTATAGGTGTTTAAAGATCTTTTTATGGTTCGCTGTAGCATAAATCAGTTTTCCGTTAATACTTCTTTTTCTATGAGATCTGCGTAGACTATGAATATATAAATAGATTTGTGAGAGCGAGACCTTTCTTTCGTACCAATTTAATTCTTTTAATGAATCGATTCTGATTTATCCAAAAGAGATATAACAATTACTCATATAAAAATCCTACTCCCCCTGCAAAGGTATTATCAGATCAATCTCTCGTTCTCCTCTTCCTCCGCAATAAAATAAATACAGTATAAATAAAGATTTTTTTTGTGTTCAATCTCATATCAAACATTATCTACAATACATCTTTTGTTGTAGAGATCATCTGATAGTTGACATTCTTTCATAACTTCTTATTAGTACCAGTTCTACTATTGACAGATCAGAAATTATTATATTATAAAGGATGTCAGGACAATGTGTATTGAAATTCTGTCACATACTTATCAATTTTCTATTCTTTATATGACATAATTTGTATTTTTTCACATATATTTTTGTGCAATAAATAACATGTATAATTCAAGTAGTATAAAATTACTTTGGTCAGGTATTAAACACTTAAAAATAACTCCTTATAGCATAGTCTAATTTCAGTTCATTATATAATTTTTTGTATAATTACAATAGTATAGATTAATTTTTGTTAGACATCGTTAATAAATATTTTAGTGAGTAAAATTGCGTATCAAGTGAGCCTGTGCATATAATTATAATTTTCAATATATTTACATTTGAAAAATTTATTTTCCTGATAGATTTCTTAATATATTTTACACAAAAAATTTAAAAAAATGGCATAAAAAGTACAATTCATCAACAATCGATACAATTTATTGTATGCTAATGAAGTAATAAATATAATGACAATTTAATATGCACAATATAATAAAGCAGCAAAAGAAAAGTGAGATGAAGATTTTTTCTTCATTTCGTAATATTGTGACAAGAAAATTCTTATTTTTGTGATAAAAAAAAATCCCATAAAAAGGTAGACTAGTGTGAGAACAAGGAAAAGGTGAAGCTATATGAGTTGAAGGACAGAGGATTATATAGAACAAACTGATAATAATACAATCGGTGAAGTGTGAGCGACAGACAAGAGAATATCGTGAATTTTCATGAGCTTTCTGCTCTCTCTCCCTCTTTCTCTCTGTCTATCGTATTTTTTTCTCCTTTTCAGTCTATCATATTTATTTTTCTTGTCTTCGACTATTTTCATGTTGAAAATAATATATTTCTTTTCATTTTTTCATTTATTTGAAATGCATAATAAATATTTTACAAGCAATTTATTCCTTTCGCTTGACCAAAAATATGCTATTGTGTCCAAAAAAGATAAATTAATAATTCTCGCTTGTAAAGTAACAAATAATTTTTTTTTTATTGAAATATTCACTTCAACGTTAACTCTATATGTCTCTTTTACGATTATTATTTTTTAAACCATTTTTTTTCAAGAAATATCTTCTATTTTACTCCAACAAACTCAGAAAAGGCTAATCTAAATAATAAATTGAACTTTTTTTTCTTACATGCCTTTTTTATTGTAATAAAAAAATTTTTTTTTTAAACTAACAACACTACTCAAAAGCTCACATGATTGGCGATTCCAAACGCTGATTGGATATTCCATTTTGATAATCGGTTCATAAGTTATCGATTGTTAAAACACTTCTCGATGTCAAACCAATATTAAATAATACTACTAAAAATTAAAAATTAAATTCAGTTGGAATTATTTTAAACTTATCTACTGTTTTTAACAATAAAAATATCGACTCTAATGTATTGAAAATCAACCAATTTTTGAAATAAAAAAAATATTTATTTAAAATCAGATTTACTACTTACAAACTTAATAATGTAGGCAATGGAGTTTCGCGTTCATTAGTTAAGGTTTCTGTACAAGTTTGCACGGTAAGTAGAGATAAGGGGAAACTTACTAAACTTGGCCGTAACTGATAAGTTGGTCTAGAAGACAGTATAGTTAAAGTAAGTGAGTCAGTGAGTGTCTGAGATAGATTGGTCTGACGTATGAAGAATGTCAACTATCAATTCAATAGATGTAAGATAATACCATAATATTATACTTGTCAAATAATTTTTTTTCCTCAACCTATGATCTAGACATCTCATATTAGTTAGTTTAGATCATCACATACCCTTTCGATATTACCACCACTCACGACCTCTGGTGTGTTGACACAAACAACCCTCTTGAGTTGTAGTTTATTAACGTGGAAAGCTGATCCGTAACAGTACATTAAGACCATCGTCGTGGGAAAATAAAAACAGCAACAGGCTAATATTCTAATAAAAAGACAACCAAGTTAATATTACAATTATGATAATATTAAAGAATTAAAAATGTTTACAAAAGGAGAAGTTTATATGAACAATCCTAAAATTGTGGTGTTATGATTCAAGTCAATTCAAGTAGGATTAGTTTACGTAAAAGTAAATTTCATTTTTTATTAAAATGATAACCTTTATAAAGCTCTAGTACTTTCATTCCATATGGAAATAAACAGATAAAGATTCACAGCATTAAAATTCTTTGTAAATTCTTACATTGTTCTGATTTATGTTGCATAGTTTTAGAACATGCTACATGCTACAAGTACAAAGATTTCTCATATTATTATTCAACGCTCGACTATTTTATTTATATTATATAATATAAATAGTTTATAACTGAGACTAGATTTATCTTTTAGTTTTTATTGATTAAATAAAAGGTTCATAAAGACACTGTTTTAAAACAAGGATGATTAAAGTATCTAAAATGCCATCAAGGGAAGAATCTCTTTAATAATGTTCAATTAATTTTTAAAATAAATACTACTTATTTGAAAGAGATGGTGCACTGCAAAACAAAACGTGAATAATTAATTTCTCAATTCATTAATTAATTATAAATGATTGAAAAAAATGTTTTCAATTTTATTTGTATATAAAATAAGTATTATAATTCTATTCAGAAAAAATCTTTTTTTAAAAAAAAAAATTACTCATCTCTGAACACTTTGGAAAAGAAGTTTAATATTTTTGACCATTAATGTATGGGATTAATGTAAGCTGCTTAAAGAGTTATTAATATTTTTATTAAATTTATGAAAATCGTCTAAAAAAATTAACTTTACTACGAACTTTTCCTTATTATTTATAAACATTGTCATTGATAATTATTATTACTGTTATTGTTATTATTTATTCACTAATAATTATTATTCAAAATAGAATTTAATTTGTTGAATTTATCCAATTATTTAAAGTAAAATCATTAATAATTTCAAAGAGATCTATCCTACTGGTTCACCAATTGAGGTATACACCACATTTATTTACCTGTACTACTGAAAATTAACTTATAATTAAAAACCATTCAATAATGATGAAAAAAGTGTTTTGTTAGCAAAAATTTACCTAAACGACGCTCGAGCAAAAAATGGATCACAAGCCAATAGTCCAGAACTATTAAAATAATATCCTCCACTGGGCAAAACGAGACATCCAAAAATGGCCACACTAGCAATCCACGTTGTCGAGATAACTGCCATACAACCCTGTCTCATAAAATACTGAAACAATAAATTGACAAGAATTTAAAAAAAAAATTGTTAATAAAATTCACATAGCATATATACATTATTGAATAATATACATAAATATAACTGTTTTTAGTAGTCGGTGTGAAGATTGATCAAAGTTACTTAATAATTATATTTTAATTTTCGACATTGCTTGAAAAGTATAATAGAATTTCACTAGGGATTGAAGTGATACATCATTACATATTTCATCAATTAATTTAATTATTATTAAATTATTAAAGAGATGAGTGAATGAAGATGTTATGTAATAAAATGGAAATTTTTAAGAGTTTACAATGAATGTTGGATGATAGCGAAAACCAATTATTAAAAAATAATAGTAATAAAAGTTTAATAAAATGATATGTTAATTGTTGTATGCTTAATCTTTTGCCGACAATAAGAAAAATTTCATGTTCGCTTAACAATTTGAGTGTAGGGGGGGGGGCTGAGAAGCGTATCAACTTTGTATATAAAAAAATTTTCAATTTTCCAATTGACGAAAAATATAAAGAATACGAAAAAAAATATAAAATACCATTCGTTATTATTTGCTTTATTTTATTTATGTTCATGAAAGAAATAAGGATTACAGAGGGACTCCTATAATTTCGAATCACTAATTTAGATTTCCCTTTTTTTTCTTTGGCGGAGCAATCCTCCTACTCTATGGCGTTTCCCTTATTTCCTTTTTAAGCATATTTTTAGGTTATAATTACAACATGTGTAGTGAAGTTATAGAAATTTTTTTGTTGTCATTTAATGTTAATAAAATTGAAAGTATAAATAAATTGGAATAAAAATCTGCAATCTCAGACATACTACCACATTAACATGACACGACTACACCTAAAGAGAACAACGACAATTGATTAAGCCTCCTCCACTACTTACATCACGATTCCTTGGACTTAATACCGGCAAAGAGTTAATATTGCATCACATTAAACTCACATTTACTTTATTATCTATATATGTATTCGCATAGATACAAATGAATTAACACCAATTATTAATATAAAATAAAGTGGCACCACCTCTTATAACTAAGAATAAAATCTGTATATTAGGTGATTTATCACTTAAGCTATCACAATATTTTAATTCCTTAGTTTTCTATGCATATCAATGCTCATCGTGTTCTGATAGTACCTTCACCGTCCTTCTTATTGAATTAAATACAAGTAAATAAACCAAATCGCTATATTAGTAAATAAGACTGGTAGATGTTTTTTTTAGATAATTACCTAAAATAATTATTTCTTATAAAAATAACAAAGCGATGTGTTTTTCAATTTATGCGGAACAAAAATCATATAATACTTATTGCAGAATTTTTCTTTTTTGCACAATTTTATTTTTTTTTACATAAATAATTTAAATTTCAACTGGCGAACATACTAATTCTTACAATACAGTACATTTATTTTTTTAATACAAGACATGATAATGAAGTTAATTCAAGCCTAAAGACTTTACGTGCTGTTAAACATAAATTGGAATTCACTGTTAACAATCATAATAGCGGTCGAATGATCTCTCGAGAGAATACAATCTCGTGATAGGCATCAAATTGGCCGATTATCGAAGACAATCGATTGAATAACCGCAAAACAATTTTGTATCTCATGTTCCTCGTATTCTCACCGGAGATCAAACTGCCTTTTTTTTCATTTTATTTTCATTCAATTTTTTATCAATTTTTATTATTCATCAATTATGTAGTTACCTATTTATTTATTCTCACAGTTTTTTTTTTCCTAGTTTAATCAAATTTTTTACATTTTCCCAGTTTCAACTGAACTTTGATCATAAATATTTCAATAAATTTATGACGTTGAATGACACTCAACATTTTTTTTGTTGCATATTTCGACATTATTTACATTTCATTTACTTTTTTATTATTACCTATTAAATATTTTTGTTTTTGATGGATACATGTAGTTTTTTTTTTCAAAATGTTTTTTATTTGTATTTTAACTGAAGAAGTTATCCTCATGACAATTTTATTTAATATTTTTTACTTCAATTGGATATTTAGTTTCAAGAGTCTTGACATGAATACAATAATAAAAAAATAACCGAGTTTGGTACAAAAGATGTATATTTTCACATATTCATGATAACGACAATCAAAATAACATTTTATGACATATATGAAATAAACGTTGGTGGTTGTTTTGTGGCTACAAATCACGTTAATTGTGGTCAATTCAAATGTCAGTGTCCAGATTGAAATTTATTTTTTTTTATAATTAACATTTTTCTCTTGTTCTTAATTATACTTTATTTTATTTCAAACGATTTATAGTTTTTTTAACGTCAAACATTATTCAATCCAATATTTTTGATTTGAAATAAATAAAATAATTTTATAACGGATGATCGATGATGAGATATATATATATTTTTTTTATCTCCAAAGCAAACAGAAAGATTATCGAAAAATATTCAGTAGTATAACTTGATTATAATTCGACGTAAAAAATGTTACGTTTTGCACGAGTCTTTATCAATGCATAACTTGGAGTTTTATTATTAAATCTAAACAAAATTTTGTTATTTTTGGGCATTATTTACCTGTAAACAAATGCATTCAACATTGAAATTCTAGTTTCAAAAATTAAAGTATGGTAGTGTTTGAGATCGTCAATCGGGTGAACAATAGAACAAATAATATCAATTGAGTTTAGAACTGCAATGAAACAATAAATATTTACTTATCAAATTCATCATAACACGACAATAATTTTCTATAAATTTTTACTAGTCAATTTAGAGTAAAATTTACTAACCTAAACAATTAAAAATTACTAGTTACAAGTAGTAAAAAGTGCTGTGTTGGTTGGTAAAAATTTATAAATTCAGAAATTCACTTTCTATTCAATATTCAATTGCAGTATAAATATTTTTGATAGATATATATTAATTTTAAAAAAATTTGTGTTTGCCTTTTTTTGATGTTCTTGAAAATATTTTCTATTTATTTAAATAGATTTATCAGCTTTAAAAATTCCAAGAAGTCAGATTATATATTAAACTCAAATGGATGCACGACGAGCATGAGGAAATGACGGAAAAATTATCGGTTAATTATGTTCCGTTGAGGAAACTACAAACTAAATCTATTTACGTCATTTTTTTTTTTTTTTAATTTCAACAAAAAAATTATGTTATATAATAAATAATAAGTATATTGACATGTAGTTTATAATAAATGTAATAATCCCAATTTTCAACGGAAATATAAAATAACTTCCGCAGTTATTTTCTTGAAAATAAATTCTCAGTTTTTCCACTCACTTCTAATAAACACATATAAATTAATTGTTACATATGAAAATAATTCGTAAAAAAGATTTGATTTTATTTTGAGATAAAATATTTAAATTAAGTCAGCCAGCATTTTAATCCATTATTTTAATCTGTAATTAATACCTTTTTAGCTTTTAAATTTACTGATTTTAATGGTTGTCTGAACAAAACACCAGTTATTTTCTCTTAATTGATTGTATGTATTGTTAAAAATAATTCAATATTGAAGAAGAAGGAATTTATGATAAAAATAAATACCTTTTTTGAAGAATGCCGATGATAACGATGGGGATGTAACATACAAACATAACGATCGATCGCCATACAGACAAGGATAACAGCACTTTGTTGAGTAAGTGCACCACGTAAAAGTGCCTGTAATACATAAAAAGGATTTTAAAGTTAATATTGAAATATTAAAAGAAAAACATCAAAATTAAATAAAAGGATTATTTTAAATAAATATAAATGAAATAAGTTGAAAATTTTAATGTTCCAATTGGGATCTCAAATTGACTATTTAATTATTTTCTTTGAAGATTCATAATTAAATAGTGTTGTAAATCGGAAAATTACAAAATCGATATTTGTCCATTGAATGTAGTCCTTTCCATTAAATAACAAAACAGTTTTTTTCAAAAATATCTTTCAACATTAATTTTCGATACAAATTACAATTGATCGATTATTTTATGTCTATATAATATATATTATTATGTAATTATATCATTGGTATTATTAATTGGTTTTAATATTTTTAAATAAATAAATAAAAAAGACAAGTTCGAAAAGAATAATAAAATAAATAAAAAAATTTATTATTTATATATATTTTTTAATTATCTTGTATTGAATGGTTTAGATGTGTAATTAAGAAGAACTTAATACACGAAAATGGTCGATAAAATCGATATTTAATAGTTCGATTAAATGACGTTGTAATTGGATTTAGCTGATGGTTTACTTGTAGGTAGCAATAACTTTCAAGAGATCATAGATGTAGCATACATGATAGTAGAAATAGCACATACAGTATACAGTATATGTCCCAGTTTGTAAAGATATTCTAGCCACGCCTTGAAATTCGACTCTACTGGCATGTTTCATTTGATAGAATCATCTATAAATTAACCTCGTGTTGATTATAGACCGTAAGATGATAAACATTATCCTCTAAATACTCATCTAAATATTTCATCAATTCAATTAACATTTCTCACATATCACTTTTAAGTCCTACAATTTATTTCCTCATCGTCGTCCAGGTAACAATTTAAAATAATCTTACTTGAACCTTTTATCATCAGAATAATGATTTATATACCGTCAACAGTTTTGATTATCTTGTAGTGCACAAACATCCTGAATCCTCAAAGTCGACCAAAGATATATTTAGAGTCCCCAGAACCGCAAAACAAAACTTGTCAAAAAAGCCTCGGTTTACGTTACATTAAGAAAACACATTTTTATAATTTATTAATAGATTTAATTCAAACGAAATATTAAATTGGATAGGTTATCAACTTTATTTCTGAACTTTGATTGATTAAAATTTAAATAAAACCTCACACAGTTAATTGAAGCCAAGAAAAGCAATCGGATTGATTCTACAGAAAGATTGGTGCTTAGTCGGTAAAAAGACCATTGAAAATCATTATTTTTAGCACAAAAGATGAATATGAAATATTTTTAAACTGATTCAAGAAAGTTTTATATTCTTCAAAAGAGACAAAATTTTCATTTATACGATGTAGACTGATGGTAAAAAATAATTATCACTCAATTGGTAACAAAAATTATTGCAACTAATTTATTTTAATCTTTACGAATGTAACAATGCCGTAAAAGTTTCAAACAGTTGTATTATAAAAAAACCTACTATTTGGAAATGATTGTTAGTGAGTCGGTAATACAGAGCATTAATAACATTTATTGGGAACTTTTCTTATATTTCAGATGCCATCGAAGTTGAGAATAATAAATGGTTAAAATGATCGTTACTCTGTTTATGCACTTATCGTAATTTTGAATAAAGAAATACTTCAAATTAAAATAATTTCTTTTATAAGTTAAAAATAAAAAATCTACTTAAATAATAATATTGGACAAAAAACTCTACTTAATCGGCAAGGAAGATTCCAAAATGACTAAATTATGATGACAGTTAGATTATGTTGCTATATATTAAACTGTTCACTGATAATTGATGATAAATGTAAAATCGACCAGACATTTTACCGATAAAACCACACACTCACACACTATTGAGTGAAACAAGGGTGAAAGAAAAAAGATCGGAAGCTGTTTCAAGAGTCGATTCAAGGACACACTAGTTCCGTTTACCATTTAGTCGGATATCACGGATATTGGTTAAAGGTTCGCTATCTTTTATATAGAAACACACATACGTGATAATACTATTACACTTAGAGGGGTAGTATGTGTGAAATAAGCGAAAACCAGGCCAGGCTTGATATCCTGCGGAAATTCTGTGCGCAGGATTATCAGTTATTTTTATTGGCATATAGCCAAAACCTTGTCATGGTCATTCTTTAACTAATTTACCATAGTTTCAAAGAGTAATTGTCTAACATTATTAATAAAATAAAATTCTTATTTTAAAATTAAGGTTCTTGTTATCGACAGTGGTAAATTATTTTCTTTTTTAAAATAATTAATATTTATGAAATATGTTTCAAACTTACTTGAATTTGACAAACGACTTCTCCGAAAGGCCAACAGCCATAAATTGCTGGTAAAAAACCAAATGGAGTGACAAGAACACCGATAGCTAAATCATTACTAGCTAAACTAGTCAACAAATATTTTGGCTGAAACAAAAAACAGAAATATTTACAATAAATTATCATCATAAATATAAAAATGTTTTTAAACGTAAAACTTTCAATTTTTAGATATTAATTTGTTTTGGTAATTGATAAAAAAATTCGAATGAATTAAAAAAAAATATAATGATTGATGATGTCGTTGTTTATAGCGAATATGTTTTATCGATTATTTATAATAGTATTTTGTCGAATGATATGGTTAATATGAGTTTTGACAGTATTCGAAATTATTCATAGAACCGTAAAATGAATTTGTTAACCACGAATTACACATTTATAGACGTTCTTGGATAAGCTACATGAGCTTCATCCTTCATATAGTATATAGCCACTAGTGATCTTTGTCAATTTCTCTTACTGTCTCAATATCTCTCGGTGAACCAACTGAGCGCTCATGCATATGCAAATGCCAAACAGCCTAGTAAATACGTCTAGATATACCCTCTTGGTTTTCCGACTTACTAGAGCTTTCGTACGTGAGCAGTATTCTGATTATTATTAAAAGCTCATATCGTCTTCATATATGAAATTCATATTAATCAGTGTTCATTAATATTAATTTAATTATTAAAGAAAACATAAAAAATTGGGATAATTTTTGAAGCATGACTTAAGTAGTATTAATGTAATTTTTTTAGTATCTTCTAAGTAGTATCAATCAATGTTTAATCAGACATTTTTTTTTATCAAAATTGAATTTTAATTGTGCGATTAATATAATTGTTATTATTAATTTGGAAATTCTACTCAAATATCAAATTGTTTAAAGTAATTGTTTATTTAATTGTGAATTGGCATATCAGAGTACAACTTAATTTCTATATAAAAATTTATTGAGCACTTTAGGATTTTACTGAAGATATGAATGGAGATGTATATAAGTATATGACAATATAAAATTATTTTATAATTTACCTGAGCATGAATGTATTTGCTATATCGACGACTATTGATAACACAAATAACAAGTAGATTAGCACATAAAATGCCAACACTAAGGATAAGTATAAGTGCTGCTCTTATCAATTGTCCAGGTCCCGGTGTTATCCACATTAATTTTCCAGAAGCCCCAGGCCAGCAGCTACTGTTATTCAATGCCGGTGGTAACAACGTTGGTGTCTGATGTTCTAACATTCTTTAAATAACCAATACCACCAGCTGGCAATTCTATGTTAACACCCACTACGGGTGCTTTCCAAATATTTAGTAGCTATACGACGCCATTATCAACTTAATAATTGTTACTAAATTTCTTGAATTCATCATTGATTTATTGATATTTTCATCTTTCCCAAAATGCCAATCTGTTTGTCTTGGATTTGATCTCATGATGATTAAATAAATTAAATTGAATGGTGCCAGTAATGGAACTGTAATATAAAAAAAATAAATAAAAGTTTGAAAAAAAAAATTTGATCAATAAAAAAATAGTTGAATTGATTGGATGTAATGTACTTTATATTCTGTACTATGACGTTGAGTTTTCCGGCTGAATTTTCCAATGTACTCCGTTGAACCGTTTAACTTTACACCTTCGTTTAACTTTGAAACACATCTAAAGTAAAAGAGAAAGATCAATGATTAAAAATTCATTTAATTCTATTCTAAAATTACAGACATTATTACTAACTAATGATAATCCTTTTAGTAATTAAGCCATGAGATTATGCTATTTATAAGTTCAAGTAATTACATTATCTCTAACAGTGTATTTTATTCTTTTATTCAATTACTTTCAAAGTTTTATTTGACAACTTTCTGTTTTTAAAAATGAAAAATATATAATAAAAATTTTCATAAGTACAACTCGATTTTAATCGGTCATGCTTTGCGATGTTTAATTACTTGTAATTCATAAACAAACAATGAAAATTGGGTTCATAAGATTATCAATGATTTTTTACAAATTAAAATTATTGTTTTCTCAATCTACTCCTTAAAAAATAATAAGTCATCAAAATAACAATATTGTATCAATCGTAAATATTATTATATGAAAACTTATAAAAGTAATAAGTATAATTTAAACCATCTTCATTAACTCCAAATATTTTCCCTCAAGTGCCTTCCACTTGAGACATCTCGTCTTAATAAATGGAAAAATCATAACAACATAAATACTATAAATTTAATGAAGTTTAGTAGCATCTAATTTGTTAAGGGTAAGAATCAGAATAAAAATTACCGGAATTAGGTAACAAGAAGGAGAAAAAAAAGAAGAGAAAAAAAAGCGGATAAAATCTAGAACGATATCGAGGTCAACTGATTCAAGATACGAATAATGAGGGGGTAGTTAACAAGGCCGTTGGTGAAATATCTCGTCAACGAATAGTCGTCATTCGCACGACGATAATAATTAAAACTTTTCACAATTTACTGCATTTTTCGTGGTCATTAATACAAAAAAAAATCAGTCTTTTCCCTTCAATAGTTTTTTACTCATTCAATCATTTTTTTTGAATAAGTCTTTAATTTAATTTTCTACAACCCAATCATTTTCAATATTCTATTTAATATTGTATTATTAATAATATTATCATTCATTATAAAAATGGATTTTTTTTATTGTTTTCAAGTAGTATTGTTCAACATCTAGTCAAACGCTTTTTATACAAAAAAATTTCTTTGACTAGAATGTTATTATTTTAAATAAAAAATGATTATATAAAATACTGATACCCTTCAAGTAGTATATTTCAATATTTAAGCAGACAAATTAAACAAAAAATTATTTTCAAAGCTTTCTATCATTTACTTCAATCAAACCTGTAGTTTTTCATTAATACAAACCAATCAGCATAAATATTTTATCCAATATGATCGAAGTTATCATTAAATAAAGTAAATTTACTCAATCATTTTATATTTGCCCTATCTACTTTAAAACAAAATAAAGTAAGTAGATTTAAAGCTGTAGTTCTCTTTCTACACTTGAATATCGCAAATTCATGCATCGTTGGCTTGATTTTTCTGTTCATTCGTTTTCTATCCTATTCTTACTATCCTCCTTTTATCTATGATTCACTTTATCTTGTTACATCTCTTTCTTCTTTAGAAAAAAAAAAAATCATGAAGAAAATTAATGCAAAATTTGAGTTAAAAATTACTGTAATATATTATAGTGAAATAAATTTATTTTTATTTTAGAGTTTAATGCATTTTTCATAGTTTTAATTAATTTATCATGAATTAAGTACTACATTGAGTACATTTAATATTCTATTCGTACTTAAACATGTGTTGTTTAATTTAATTTATTATTTCTATATTGAAATTATTTTGTTTTAAAAGGTTTTGAAGAACTTGTCCGATATTGTGAATTTTAATTTACTAATTAATAACTTTAGTCAAAGGCTTCCCTAATTCACTCTTAAGTAATACCTAACTAATAATAATTTGAGACTTATTCAAAAGTTTGGTCAACTGTTATTAATTTAGACTACTCAAAAATACATTATTAATAAATAATTTCTATTTTTTAACAGAAGAAAACTGAAATAAAAATGAATAAAATTATTGAATTTTAAAACATTATTGATGATTTTGACCATCTAAAACACTACAATAAAACCTATTTTTAATTATCTCTTGTTTTTTTTTTTATTTATTTTTTACTATTTAGACTTTATTTTATTATTTTATTTTTTTGTCTAGTAATTAGACATTAAATATCTTCTTGAGTTACAAGTTATAGAAGACAATTACAAGAACTTATTAAAAAATTCCAAATAAAAATTGAATTATACTACTTGAAAAATACTTACATTTTAACAGAAGTTATTTCATTCAATGTTTTAATTAGCTTAGATAATACAATGAACGAAATGAGAGTACTTGTTGTTAAAAGAGAGTTAAAAATGTTTAAAATTAACAAGCAGGTTATGTGAAACTCTGGGATAATTAGATTAGTACTCTGACACCTTTCATATTACCTTAAGATAAATGTACTTTCTCAAAAGAATTAAATATTTTTATGAATTTTTAATACTCCAACGACTCCTCATGATATCACAAACTCTAAAATGTTGACAAGAGATGAGTAACAATCATACAACTTGAAGGGATTAAGTTTAAATGACTTTATTATGTGTATAACTGTCTGAGTAACCAGAACGTGAACATTGTAGACTTGAGCACGTGCAGTTGTACAGGATGCATTTAGATGGGTAAATTAAGGACTCTTTCAGAGAGCTATAAAGATAGAGAAAAAAAGGAGAGAAGAGTTGAATAATAAAAAGTAACAGTAGAGGTGGAGATTCGGTTGAGACAGTGCACAGAGTGTACAAAAATAAAAAAATTTTAACCAACTTACAAGGATTGTTAGATATAATAGCATTTGAGAGTCACCTTTTTCTGTACCTGTACACTTCCATTTACAGTTTATTCATCTTTTTTGCATACTACGAGTAGCTTTGATGGCATTTTTTTAACAAAAAAAAAACATTAAGTTAATAAATTCTCAAGTAGTTTTTAAGTAGTATCACTCAATCATTGGGCAGACATGAAATTCATAATTACTCTATGGAATATTTATAATTGTTTTCTTGATGTCGAAAAGGGATTATAATATATTTAAATTATGATTTATGTTTAGTAATTCTTTGAGTAACATAGAAAAGATTTTTTATACATTGTTTTATCTTTCTACGGAATTTATTTTTCCACAGTCAAATAAGTCAATATCAAATGACTTTTAAAAATCTAATTTTTTCATTTTAAATGTAAACTTTTCTTCCGAAACTCATCAGAGATTAAACCCGCATGAGAAAAGATTACCAACGTGACTTCCATCTTTTCCTTCTTCAACTTTTTCTTGACAAGACTGTCGAACTCGTGAAAGTCGCATCTGGAGTTGCTTTTCACCTACCAGTCATAAAAGAGGATGAAGTTAAAAAAGGCAGAAAGTAGGGAAAAATTCTCCCAACGGAGGAAGACGATCATCAATGTAGTCATATTGACTACAGAGGACGTCGAACTAACACAAAAAATATAGTCATTTGAGATTACTCCTAAAAGACCCTCTCCTCCTTTATCTAAAGCATAATGACAAGAGAAAAGGAAGTAAAAAAAAATCATAAAATTTTACTTTTTTTCCACTTTTAAGACTCAAAAGTATAAAAATGATAACGAAAGCTTTATTTTCGCACATGATCTACATTTACAGCTTTACAGGTCGCCATTGGCAACTTCCGATGGTCTAAGATGGTGATATATGGAGTCACAAAATTAGACAAAAATATATCCCATCGTAGTTAGTTCTTTTTTTTCTTTAATCTGACTCACTGACATCCGACAACCAATATAAAACGTCCAAAAAAATGCACTATCTTTTCTTTCAAGTATTCACACACTATTTTTCTCCTTTATCCATAGGATTTTTTTCTCATCCTCATGTATATACAAAAGACTTAAAGACAGCGAATAAATTACTTTTACCATTGGAAAATCCTTAGATAAAATAAAATAGGTTGATGTTGAATTTATGTATTGAAGAAAATTTGAACGTTTTTTATCGGAAGAAAATCTGGTTTGTGTAATCAATAAATTTGAGAAAAATCGATAACTACTGCTACTTGAAGAAGAATTCTCAATTTTCGAGAAATAAACGTTTTTGAGAGAAAAAAAATATTTAGTAGTATAACCTAATTTTAGTCTGACATAAATGATTTCAAGTATTGTAGTAGTCTTTAACTGTTTATAACTGAAAAATTTACTGTCAAAAAACAATTCTATTGCAGTGTGTGAAATCGTAAATCTAGTGAACGTTGAGATAAGAACAAAAATATAATTGAAAAAAATTTTTAACATAATAAATTATAGTAATAAATGTAATCAAGGCATTTTTCTTCGATTTGTCTTAAAAAAAAGTTCATCATCAATAAATTTACCATTGAAAATCTTTTTTGGGTCATTTAGAGATCATCAATAGAGTCAACTTATACTCAAACATATTAACTTTCCCTCGAAAAATTTTTATCAATGAAAAAACCGCTATTAAAATATAATAAATTCAGATAAAAAATAAATATCTCATTCTTAATCTATAAAAAAACTATTTATCTTCTATCTCAGCATCATCTCTATTGATATTCTAAAAACTTTCCCATCTGGAATGCTTCCAAAAAAAGCCACTCTAAATCAAAATCCATTAAACTATTGTCAAGATAACGTCAAATAAAATCTCATCCACATACACTTTATCATGACTTTCCAAGGGAAATTCTTAAATATATTCAAACCAAAAAACTTGTAACTTTAATCTCGACATATAATCCACCACATTCAATTTATTTTCAACAATAATATCACATAAAAATTTTACATATCTGTTTTACCGACTGAAAAAATTTATCGACCGAGTGCTGGACATTTTTTCTCTTTCACTTTAAGTTTGAAATTTATATGACTAATAAAACATTATTTGTTGAAATGCACAAACTTTTCTCTATCTCGCGCTCTTCCTTTTTTGCTTCCCCTTTTCTTTTCAGTCTATATTCCGTATTTATTCATGAGCTTAGCCTGCAAACGCCACAGTTACATGAATGTCCTTTATTCAATAGCAAAAAAAAGGAGACACAAAAAAAAAAATGTGAAATGAATAATGTTTTGACATTTATAATTTAATCTTGTTTTTCCTTTTTTTTTTCTCAACGTAAGAAACTGTGACATTTTATATAGACTTTCATGATTTATGTGATTAATTTAACTCTTTTAACCCTTTCTGTATCACTCTTTTATGTAAAAAAAAAAAAATTACTTCAGTGTTTGTCTTTATTTAAATTATTTTTTTCTCTTTTCAATTAAAAACACAAAATGTCGGTTTTCTATTCAATATCTCAAATACATTTATAAAATTTATTTTATTTGACAAAGCACACACATCTACGGTTTTTTTTTTTTTAATTTTTCCCCTATTAAAAGATAACTAAAAAAAAGTTCCTAGGAGGTATGGGGGATTTTTTAACATTTCCTTTTTTCTATTTATTTTCTTTCTTATAATTCTGCCTCGATGACATATAAGTGAATCTATCTCTTTCATTCGTTCATTCGCTATACTACGACTACTTCTACTACTATTCTTCATTTTTCTTTCATAATATTCTTTTTGCTTTCCCCCTCCCTACCCACTTCATCACCTCGCGCGCCACCTACTCTGTTACCTTACGTTCTCGCTTTTGTGTGATACCAATCTGAATAGATAAAAGATCCATTGCCAACTTGGTTATTCATGTTGAAATTATTTTTTTATAGTTTCGTTCAATTTTTCAATCGACTGTACTAACTCGAATTCACGTAGCTTTTTTTCTTCATCTTTTACTTTTCTCACTTTCTAGTATTTTTTTCTTCTTTTCTCTTGCCTTTTTTTATTCTCCGAAGCTTCTCTCCTTTACTCTCACACTTATTCGAGTTACTTTTTTTGTCCTCTCTGATTTTATTTTTTTTTTTTTGCTTTTATACCCTTCGATCTTCTATAGATAACCGAGTGTCATAAAAGATTTCTCTTGAGTTGAGAAAGTGTGTGCAAGATCTTTCTTTTTTTTTCTTTTTGTTTAACACTGAAACAAAGAGTTAATAGGGACTATGTTCATCTTTGGTCTCGTAAAAAGTAAATTTTTTTTAAAATAAGGAAAATAAAAAATTTGGAGTTTTCCAAAGTAAATTTGTATTTTAGTCAAAAAAAAATAATGTTTTAAATTCCGATATTGAGAGAATTTTTTTTTAAAGAGGCAGAAATTATTGAATACAAAACTCAGTAGTTTTGTTCAAAATAATGTTAGGTATGAAAAGAAAATTAATATTTTTGACTGTTTATGGATTCCGTAGTATATAAAAAAGAAAATAAAAAACGATGTAAAAATAAAATAAAGTAATATTAATCTCAGATAGAAGAAATTTTTTCATTTAGAACTAAAAAAAATTCAATCTCAGAAATATAAAAATAAAAAATATACGAATAGTCATGAATAAATAACTCGTTATTTAAATAATGTCTGTAGAAGGATAAAACTTATCCCATCATATCTTTCAAAGTTAGGTGAAATTATTGGAATAATTTAATAAAAATCTCTCTTAAGTTTTAGACTTTGAGTAGCCAGAGGCTAAATATGCAATTTAAAACTGTTAAACCAACCATTTTAATGCCATAGATATTTACAATAAAACATAATAATAATTTTTTATTAATTTACACAAATATGAATCATCATCCTTCAGTGATTCAATCATTTCAAGTTTTTAAATTGATCCAATATTTAGTTGAGTTTAAAGAAAAAAAGAAACTCGAAACATTTGAATGATGGTTTACATATTAGGTAAATTTATCGATCGACGAAATATAAAATTATAATAACAATTTTTGGCCTTATTCAAATATAAATAGCTCGAAGCATTTTAATTACAATATAACGATTATAATTAATTACTTGACTTAGTTAAAGGAGTTAATTTACAAATTTTTATATTGTAATTTTATGTCATTGTGTGAGGACAATACTTGTTTATAATTAATTAGAGTAGAGATTCATCAATGTGTTGTTCGTGAAATAACAACATGCAAACATGTAACGTCAATTTGTTGTGTAGAGGAGGAAACTGATATTATGAAAATTAAAAACAAAGAAACTTGATTATAATATTTATTTACACATTGAGGAAAAGGCAGGATAATAGATCATTTTTCGTTTTCACTAATTCATATTCTGTTCTATTGAATTGTCACTCTTAGAATTTTCTATTTATTGCCATGAAATTATTTTACAACAAATCCAAGGGTTGGCTAATGGAAGACACAACATGCATTCCTACCCTCAGTATGTTTTATTGTATACAGTATTGTCTGAACTAATTATATAGAATTTTTTTATTGCTTTGAAAAGTAATTAGAAAATTTTTAACAGATCTAAAAAATGTTCTTTACTCAAAGTATATTCTTTAATTAAATTTCATATTGATATTCGACTAAAATGAATTAAAAGTGAATTTTTATGCGGTACAACCTGTTTACAGTATAACATTGGTACAATATACTCTCTTCATAGAAATGGAATAATTTATTAAAGAAAAAATGACTTATCCTGTAAACAACATGGTTTTTAAGCATTCATTGTGTGATTTGAGGTGAAACAATTTTTTTTTAATGAAACAGTACACTGTATACAGCATGTACAGTATAGTTCATAGACAGTATACTCGTTCTAAGTACACGATTGTATTTACTAAAATGAGTAAATATTGAAATTAGTTTCAGATGAATTAAAAATTTTTTCAGACCCAAAGTACCGTACTTTACATGATACATACGGTATCTTCTGTCTAAACAGAATATTTTATTAATGCAAAAATTATTTTAGGAAGAATATTGATTATAAATATTCAATACGTTATTTTCTTCCATATTCACAAAAGTTACTGATAATAAAAGCATGTTTTAATTAATATATTGAAGTGGAAAAAAAAATAATTTCTAAGATCATTATAAAACAGTACTAAATTACTATTTTAATCAAAGAATTAATTCCCTAGTTATGAATAATAATCTATTAATATTCATTATTGCTCTAATAAGTACAGACTATAATTGAGTGCAATTTTAATCAAATTTATTACTATCTTTTTCATACACTAAAAATTATCACACACTCACCTGATATATTTTCTGAAATTGACAGCTCACAAAAAACATTTTCAAATTCAAAAATATTATCACTAGAAAATTACACCAACATTTTTCTTTTTTTTAAATCATATTTATGATTTTAAAAATTTGAAAAAAAAATTAATATTTTCACACTTCATTTATTAATCATTTTATAGTAACATTCACCACTATAGTCATTTTATTCTAAAATCCATCATCATTTAATGAATTATAATTTCACTAAAACTAAAAAAAAAAAAAAAACTCAAATTTTTTAACATCAAATTGAAAAAATATTTGATTTTAGAAATGGCATTTCTTTACATTTTCATTCTACTCTATTTATCACATGAGACATTTATTATAATCAAATGATTGAATCAATTAATTAAAAATTTTGTTCAACTACAGAAAAATGTAGTAAATATAACGAAAAAAATAAAAATTTTTAAATTCAATTTAATTTTAATAATGAACACAAAAAAACTATTGAGCGTAAACTGAGTTTAAATACGCGAACCAAGTGGGCAATAGGATGATGCCACCACGGAGTCTAGCGACGCACTGCATGGCTGAATATACGAGAGTTCACTTCTCACTACCTAAGTATATATATATACATAAGTAAATATATAGATGTATATATTTAGTTGTGTAGACGACGTTATACAGTCAACTATCTTTCTTCACACACTTCTACATAACACGCGCCAGTAGTAGTCTTCAGTGGGAGTTTATAGCATTTTTTAAAGAGATACGAGAGGGGGAGAGATATGAGGTAGAAGGGATGAGAGATAAAAAAATAAGAAAAAATTATAATCACGAGGGTCGAATAGTATTTTCTTATAGTTACTAGATACAGTAGTCATCTTGAAAACCTAAATTTTATTCCTCATACCTAAAATCTACTGCTTTTTTTATTGTTTCAACTTTAAGCTCTCTACTATCGTCTAATACTCTTACGTATTATTTCTTCGATACTTTTTTAAGCTCCTGTTTAGGTTTACTTTGAGATTTTTTTTCTTTAGTTTCTTTTTTTAGTAAAGGAAAAAATATCAAGATGTAAATTTACTAGAAAACCAACCATAAGTTAGAAATTTTCATCTATCATAATCATATACCATATGATCATAAATTCATAATTATATATAAAGGAAATCATAAAAATTTATCCATTTTTCGATTTTTTATGCTCAAAAAACCAGATGACCGTGAAAGTGTAGTATAATCACTGAGATTTTTTTGCCCAATTTTTCTCTGTCGATAAAATAGTGTGAAAAATGATTTTTTTTCCATTTCTCTATGATTTTGGTAAACATTTATGACATAAAATCAGTAGTAATATTTTGATATATTTACGAGACGTAAGATATTTATCGAAAATTATCTATTCTGTGCATCATTATGTTATTTTGTCAACTTAATAAGTGATAGAGTCTCGTTATTGTATAATATTCTCAATTTTATTACGCTTTATATTTTCTAATATTTTTTTAGTTGTCCAATGTGCTATTACATTACTATGATAATTACTATTTACAAAATTCATCACAAACTAAGTGGATCTTCTTTTAAAAAAGATTGATTGTTATCGATTGATTTTTTAACCTATTATTATAACGTTATAATAGAAAACAACTAGTAGTACAAGTTAAGATGAATCAGACATATGATAGAGCTGTGTTTGAAACCCAACAAATTTGGAATGTATGATTGAAAGTTGAAAGTGTGGTAGTATTTGAGATAACAAATCGGGTGATTACGATAATATTAATTATTCTAATTTAAAAAATTTTAAACATTCTCAAAATAAAGTTTAAATATAAACGACAAAATTTTCTTCTCCGTCGATAAAAGAAAATAGGAAAAAAAGTATAATTATAGATCACTTTTTATTTGAACTAAATCATATTTTATTCAATTAAGTTGTCACTTTTTTAATTTTTGATCTATTGCAAAAAAATTACATTTCAATATATTCAAGGGTTGGCTAATGGAAAACACAGCAAATTTGTAAAAAAAAAGGGTAAAAATTTTGAATTGGGGCTTCAGACCAAACACATAATTCGACGATTCTACAATTTGTACAGGATGGTTCGTCGAGGAAAAATACTCTCCTGGAACCGGGGATCGAACCCGAATCTTCCAGTTACGCGCTGGATACTCTACCAATTAAGCTATCCAAAATTCGTGCAAATTTTCCTATCAGTCGTGCCTGTACTCGTCTTTTCGTGGCTCTCTCCTCTCTCGCCGTCCCTCTTACGGTCTAAATTAAAGTATAGAACACTTTATTTCTTTTTCTCGAGACAATTGATTTGGAGCTCCAAATCTACACTTTTACCTTATTATTGAAAAATACTGGATATTGAGAATTTTTAATTAAATGAATAAACTGATTAAAATATTCATTACATCATAAATAATTTTTAATGTGCTTATTACAACATTTAAATAAAAAAATACAATTTTCTCTTTGCTAATAAATAATTTCTATATTTAATCCTCTGTACCTGACATATGATTATGATTTAAAGATAATTTTATTCAAGCATTTGAAATCGTGAATCAGGTGAATTCAAAGATAGAATCATTTATTTCAGCAGGAATCTTTTACATGTTTATTATTAGCTTCAAACTCAAGAAAAGATGGTTTAAAGTAACTTTCTTCCGAATGACATGAAAAAATAATAAATAAAATATATGACATCAAGTAATACAATTTGTGCATTAAATGCACCATACTCTAATGACACTGTTCGATTGTAATAATGTCGAACATAACCAATTGTAAGGTAGATGGAATTGGCATTCCAAGTTCTATCGTGTAGTAAGTCCTTGATCGAAAATCGGAATTCCCTGTGTTCACGATAATCCATACGTCGTATATATATATATATATATCTCTCTCAACTCGACACTGTTATTGCCTGATTACACTAATATCGATATAATCCTTACTCATTAAATTTTTCAATAAAAATTACAAAAAATTCACCACTATTCTTCATTAAAAATCACTCTCATCATTATCACACACATACATAATTGACAAAAAGCTTCTACAAATGTTAATCATGAAATAATAATTTTTTCTTTAATAAATAAATTCATGAAAAATAGTTAAGTCGTTTAAGTAGAGTTTTGGCTCAATTTGTGATGTTGAAATTTTTTTAATAATTAAAATAGGTTTGAAATAATGTTGAAAAAAAATCTCAAAAAATATTAATACCAAGTGATTTATCTATAAAAAGAATGTTTGCAAAAATTGTGAAACTATCTTAAACTTTTATTTCATTATTTTTAAATTGTCTAGAAAATGTGTTAGGGAAAATGATTTTTAAAGGGAGAAATATAGTTTTAAATGTATAAAATATACAAGAGAATAAGCTATTCTTATATCACTAGAGAATAAAAATTTATTCAGTAAATGTTCCAGTCAATGGATATAGAGGTCGGAGTGTATTCCATGATCCTTGTATAGGCGTCTGTTCTACTTTAATGTATATAATTCCTGGCACAGAATTTTGGCTCGCTTGTAATGTCCAATCAGAGAAGATTATAAGCTTTCGTAGCATCCAGTACTTTTAGTCAACCTTCTTCTCAACTACTACATCTACACACTCTCTATCTTAATACTTGGATGACTCGCCAAAATATCAACTCTAACGATGAACAAACATAAACAAAAAAAAACTTCCTGTATAACATATATTTTCGTCTATGTTTTGTGAGAAAAAAATAAAAAAATTTATTTATAAAATTTTTTGTTGTTTTTTGTTGCAATAATTAACGTAAAGGCGCCAGTGCTAGACAATGCATCAATGCTCGTTGCTTTGAGATTAGAGATGTGTTGAACTTCGGTCTTTGAAAAAAATTCGAAAATCTTTTTTGTAGGTTGAGCACAACTGATCTTCGGGACGATCGTGAATATTTTACTTAAAATGCCGAAAATTATTAGCTTCATACTATTTATTTTTAATTTAATGTGAAGTCTACTATTCTAATTGTTTTAATACTGAAATGCATCATTTTTAAGATCAAGCGAATTATAATAAAGATTTGTTTTTAGTTTTTTTTTTCAAGATAATTATCAGCATTTTTATTATGACAGTTAATTTGCATTTGTATAATAGTGTTTTCATTCTATCATATTCCGTTTTGTATTCGTTTAATTTTCCATTGGGTATAATTAACAGTGATTTATGATAATGTATTATAGTTTTTTTATCATAATAATAAACATAAAATGAAAAAGCTACAAAATTTTTTTTGCAATTTTGTTAAAATACATTTATAAATTGAAATTTTTTAACCATGATTAATAATATAATGTCCTAAAAACAACTTTATATAAAATTTTTCAAATAAATCCTCATTATGTCTGACTGAACTCAATTAATTCGACTGAAATTAATTGTTGCTTGTCATCGAAAAATTTATAAAAAATGCTTCATACTTTATTTTAGCATAAAAAATTATTATAAAGTCTATTGTAATTATAATTTAAATGATAAATGAATAAATGTCCCTAAAAATAAAAAATATAATTGATTAAAATTATAATAATTATAATAATCAATAATAAATAATAAATAAAAATGATTTGGTATAAAATCAAAGTGTTACAACATCACAGAAAATCTATTTATAATATAGAGAAATTTCCTTTTAATTAACCCTTTGTAAGAACAATATGACCCTATTCACATATTTATTAATGTATAAATAAATAACTTAAATTCAACAATATTATCCGAAAAATTTATTGTTAACATTATTATGTAGGTCTGACGAAGCTCAAATAATTCTACTTGAAAACTATTTACATTTGTTTCTCATTAGTTAACGTTAAGATTATTTAATTTTATGCTAACTATTTTCATTCATTAAACAATTTCATAAAACTCTTGTATTATTACAATTTATTGCAAAAATAAGCAAAATAAACATTTTGTCATTAAAAAACGAATTATCTATTATATATCTTATATAACATCCTATTATCTTTTATGATTTTCAATTAATCGTAATCCAGATCAATTTTCATTAATTTTTCAAGCAGATCACTAAAAAAAAAATAAATAAATAAATTGCAGGTACGAAAGAATAGTCATAAAAGAAAGTAACAGATCAGCAATCACAAAAACGACAACTAGAGATAAATGTTACGATGCAATTGTATCCAACTACGTTTAATTAACAACTATTGATCCTTTTACTAAAGAGGACGAACATTGATTAGGATTATTTAACATCTCCAATTTACGGATTGAGTGCATTATTCATTTTGATCAAACTTCACAATTTCATAATCAAACAATAATAACGATTAGAAAAAAAAAACCTTACAATTATGTACAATGTATTAGACAGCAAAAAATAATATTCGTTTTAACATAAAAGTAATTTTTATTCGATTAAATTTCATGAGGAAAAAATTATTTTATGTCTACCATATCAAAGATAAAATAAAATAAAAGTGATAAAAGATAAAATAACACAAAGAAACTATTAAATTTCTCAAAGAAGCAATTTTTTCATTTTCTTATTTTAACGCTAGGAGGCTTAACAATCAAAATAAAAACGAAAAAAAAGCGGGAAAAATAGAAGAACAATAAATGGTCTCGAGAAGACGATGCCTCGAGGCGTCGACTTAACTTTGAGAGAAATATAGGTCATGAGACGGTCGACAGAGATGAGATTGGGTGGAAAAGGCATAAAGAAGTTGAAATAAGATAGAAAAGAAGGAGATAATAAAAAAGAGTAGAAAATGATAAGAAATAAGATGAAAGCAAAAATAAAGAGAATAAAAATTTCCGGGAGAAACTTGGTAAACCGGAAGTTACGATAACTAAATGACTGTTTTATCAGTTTAAGTCGTGATTTTTTTTCATTGCATAAAAAGTATTTATCCAATCAATAACATCATTGGAAAATATTGACAAAAAAAAAATAAACAAATAACATTGCCACGATTTAAGCAAAATATTCTTCATATTTCGAAAAACCATTTTGTAATACTTTTAAAAAATAATATTGAATTTGTACATTCAAATTTAAATTACCATATTTAATTATTTTTCAACTTGTTTTTAATCAACGATAAACAATGATGGTAAAAAATTTATTCCCTTACTTACCGTCACTGCTACAACCGTTGGTAATTTCGATTCCTACCTGTCCGTTATTTTTAAGCAGCAACCAGCTGCACAGATCACACTAAAAGCTAAGAAAGAAAAGCTAGAAATAATTACTTTCTGATCGATAAACAAGTTTTTTGTTTGAATAAATAAATTAAAAGAGAGATACAATCAAATAATTCAATGCCAATATCAAAGTTACAATGTTTGAGATAACTGCTCATTAGAAATCATATATTGAAATTTATTTTTTCGCTCTTTCATCACTAATTCTGACCAGAATAATAGCTTTTAATACATTTAATGCATATCAATTATTTAATAATGATATTATTTTCAAATAAAACTTCATAAAATCAACGAAAAGGATCAGCATTATATGAAGAATGTCAAACTCAACCGATTCCATAACAAGCCACTCCTCACGATCATGGAGACTCTTCAAAAGAGTATTCCTTAAGGCTGGGCTGAAGTCAGAAAGTTTCCCGGAGTTGACTTTACGCCCTCGTGTTGTGCGGCAAAAGGCCGAAGCTTGCCATCAATTGAAATTGAGTAGGTAACAGGGAAATCGTTCGAAAAATGATAATTTTCAGGGATGCACTACAAAAAGGGAGCCTTAGGGCACCAAGAAATTTACAAATTTTAGAATAATCTGTTCCAAGCAAGACAGAGCACAGAATATATCTATCTATCTCCGTCTTATTTTTCAGAGAAGACTGCGAGTTCGAACAGTTGACGAGCAAGCACATTCCCCACCCTCTGTTACTAAGCCTGAAGCTTACGATATCTAAACGTAAACAAAGCAAATAAAAATATGCTAGCTCTATAGTCAGAAGGTTCGACAGTTATTTTACCGAACGTTGTTCGATTACAATTACGGCAAAATTTTTTTTTTTATCTAAATTACATGTAATTGCAATTTTATCATGCCAAAAATGTGTTTTAAATTTCAATTTTTATGTAAAATTATTTTTCAATTAATCGATGACAAATGAGAAAATATTTGTACAGAGCCATAAACTCTTTTTTTGTACAAATACATTGATAATAGCCTTTTTTAACAACTTATTAACAATAAAAAATAGTTTAAACAATCCGCGGCCAGTTCCGACACTTTGCCGGCAAGCTCTACCCCCACTCTCTGTGCCCAAGCCTGCAGCTTATAATTTTCAAGCATCGTTAACATAATTGGAACCAGAATAGCTCAGTGGTTAGAGCACCAATCTTTTTTTTTTGCTGGGCAGGGTTCGATCCCAGTCATTGGCAATTTTTTTTTCTTTTTTTTGCTTAAGTGACTTTATATACTTATAAATTAATTCATATATTTTATTAAATTATTCTTCCAATTAATTACGGAAGACAACTTGTTTTTCTGAAAATAAGCTAAGGGTGAGGAACGAGTTACTATGAATTTTCTTTTCGAAAGTGTTGTCTTTAAAAGATAATAGGAATTGATTTTGAACTAATATAAACAACCAATTATTATATTTATATAAAATTTTAATGAAAAAAAAAAGGAAAAAAAAAAATTGGCTATGACTGGGATCGAACCCTAATCGGTAAAATGAAAGCTTGGTGTTCTACTCACAGAGCTAACACATCATCTCTGACATTATGTTTATGTTTATAAATTGTATAATGCAGGCTTGAGTACGAAGGGTAGGGATAGAGTTTGCCGGCGAAGTGCCGGAAATCCCCGTGGATTATTTCAACTACTTCTAAATATTTCTAAATTGCTTTAAAAAAAGCTACGTTCATATAGCTATAGTAAAAAAAGTGTTTATAACCTTGTTCATATGTTTTCCGACTCGGCGTTGATAAATTACATAAATAATTGAGAAAAAAAAATCAAATCGTTAGTAAGAATTCATTTTAGCATGTTAATATTATAATTACATGCAAATCTAACAAATAAAAGAGAAAAAAAAAACTTTATCATGACTGGAATCGAACCCTGCCTAGCAAAATAAAAGACCGATGCCGTAACCACTGAGCTGTTATGGTTTCAGTACGCTCTTATATGCTTAAAAATTATAAGCTGCAGGCTTGGGCACAGAGAGTGGGGGTAGAGCTTGCCGGGGAAGTGCCGAAACTCGCCACAGATTGTTTAAACTACTTTTCAATGTTAATAATAATATGATTAACTTGTTAATAACATGTTAATAACATAACATTGTTAATACATGTAAAAATGTATAAGTTGTTAAACACAGGCTATTATCAATGTATTTATACAAAAAAAAAGTTTATAGCTCTGTTTGAATATTTTCCGACTTAGCGTCAATAAATTCAATGAGTAAAGAGAAAAAAAAATCGAATCATTATAAAGGATTAATTATGGCATGTCAATATTATAATTACATGCTAATCTCACGAATAAAGTAGAAAAAAAAAATTGGTTATGACTGGGATCGAACCCTGCCCGGCAAAATAGACCTCTGACGCCTTAACCACATGGCCAGCATAATCTCGGTATTAAGTTTATGTGTATTTGTTTTTGCACTACATGCTTGGATACGCCGACTTGGAATTGAGCTTCTTTATTAACATTTATACCTAATAAAAATGATAATAATGGATGAGTATATGTATTTGAAGTTATTTGCAGATATTATATTAATTAATGTTAAATGAGTATCATCATTTTTATTTATTCTAACTGCAATAGTCATCAAAGTATAAGGCATTGTGAAGTGATACACTATGTTTACATGACATACATATATTAGACGTACACACTCATACACAAATTACTCACCAAAATGCAGGGCACCATCAGTTCTGGATACGGATTGAGCATTTTTTCAATATGAATGACTGAGGTCATCTGCGAGCATAATGCTGTCACCTATCGGAATTTTTTCAAACTAATTTTCCGGAGAATATCATCTGGAATACAATATTTCTAATTATTTCTAAATTATTCAATTTTATACTATGAATTGATTTTTTTGACATTCAGACAGATGGCAAGGACTGACGCAAACCCGAATTTTGGGCGAAAAACGTATAAAAATAGAATAATTAGTGATGTTTCATCTGAATGATGTGGCCGCCGTCTTGGAATTTAAGCGCGGCAAGTCAGTTCATAATTTTTTCATTATTCTTTCTAATTTTTTTAATAAAAATATTCACTATATACAAAAAATTGTTGTTTACGTCAGTCCGGCATTAATTCCTCTGTAATTTGGTACCTAATTTTATAGAAATAATAGCAAATTGGTGAAGAAATTAGAAATATCCCGATCCCATGTATTTGGATGGGGGGAATCAGTCGCCTCTCTGACTTCAGCCCAGCCTTAATATTAATGTTGAAAAAAGTTACAGATTTTAGAAGCTACAAAAATCATGTTTTCTGTACCTTCTTCTCTAGGCTGTCTGACCTCAACTGATGTGGGCGGATCTACCACTGTCGTGCTTTAATTTTCTTATCCCTCTCTCTTTTTTTATTCTCCCACTTGTTTCAATTTTTCTGACGCTTCTTGACATCAGCGCTGCCCGTAGAATTTAGGAGAACTATCCACCAACTCTACACTTTTAGTACCAAAATCCCATCCCTGAGCTCGGCCTCCTTATTATATTCTCCATGCTCACGATGAAGGGCGAAGGGAACGGTCGAATAGTTCGGGTAGTGGCCGCTCAAAGCGCCTGTGTTTGCCCAGAGAGAAGACTTCTTTCTGGTTTGCCAGTGTAAACTAAAAATTGTAAGCGCGTGTCTACTAAGAGATAAAAAATATTTCATTAACAGTAAAAACACATAAAGTTCAATTAAAACCATAAAAAAATGTTGGTTTTATTTGAAACTCCAGCGGGGTACGCAATATTCAAGGTAATTTACTCCAAAAAATCATTGTTTTTTCTTTAGAAAAAAATCTAACCTCTAACTGAACACGTGTTCAGCTTGATTTCAATTAAAAATACTGTGCCGATTATTAAAAAACAATAACCACGATAAAAATAATCAAATATTATGAAAAGAATAACAATAAACAACTCAATTTAACCTCATTGATTAGCATTTTATTGATTAATTGTTTTTGAGCAATGATGTACTTTTCAATGGAGTTGAATCAAGTTAGCTACTGTTCTTTTCATGACATATTCACATATTTGATCATTAATAATTAAATATTATTATTCATTTTCATTACAATAACGTTAATAATCGATGCAATGAAATTTTTCAGCTACTCAATGAAAGTAAGTTGGAAAAGACAGAAAATTTATACAAAGACTTCGAAACTCTTGAAGGGGCAAGCAAATTGTGAGTTAATAATAATTATTAATTTATTTATTTTAAAAATAACAAATTCTAATTATTATCCAATACTTTACAGATTAAAACTAAAACATTTTGAGAAATTCTCCGATACAACAGAAGCCCTAGCAGCAACGACAGCAGCTGTAGAAGGAAAACTATGTAAAGGTTTGAAAAAAACCCTCAAAAAATACTGTACTGAGGTGCAAGACCAGTTGGCAGTGGCAGATGCTAAACTTGGGAATGCAATAAAAGAAAAACTGTCGTTATCATGTATCAGTAATTCATCGATACAAGAACTGATGCGATGTATACGAAGTCAGATGGATGGTCTTCTAGCAGGATTTCCAAAGAAAGAAATGACTGCTATGGCCTTAGGATTAGCTCATAGTCTGAGTCGATATAAATTAAAATTTTCACCTGACAAAATAGACACAATGATTGTTCAAGCGGTAGGGTTGCTTGATGATCTAGACAAAGAACTCAATAATTACATCATGAGATGTCGAGAATGGTACGGATGGCATTTTCCAGAGCTTGGAAAAATTATAACAGACAATATAGCATTTGTAAAAGTAGTAAAACTCATTGGAACCCGTGAAAATACCGCAAACACAGATCTTTCCGATATATTACCAGAAGAAGTGGAAGAGAAAGTGAAAGAAGCTGCTGAGATTTCAATGGGAACTGAAATATCTGATGATGATATTCTTAATATCCAACATTTGTGTGACCAAGTGATAGAAATTTCACAATATAGAGGTCAACTTTATGATTATTTACGAACTAGAATGATGGCTATGGCTCCAAACTTGACAGTTTTAGTTGGAGAATTAGTAGGAGCTCGTTTAATATCATCTGCAGGATCTCTTATCAATTTAGCTAAACACCCAGCATCAACTATTCAAATTCTCGGTGCTGAAAAAGCTCTTTTCAGAGCTCTGAAAACCAAAAAAGACACTCCCAAGTATGGTTTGATCTATCATGCACAACTGATCGGTCAATCATCAACAAAGAATAAAGGAAAAATGGCAAGAATGTTAGCAGCCAAAACAGCATTGGCTACCAGAGTTGATGCTCTCGGTGAAGATGGTAATTTTGATCTTGGAACAGAACACCGAGCAAAACTGGAATCAAGATTGAGGATTTTGGAAGAAGGAAATTTAAAAAGAATCAGTGGTACTGGTAAAGCCAAAGCGAAATTTGAGAAGTATCATGTTAAATCAGAGGTAATTCAGTATCCAGCTGCTGCAGATGCAGTTTTTAGTCCTGGTAAGAAAAGGTTACACTCGGAATCTGAGAAAAAAGGTGTTTTAATCGAGGAGATTAAGCAAGAGGATGAAATGGAGGGGCAGAAAAATGATGGAAACGAAGGTGTGCCGAAAAAAAAGAAGAAAAGGGTAAAGAGTGAAGGAGAAGTCGAAAGTCAAAGAGATGCTTCTTCGTCGAGTGTTGTAGATAGCGCGGGTGAGAGCATCAGTAAGAAAAAAAAGAAGAAAATGAAGCAAGAAGATGGTGGAGAGATGGAGATTGAGATTGCGGTTGAAGAAGAGAAAAAAGGTTAATTTTTTTTTTGTTTCAGTGGTTTTAAACGAGTTTAATCAATTGGTTTTGCTGTCTTTAAGGGATTTTTTTTTCATTTTACTTTTTGCCTGTCTTTAAATAATTACATTTCTTCAACTACATAACCTTTAGATTCCATTTTCTTTCTTTCTTTCTGTTAAAATGCATTTATATTTTTTTTGTTTTTGAACAACTTTACTATGGAGAAAATCATTATTATGAAAGAAATGTGAAAAATCATTTTCAACTAATTTTAATTGAAAACTAACTAATATTTGAATTATTTATCAATCATTATGAACAAATAGTTTTGGAATTTTATATTTTATATAAATGTTGATGCATAAATAATTTTATTTATCACCAATTAAGTTTCCCCTAGCTATTTGTCTCTATCATAAAAAATAAAATTCTCATCTCAAGTGAGAATTCCATAATTTTTTTTTCATTGTTCACAGCACGTGGGAGGTAAAAATAAAATAAATTTAATGTTGTGTGTATTCTTTTTTGCAGATGAGAAGAAGAAGAAAAAGAAGAAAATAAAAGAAGAATCGATAGAACAGCAGGATGAGGACGGAGTTGAAGTTAAGGAAGAATTTGAAGAATCAACAGAGGCACCAATGAGTGAAAAGAAAAAGAAAAAAAAGAAGAAATCACAATCGAATGATTAATTAATAAATAATTACTTGAATAATTTAAAGAAGAATTATTAAGTAAAAATTAACATATTTTTTATTTTGTATTATACTATTTTTCTTATTCAGTAAATAATAAAAATTATTAATATTAATTTCTTTGATTGAATTAATTAATTTCATTATTTTAATAATAACTTGTTTATTTTTTCATTTTTTCAATTGTACTCCTAGCAATTTTATAATAATAAATAATTACATTTGAGTAAATTGTACAAAATACTTTTTCTCTTAATTTTTCATTCACATTTTTAATTACTTATCGATTAATTTTGACAAAAAAAACAAAAGTACATCATTATTGTTTAAGCAAAAAATTTACCAAATTTTAAAGTACAAAAAGTGCAATTGTTTATTATAATTATGATTATTTGAGAAAATATTTGCATTGTTCAGTATTTTATATACAACGACTATGTGTTAAACTATTTTGTCGTTGTTTTTGTCTATTCTTTTCAAATATGATTTTTAATTAATTCATCATAATATTAAATATATCATTCTTTAACTTATAATTATAATCGCATTTTGTTTTACTAAATGTCGGTTAATTGATCAATTTAATTATTAAATCTACGTTATTTGTATATCGTGGTAGTCTTGAAATATGATTTATAAATGCAGTTTATTACTTTTAATCATTCAATTAATTAATCCGTACTTTCATTCTATTTCTTTGTTTCTCTTTATCTTTCCTTACTCATTCTTTGTTCCTCGCTGTTTTTTCATTCTTTATTTTCCCCCTTGTCACATTCTCCGTTACTTTCACCCATACTTCTTGTTTCATTTCTTTAATCTTTTTTTAGTTACATTTTTTTCCACTTCAACGACTCATCGAACAAGTATTCACTCGATTATTATAATTATAATGTGGAGAAAAAAAAATGTTTATTAGTACAATTATTATTTTTTACTATTACTTAATAATTACTAATTAGATGGTAAAAAATAAAGCAAGTGACAATTATTATGTACGACTATTTGTGTTAAAATAAAAAACACAAAAATTGGTTTGCAAACATTATTTAAATGATTCATTTATTATAAATAAATAATTCAAAATTTATATAACTACAAATTTATCTGATTTTATTTTTCTTTTCTTTTTATATTGAAAAGAATTATTAATTAATTTCGACTCTCTAATTAATTAATAATATCAATTATAACTTAAAAAATAATTGTTGGCATTGTTTATTGTTCTTTATCCCTTTTGTAAATTTATCATTATTGATTGGTTATTTTATTCTTTGTCTTTTTACATTGCATCGTCTACTTTTTTTCCATAAATTTAAAAGTTTTCTTTTTTTTAAATTAAATTAAAACATATTAATATAAATTTAATACCCAAAATAATTTTTATGACGGTACAAATGAAAATTTTAAGTTATGGTATGTATTAAGTAAATAATGGTATTTATTGGAAAAATTTAGGTGATATTTTTGTTCAATTATATTGAATTATTTTGTTAAATATTTAATTATAATAATATAGTACTTTATTCTTTTTTTAATTTATTATATTATTATATATAATATATTTATGTATTATATATATATGTATATATATATATATATAATTGTTAGTAAATCTTTCATTTCACTCTTTATAATTTTTTTTCATAATAATATATTAGTATTTTACTTCCTAGTCTTGATTCTTCGTTAACTTGTATTTTTTTTTATTGTTTTATTTTCTAATTTTTTTTTATTTAACTTTTTTCTTTCAACTTCAAATTTGTACAAAATTCATGACTGGATTTCTTTAAATCAAAAAAGATGATTGTAAATAAAAAAAAATCCTCATATTAAATATGTAGATAATTATAAACAAACAAAAACCAGTAGATTTTATTCCATTCACACTCCACATATATTTAGGTCATTTCTTTGATTATTAAAAACTTTAACTACTATCGAAAGCTATATTTATACAAAAAAATTCATTTTTTTCTATTCAAATATAAATAATAGTGTATACTTTTAATAGATCATTCACACTAGAACAATGTTTTTTCATGAATTTCTATTGAATTAACCAAGATTGCGTTATAAACAGCCTTTTTCTTTATTCATTTTTATACTAATTATTATAATTATTCAAAGATTAATGTTTCTTCTACAATTTGTAGTAATATTTTAAATATTCTTGACTTGTTAGCCTACAAAATATCGAATTTTTTTGAAAAACAAATCATCTATTAATATCCACCTCAAAAATATTATCTTGTACACAAAAGCATGTTTCATGTAAAATCATATATGAAAAAACTCCCGAGCTAACTTAAATCTCTACAAAAAAAAATGTCTTCTAATATAATTAACAATCATAAAAGTAATAATAATTAAAAAATAATTATTTTATTGCACTGACAAAATTCGATAATTTGCAGGCTAATTAAAATATAATTTCTCCTTAAATTTTCTTCTTACTGACTGTGCTCTATACTTTCATACTTCTACACCCACATTTTACTCAAAAGAAAAAAATATCCTACAAAAAAAAATAGCTATCATAAAATAATATGTATATATACATTCACAATTGTATAATCTTACAAAATGGAAAAAAAGTTTTTCTACATATTGATCGCAGAAAAATATTCAGAATTTACCACATGGTTATTTCAAAATGATTGAAATATAAAAAGAAAAATAATAAACTTTCGAAGAAAAATTTTGTTTACCGAATACTAGTAAATAAATTGAGACCACTTTTATTTTCTTTTTGACTTCTAGCTTTACTAAAAACATTCCAAAAACGTAATGTTTCATCACCAGCTCCAGTAACGATAGCTTCACCATCAGGTGACATGGCCAGGTACAGAACCCGATAGGAATGTCCGGTCAATTTAGCTACTTGAGTTAAACTTGGATATTTCCAAACCAATATCTGATTCTGAGAATACCCATGGGTGCTAACGAGCTCAGAACTGTGTTTGCTCCAAGCTAAATTACATACTTGAGATCCAGTATCAACACATTGCATTGGTTGACCAGTAAGTGTATTCCAGAACCTGATACATCTATCAGCAGTACCACCACCAGAGGCTAATAATCCATGATGATGTGGTGACCAAGCAATAGCTTTAACAGCTGCTAAATGTTCAGTATAAGTTTGAACAGGAGCTAAAGAGTGTAAATTCCAAACATAAAGTCTATTATCATTTCCACCCGAAGCAAGATATTGATTATCCGGTGACCATTTAAGTCCACAAACTTCTTGCCGATGTGCACCAAGTCTTCTTTCACCAACAACGCAAGGCGTTCTAACATCACGCTGGAGAATCAGTCGATCCCGGCTTCCAGAGCTCAGTACCTCACCGTTCCAAGCCAACGCACCAACTCTCGCATTATGGCCTTGAAGTTTAGCTACTTGCTTATTCACTGCCACGTCCCACACTTGAATATAACCAACGTGGGTGCCGACTGCTACTAAATTACCCCTTTCGTTCCATGCAACTGAAGTTACTGAATTCGCATCACCAGAAAGATCACAAAGTCGTGTTACTTGACTTGTACAAGCACTCCATAGGTACACACAACTACCTAAACCAACACTTAACACATTCTGTGATGACCAATCCACAAGGTTTAGATAAAAATCATCTTGTAATTCAGGTGCATCTAAAACTTTAAATGGAATTCGTGATATTTTTCTAGTTGTTTTTCGTGGTGATCTTAATAACTTTTGACTTTTTGCACTTAATGGTGATAATGAATAGGGTGAACTCTGATCTAATAATGTCCGATCTTTAGTTGGTGTTGCATATTTAAATAAATTTTTTCCTTGAAGTACATTATTTATTCCACGTTCTTCTGATTGACTTTTAACATCTTCAATACTTGCACCAAGTAATTCATTTTTTAATAAACTTGAATATGCTATTCCATCACGACTGCCTTCCCCATTTTCACGTGTTTTCTTAGCCACGAGGCCCCCTCGATTCTCTGAAATCATTGAAAATGTTGTATGCCAGTTGTTTCCTGATCTGAGGGGAATAAATCGATCGAAACTTGTATTTGATGACTTTGAGGGGCTTAAATATGATGGTGATATCGTTCCCATGGTATTCTGGCGTGAAAATAAATTCGTAGACTCATTAGTTGGCTTTAATAGCCTCTTCTCATACTCGTGATGAAACATTTTAATGACTATTTTCACTTTATCAACTTCCAAACACTGTTTTTTATTCTTTCTAATAATTTAGTGGTTATTTTTGGCTTTTATCACTCAATCACATGATCATGGCTACGAATGTTCACGAAATGATTAAACTTATGTCGGTTTCGTTATTTCCCGTTGTATTTGAGTGCTTTGGAAAATTATATAAGCCTTACATTAGAGTTGCCGAGCCACGAGAACTAGAGAATTCAACTCACAGGAGAGGTTTTATCGTTTCTGCTGCGTCGTCGCCATTTGACGTCACGTATATGTGTTTGTTAAACAGGCCTTTTAAAAGCTCCTATCTATATATTTATACACAATTAAATAGGTGATAGGTTATTGTAGGTTTGGTTAGTCACCACAGAGATAATGGAAAAACTGACTCACTAGACAAAACCTCTTTACACTGTGTAATGATTATTTTACAAAAGGGTCTTCAAGATATTATTTTCCTTTTGTACTCCTCTCCCACTGATGCACACTCACAGACTAGTAATACTCGTTTTCTCGTTTTAAACTCCGTACTGTAATAAATCACAGTCGAGGTTGTATGACCGCCCCCTCCCCCACGAAGCGTTAGACAACGTACAAAATACGATAGAGTACACTAGTAGTCACATCCCCCTTTTTTTCTTTACAGGTTATTGATCCATTCTGGTGGCGGTAAATTCAAATTATTTACTACCATTATTTATACTTTTTTTTTTAATAATTATAATCAAATTATATTCATTGAAATTTTTAGATTATTTTATTTACAATTTGTTTCCTTAAAAAATTTATTCCGTAATAAACTTAACAGTTTCTTGACATATTTTTAAGTAATTGATTACAATATTTGAATTTTTTATTTATTAATAAAATTTTTTATGATTAAATAATAGTAGTTTTATCAGTAAATAAATAAATTATATACAATAAATTTAAATAGTATTTATTCTGTTTTCTTTTTCTTAGAAGGACCCTCATCATCGCCATCTTGAAAAATAGTTTTAGGTTGAGTTTTTTTATATGCTGGTGCTATCCAATATGGATTTTCTTCAGCTTCTTTAGCGTATTTTAAAATAGCTTCCCTTGGGTCTTGATCATCTTCAATTCTCTTACTCAGACCTAAATTCCTAATGACGTAAGAACTGAGGGTACCACCAGACGATGCTACCCTACCACCTTGACCTGAAGTAATGGGTAAGTCTGGTCGCCTCGATTTCACCGGATCTAATCTATCTTTTTCCATCTGTTTTCTTACAGACTTAGGTCTGTCCTGTCTAAACAACGGTAATGCATGAGGAGTAATAATTTGTTGAGTAGAAATCATTTCGATATGATTCTTCTTATGTTTAGTCTTTACAACACACAATTTAGCACCTCTTAAGCTCTTTTTCATATCGTAATAAGCTTTTACAACTCCATTACCACATCCGACAAATATTTGATTTAATTTTGGATGCCAAAGAGTTTTGATTACATGAGAATTGGTGACCTTAATCTCGTTCACCAAATTAAAGGTCTTGGTGTCATAGAAAAGCACTCTACCATGAGTTTGACCTTTTGCTAAAGACTCTCCAGTAATTAACATTGAATCATCTGGACTGAACATACAGTCTGTAGTGTCATAACGTGAAAATAACCCATAGGCCTCAGCAATTGGTTCTTTAAAAATCCGTAAATCCCACAACTTCAAAGTATCGTCGCAAGATCTAGATGCTAGCAAGTTTCCAATGTATGAAAAATTAATACTGGAGATCTCTAAACCATTTTTGTGAGCAGTCCGGTGTATCAGGGATGGATTAATAAAATTCTTACGATGATCCCACATCTGAATAGATCCATCAATGCATCCACAAGCCACAACACTACCCTCTTTGCTGTAAGCACAAGTGGTAGGTATAGTTTTGACTCCATTTGATGCTCGACATTTAATTAACTGCTTGTGACCTTTGGGTCTATACAATGCCCAAATTCTACAAGTACTGTCTTGGGAACATGTCAGGTACTCTTCTTTGATAAAAGGATGCCAAGCTCCACAATTTAGACCTGCTGTATGGCCTTTTGTTCTGGCCATGTCAGTGATGTACTGGTCGCCTTTGACTGTTTCACATTTTTCAAAGCCATCTCGATCCAATACCTAAAAAAAATACAAACTTATATATTATTTTGTATACCATCATTTTAGTGCAATCATTAATAAACAACGAAAATTGATAAATATTTTTGACATAGTCGATTTAGATGCAGATGTGTCCCAGTTATTAAGTAGCAGACAAAAATATTCAGTTTGTTAGTAAAAAAAAAATCACATCGATTATGAAAAAGATTATTAAAAAAATTTCATAAGAGAGATTTTTATAATATTCGTGTAAAAAATTTGATTAATAAACTACTTTTATAAAATTCAAATAAATAATTAAAGTTGAAATATAATAATTAACAATGTAATTATTACCATTAAATTTAATATAAAGTATTACTTTTCATGTAGTTCTTCAGTAATATTTTAGATATATACTATCATTAAGAAGTACCTTTTTCAATGTAATTATTCATAAAATCACAAGAAAATAAACTAATAACCTAATATGTTAGAATAAACTTACGGAGTATTTCAAGTGCCTCTAAAGTTTTCAACGCTAGTGTATTTATTCTAATTTTTATTCTTAAATTGTCTGAGAGTTAATTAGAAATAAAACTTTTTTCAATAGTACAGATTTTAATAAACTATTTTTATCTGATTTGATTGTCTAATATTATACTTCTCTTCAACTTGACATAATTAAATTATTTTTATTAGAATTAATAATTGATGATTATAAACAGAAAAATATACCTTGGCTTGAGCAGATCCAGAAATCACTAGAATCACATCACCAGTAATAGAATATTGAAGACATTTGATTGGATGATTTTCACAAGGTTGTAAGGTTCTGAAGCTTTTTAAAGATGAATCCATGCCAGAGAAATCCCAAAAACTTACATCATAATCAACAGATCCTGATGCTAATCGAGCTCCTGATGGATCTGCTGCTATGGCAGTGATAGCTTTGACTCCATGGGTCATAGAAACCTCATGAGAACAAGGAATTTTATCAACCAATTGAGTTTCCTCTTCTTCATCAGACTCGGAATCATCAGAATCATCGCTGTCGTCATTCTTAGTTGGTTTTTTGGTCGATTTGGTGTCTTCTGGAGGAGCTGGTGGTGGCATTGGACCAATAATGTCATCATCATCTTCATTAGAATCATCATCTACATTATTTTCTGATGATTCTTGGGACTTAAAAGTCAATTCTAAATCTTTATTTATTTCATTATTTGATGATTTGATAGGTTTTTTTGAATTTAGAGATTTAGTTATATGCTCTACCATCTCTTCAACGTCAAAGGATTTAGCTTTCTTTCCAAATTCACTCATTCCCATGACTTTCTTCAAATTTTCTGTTTCTTCTTCATCAGCAGGGTTGATTTCTATTATTTTTGATGAACTTTCTTCAATGTCTTTCTTTCCAAATATACCAAAACCTGATGGAGATTCATTTTTTTCTTCTGAAGCTGATGTTTCTGTACATATACTTTTTGAAATTTTGCCAAAAGTTATTTTCTTTCTGTTCATTTTGATGATCGGCAAGTTTAATATTTTTTTTATATTATTATCAATTTAAATAGTCGACAAAATGTATTTTGTTTTAATACAATATAGAAAATATAAATAATTTACTCAATGTTCACTGATATGCAAGGTTAGAAATCGATAATGGTTCATCTTTAACCTGAGAATTCTATTAAAAACCCACAATTTAAAGCCTATTTAATAACAAAAATTCAATTAAGTCAAACTTTACTGTTTTGATATATTTTAATATTTTACTGAACATTTTACGTAAAAAGTCAATATAAAACTAAAATATTTATGTTGTTCAAGATCTTTCCGTTATTGACCACACTTTTGACATAGCTTGAACAACTATGGCCGGCAAATAAGAAATAATTTATCGACCAAGACTATTTTACTACCGACAGAATTTACTCTACTTTATCCGACGGACAGTCTAACCTGAGCTTTTATTGTTAATACATTTTTTCATTTGTGCTTAAAAAAAAATAAAGTTTTAAATAATTAAATTTTTTTAAATTATTTTTAGTATTAATATTGTTTAAATAAATAAAAAAATTATGGATAAATGAAGTGGCATTACAAACAAATATTTGAGAATTATAAGAACAAAAGCGTCAAAACAATGATAAAACTTTTATCACTTTATCATTATAATTTTTGTTTTATTAACAAGCTATGAATTGTTATGTAACTAAAAAACAAGTTGTGAGGAACAATTGAAAAATGGCAGAATCAGTGGTGAATACAAACACGGAATTTAATTATGATGATAGAGAAAGAGCAAATAGTTGTGGTACTGCATCAACACCATCATCATCATCAGATTACATTACAAACGATGCTGATGACAGCTCAGATGGCAAATCTATTGTTCCATTTAGCTTAAAATCAGTTGAAGTTCATTTATCTTTATCTAAAGTAAGTAAATACCTCTCAGGTATCGAAAATACTTCCTTTTAAAATGTTGTCAAGCTATTAAAAGCAACGATAAATTAACACAGTCATCTAATTTTGTTTTAAAATAGACTGCTACTCTAGAAGACTTGAATGAAATGATAAAAAAATGCAAGCAAATGATATTGGATAGCGAGGAGTGTACTGATGAAAGGAAATGGCTTGTTAGAAGGTTGATTGAGCTAAGATTACGTGCTCAGGAACTAAGAGAATCCAATACCAACTGGTTTGAAACCCACGTAATCCTCGGACACCATTTGGTGCCTCAAAAATATTACATTCCATCAACTGGACCTGCTTATTGTGACCATTGCAGTGGAACTATTTGGGCGATGCTCCAATCTTGGTATTTATGTAGTGGTAAGTTATTGAGATCAACAATGAAGAAATTATTTAAATCATTCTAATAATTTTTCTACTTCAGATTGTGGATTTAGTTGTCATTGGAAGTGTGTAAGAGATATAAGACGTGTTTGTGCTCACATAGTAGCTAGTGAAGCAGGTGGTTACGTTTTCACCAAAGATATTTGCCCAGAGAAAGGTCTTTCTGCTCAAGGATATCGTTGTGCTGAATGTTATGCTAGAATAACATTTAGTAAGTATTTATAACTGATAATAATATTTATCAATGATCAAATATAGTATAAAAAAATTAAAAAATGTTGTTTATTACAAGCTCACATTAAAGGATTGTCTTTACCATGTTTTGGTAGTCCTTTTAAACAACCAGGTATCCATTATATATATAAATAATCAATAATAATGATAACTTGTGCATTGTTTTTTGCTTGTAATAGTTTTTTTTTTTAATTTAAACATAAATTGTTGGTATTCAAAAGTGAGCTACACTTTGAATTGTTTCTCAAGACCTCAATGGTACTCCAATTACGAATTATAGCGGATTTGTCATAAATTAACGTGAGAAAAAATGTTTGATATATTTAAAACAATAGTATATAGGTCACTATTAAATTTCTAAAAGTTTAAATTTTCTGATAATTTATGTAAAGATTATTTTTTCGGAAAAAAGCTACTTTCAAAAAACTAGAGTTTTTATTTATTTTTCTAAAGAAATAACATTGGATCAGGTTAAAAAAAATAACAGTAACTTGTAGAATAAATAATATTTTTATTTGAGTATGATAAATAATAAATATGTAAATGAGTTTGATGAGATAATTTATCTGCGTGTATTTCTATCAGGTTGGTGAATATAAAATTACTAATTGCGCAAAACAATCAGCATCGTGACTTTATTGATTTAAAAACATGTTGATTATTGTATTCAGAATGAATAATCTTAAAATAAGTTTTTTGTATTTTTAATACTCTATTGAAATCAGCAATTTCATATGCACCAATTCAATCATATTTTTTCAAAATAAAAAGCAAAATATAGTCTAGCCTTAATTGTGATGCATGAATAAACGTTGATAAATAATATTTTTCACCAGAATCTAGCTGGATAGAACCAAGACTTTGTGATTACACTGGGCTCTATTATTGTCAACGATGCCACTGGAACACAGTAGCTGTAATACCAGCAAGAGTCATCAGAAATTGGGACCTAGAACCAAGACGTGTCAGCAGATCTGCTTCACAATTACTTCAACTATTAAACGAACGTCCGGTGTTATTGTTAGAAGAATTGAATCCTAAGTTATTTGAACTCGTACCTGATTTATCACTTACTAAGGTAAACATTGTCATAAATTCAATGATTAAAAAGATGTTTGAATAATGATTAGAAATATTATATTTTTTTATTCTTAGAGATTGAGAGAAGAATTACAAATGATGAAAAAATATTTGGTCTTTTGTGCTGATGCCGATATTCAAGGGTTACCATGGAGAATTGGCTTACGCACTCACATGATTGAAAATTCTGGAAATTATTCCATCAAAGATCTGGTTGACCTTCAAAATGGCGTTTTGATGGACGAAATCCGGACTGCTTATGATCTCATGCGTGAACATATTACGGAATCATGTGAATTATGTCGAGCAAGGTATGGAAAAGTTCATTTTATAAGACTTTCCTATATTAAAATTATTATTTTCATGATGGAAAATCTATTTTTAAATCTAATGAAAAATTCATAGATACATTTAAATTTAATAACATTTGCATTCATAAAAGATAAGAATTAATAGCTTGTAAATAGAAATAAGTAATTATTGTTATCTAAATGTGAAATAGTAGATAATTATCATTCAAAAACTTGGATTGGCTGAGAGTTAATGAAGATAAATAATTTAATGTATAATGTAAATGATAATTTATAGATTTATAAAAATGAAAAAGAAATTTCTAGAATCACTAGTTTTAATTAAAAATTTAATATTTTTTCTTTTTTTTTTCTTTAAAAAAAAAATATTAAATTATTTCAAGTTCAAAAATTAACTTTATGTGAAATTAATTATATGCGGTGCGGTTCTACGCTTCATAACTCTGCATTTTTAATAGCCCAGGTCATAAAGTATCCTGGGAAACATTTCAACGCATTAAACTGGTGCTTTTTAAATTAAAAATGAATATAAAAAAAATTTTTTTTCTTTCCAGAGGTCATCTTTGTGAAATTTGTGGAAATGACGAGATTATTTTTCCCTGGGATGCAAGTGCAATATCTTGTCCACAATGTAGTGCTGTTCATCATCGAGTTTGTTGGTCTAAAAGGAATCATAATTGTCCGAAATGTGTGAGGATAGAAAAAAGACGATCGCAAAATGTTACAAGTGATGACCAGAATGAAGAAAATATTGATAATAACAAAGAAGACATCAACCAAGATGTACAATAATTAACTTTAAAGTATTTTAGATTAAAAAAAACTTATTTTCTAGAAGAAATTAATCTAGAAAATTATTTTAAAATTGTTTAAATATTAATTTAATAAATAAATTAACGAATTTCGTAATGCAGTTGAAAAAATTTATTATTTCTTACTTTAAAAGCAATTCTAAAATACTTAAAATAATGTCCAGCACAGCTATAGTATTCTTTAAGCAAGAAAAAAATGCACTAATGATAGTAATAAATGATAAATAACACATTACTTTCAAAAAATCAATCTTAATCATCTCCAAGAAACAGGTTTTTTTATTGAACACCTCATTCCATGACCTTGACAATTGGACCTGATGGATCAAAAAGAAAAAAAAAAGTAAACGATCTTGACCTACTGAAAAACAGAAGGGTGATGCAGTAATATCTTGTATAATACTGCATAATATTTATTATGAATAGCTTCATCATGTGTACAAAAATATAATAAATTAACAGGTTAAATCATAAATAGTTGAATAAAAAAAAATGTTAGTAATAATAAATGAGGATATAAACGATTTAACGAAATACTAAAATATTTAGAAATATTGTGGGAATTGACTCCTGAATAATTTTTGAAGCATTTTTTTAATCCAGCTACGAGAGAATATGTATAAAAAGACTTGACCATCACTTTGAAGAATTTTGTTTTGGTTCAAGTTTTATGAAAGACACAACGTGCGTGAAAAAATCATCATTCCTTTATTTTAAGTGTTTTTAACTTAAGAAGTTTGATTATTGTTATTATTCACAGAATATTAAACAATTAAAACATTTAATTAAAAAATGTTTATTTGATAATTAAAATGATTGTAAACAATAAATTGTATAAGTGTTACAATAATTATCTGAAAAAATCGATATTTTTTACTTTCCAATGATGTGAATAACAAAAATTTAAGAATTTATGAATATTTTTAGTACTAAAATTCTTTACAGTGATTTTTTGTAAATAATGTAATTGTTTTTTAAAAAAATAAATTATAACAATCATGAATTTGAGATGATAATAAAAGTATTCGTCTATGAAGCATGAATTTAATGAGTATTTTAATACCAATTATTTTAATAACTCAACTAACGAATTCTTTTGTTGATGCACAAGACCATGTTGATGGCAAAGTTGAAGAAAATACTGAAGATACTTTAGATTCCTCTGATAATTATGTCGACACTGAGATAGATATGAAGATTACATTCAGATCAAGTATTGAAAAATTTCTTCAAACTCTTATGATGACTTTGAGAAGACGTCAAGTGGATAGAGAAGCTAATAGATTCGTTGCAGTGATGATTGCTTTGCTACCTGAACCTGTTAAGGAGATCCTTATGCTGACGAGTGATAAAGAAAAAGAAAAAAAGGATAATATTGAAAGAAGAAGGTTTGGCGAGACGCTCAATAATTATAGAAATGATTTTCATGCGATATATCCTGGTAATTAAATTGTTATGCAAGCATTCAAGATGGGTTCTAATTTAGTATTAGTTTCTAATCACTTTTACATACTTTTAATTTTATCGGTACTATGAAACTTTTTCAAATGCATACTTACATTTTTTTTATAACAATGCGTATGTTTGAATCTAAATTAATAATTATAGCATTTAATGCGAAAAAATTTTAATAATTTCTTTTAAAAAAATGATCTTCAGTGAATTAATTTTTTTTTTCTTTTTCAAGTAAAATATATTAAATCTTCCTTAGTTTTGAGGGGTTTGTTAAAAATAAAGTATGTTCGTACTGCCAAGAATATTAATAACATTTTGATTAAAACATTTTCTAATACACTTTAAAATGCAATTTTGTAATTATTAAAAAAAATTTTAATTTATTACAGGATTTAATGTAATGTAGCTTTTTAAGATAAAACAACATGGTAGTAAAATGAACAAAAATAAGTAAATAAACGTAATACTTTTTAATTATAGGAACTTTATGGTGTGGTGGAGGAAATATTGCAGTAAAAAAAGATGATGTAGGAGTATTTTCTCAAACAGATATCTGTTGTCGTGAACACGATTCTTGTCCTTACTCAGTAGAAGCTGGCAAGACCTTTGGTTTATTAAAAAACAACGGAATGTTTGCCAGGTAAATATTCTTTAAAAAATCATCCTTTAAAAATTAATTATGAATACATATATTACAAATGTGTTTAAAATTAATAAAAATGTTTAAATTAACGAAAATTATTAATCATCTTTAAAGATCAGCTTGTTCCTGTGATCTCAAATTTTACAAATGTTTAAAAAAAGTAAATACCATTGTCTCTGTAAATATTGGCACCACCTACTTCAACATCCTACGGCCACAATGCTTTGGATATAGTCATCCAATAAAGTCATGTGAAAAATATGACGAGTAAGTATTAATTACAATGATTAAATGTGGCAATTATTTGCAAGTAAAGAAATACGGCTTAAATTTGTTCCAAAATTTTTTTCGCATACTTCGAGTCATTTTTTGATGACAAGAAACACATTTTTTAGTTAGAGAGTCACCTTTTCTTATTTTAACACATCATTTTATGGTGTTAATTCAATTTTCTAAGAACAAAATATTTAAATACATTTTTAGATTTTAATAATACGATAAATATAATTATCAAAAAATTTTCTTCGTCTTAAACTACATTATTTTACATTAAAAAATGACTTGAAATGCATAAAAAATTTTTTTAGCGAACAAGTTGAAGTCTCACTTGTAAATATTTATTTTAAATTCAATTTAAATATCAAAAAATTTTAGAGTGAGGAGAAGTGATAGAAAGTGTATTAAATATAAGTTCGACGACGCCAAAAATAAAACTCTAGAATGGTTTGATGTTCCTGATTTTTAAAATTGTTTAAACAAATGACAAAAAAAGAAGTTTCCTCGGAAAAGGCCCTGTTGAGTTATACCAATTAAATAGGGATCCGGACACATATCTTTACTTTGACCAATACTCTCCATGCCAAACTCAAAGATCAATCTTAACCAACTGGTTTGACAGCTGAAAAAGACGTCCTATCTTTGTGAGTGAGAAAGACGATGGAGGCCAACAGTCACAATTCTAACTGCGACACTTTCTGTCAAGAATCCAGGGACCTTCCCCAGAGCTATATAAGAGTCATGAAAACTCCGATTGTGGCTCCGCGGTGTGGCTCGAGGAAACTTTACAATAAACTTCTCACACCACATTTTTATTTGAACCTTTTGTAACTAAGCACATGCGAGAAAGTTTTCATATTTTCCATAACCAATTTTACAATAAACAAAAAACAATTTTTAGCTTCTAAAAGCGTAATACTTTTTGGTGATATCAAGTTCAATTTTTAAAAAAAAAAATTTAAGTCAAAATTATCTTATAAACATAATAAATAATATTTATGTTTATATATATTTTTTTATAATTATCATATTGTTATCATGTTTTTTACATTTTTCTGTTGTTAATGATTATTTTTAATGTTTAACTATTTTATAAAAACATAAAACTGTATGAATTACTAAAGATTAATTAGTAAATTTTAAAATAAATATTTTTTTTTATTTACAAAAAAACTCTTATCCCTTAATTATTTAGTAAAAATTATTTCCTATTTTTTAAGTTTTATAACATAAGCGTCACCAGGAGCGATAATAAATTCCTTAAAAAGTATGACGTCATTGAGTCTTTTAATTGGACCAACAACAATCTCTCCTTCGTAATATAAAGAAGAAAAATCTCTGTTCTGGGTATTGTTACCAAAATTAGCCACTAAAATGTAAGTATTCTGTCGCGGATACCATCTTTCGATAATTATTAACTCACTTTCGACATACCTGCAATTAAATAAAACATAATATGTTATTACTATTGACATTAAATAATGATCTATTTATTATGTGAATCTCTTCCTCAATAAGTTAGTCTTTTGAGTTACTTATTGATAATTTTCTTGAAAACTATGAAAAAAAGTTTCGAATAAAAGTATGTAGCAATTTTACATAAAAAAGGTCATTACAGTTTAACTTCTATCTCTTATGGTTCAACTACAAACCGACGATAAAGATTGGGAAGTAAGAGAAAAAAATTAATTTTTGGACTTTCATCGTTATTTTGTGGCTAATCTATCAGAAATAGAGGTGGAAATTTGATGATCTTCTATTTCGACTAAATAATACAAATTACCTGATTTCACAATTTACACTTATATGATCATGCTTCAGAGCAGCTTCAACATAAATTGGAGCAGCGCTCTGACGTAAATTCATCATCTGGGGTACTGCGATACTCATTGAGGTAGGTAATGGCATAGGAGAGCTTGGTATCCAAGGCATTACTGTACTCGATGAGAACTGTTCTGTCTTATTATGAAACACAAAAGACCAGATCATTGGTGAAAGGTTGTGCAAATTCTCCAGATCAGTGTGATCTTCACACTTGCAATCTCTCATTCCGATCTAAAAAAATCACCCATTTTTAATCTAAACTTTTTATCATCATTTTAATAATAACAAACTTTTTTATTAAACATATTATTATTTACCTCGTCCCCATAAAATATGCTTGGAGTCCCCGGCAACATCATAGCAAAAATAATAGCAGCTTTCGTAGCATTTTTTGACGACAAGCACGATGCTATTCTCTTGGTTTCCACATTCCCCACTGACCAATGAACCCACATTCTCTGATCAACAACTTTACTTGGATCTTCATGAACAATAAATAAATTAGCCATCACATCTTCAACCTGTCTCTGAATTGCCTTAGTTCCATTAGTCATCTTTAGCGTCACATCAACCAAATCCATCACTTCCATTATTTTTTCTTTAATCATCGGTTTTCTAGCAACTTCTAGGACCTTCCAGTTGCACATGAGGATCCTCTGAGGTCCCATGATGTCTCTCCAATGGTTTAAAAAATTCATAAAATTCGAATCATTAACATAATGCTCTAAGCCTTTCAAGTAAAATCCATCAACATTCTTTTGTCGCCAAAACGTTAGGACCAATGTTATTTCATGCAAGGAATTCTTGCTAATGTCATCAGAATTAGGTAGAGTATATCTTTCATACTTTGGTGCATTTTTTTCTGAAGAATTTGATATTGATGATGTTAAATTGTCATCTCGAGCTTCGACTTCTCTAGAAATTCTCTTGTAATCAGCCATTATCTTTTCATTCTCGAAATTAGGATTATTTCCTATCGATTTTCGGCTGACATAGGCATGAATTGGAATATCTAGTACAAGATTAATATCATTACGATGAAGTTGGTCAACAAGATTCGTAAAATCCGCCATTGTTCCAAGATTATCGTCAATAGAAGTGAGATTCTTGATATTTAAGTAGTGTTCTGGATAATGAGTTGCCTGGAAAATGGAGTTTAATCGAATTGTCTTAACTCCAAGACTCTTTAGGTAACCCAATCGCATAGATATACCTCGCAGATCCCCAATTCCATCACCAACATTCGATGAATCTTGAAACGATGCTGGGAATATCTCGTAGAAGAGCTTTCCTTGCCACCATTCTGTTGGTGGATCACATCGTCGTGGCATCGTGACAATACCTCGGATAGCAAACGTTGTTACCAAACTCAGTAATCCTATCATCAACCAAAAACAAATCCGTCTAATCTTTGGCCAATTCCATTGAGTAAAAGCAAAGTCTTTGGGCGATTTTGGCATTATCACTTGGATTCCAACCATTGGAGCTTTACCGCCATTTTCTTGACTATAAAACTGGACAAAATAATAAGGTTAATCAGGTTAAAAACCTTGTAATATTTAAATTACTCCACTGTAGTCAGTTAAAATTGTTTTAAACTCACAATTGCTTGAGCATCGGGTGCTAAATGTTGATATGCTGTATTCAATTGAGTTAATAATTGAGTACAAACCGGCTCCTTATTTAAACTACGACTTTCTTCGCTACTGCTTGATTCTACCATTGGATCCCTTGAGCTTGCTTCTTTAATAAAAAATTAATTTATTAATATTTTTTTCTCTAAAACACGTAAATTAAATAATTAGTCTATTATAGAAACTTATAAAAGCTTTTTCTTCTACATTTTGCCAATAAAGAAATAAAAAAAAACATTAACTGAGCTAAATGACAAAAATAACTTTTTTTCAATAACATCAAAAATATTTGCCCTCAATAGATTTAAGTACGTTAAATAGGAAAAAGAAAGAGTCATTTTTATAGTTGATTTCAATAGTTCATAAACTGCGAGTAATTTCTATTTATAATAATTGAAGCTTTTAATTTTAATATTAATCAATTATTCTGAATAAAAAATAATAAATATTACTTCTTAAAAATCTCTATTTTATATCAAAAGAAAAAAAAAGTATTGACAAAAAATTTTTCATTAAAATTTTCAATCATTTTTGTATTCAAGTTATACACTCACAAATTTAATATTAATACTTTTTCATGAATTGATGCAATCTTAAAGGATTCAACCAAGTATGTATAAATAAATAAATAAAAATTATTTATCATCAATTTGAACCTGAAACTTACCGTCATTGTTTATTTTACTATTGTTAATATTAGCATTGTTAATAGTTAGTGCATTAACAACAGCTGATTTTATTTCTTCTATTGCTGGAGAATTATTGTCTAGACGATCAAACATTGTTGATTCTGGAGTTTCCAGTTGGTCTGATGGAGTTTGATCACCAGGAGGTGGACTTGGAGTTAAAAGTGGACAGTCTGATTCCTCTTCATCCTGAAATAAAATAATAATAATAAATTATATTGAGTAATTTTGATTATTGATAATTTTTCATGATTTTTACCTGAATACTAGAATTCTTGATAAATAACCGAGGTGGTTTGGCTGATGATGATGAAAGTAATTCACTTGGTGAGTCAATCGCCAAATGTTTATCCATCTTGTAATTGTAGCCGAATGTTAGGGCGTTATTTTTAGTAGATATGTTTAGTAACTGAGCCTCTAAACTCGTCTGTCTTCATCGACGATTGTCAACCCAGGCCCACATTGTATATGACCTTCAATAAAATAAAGCGCATGCTTATTTTTGACGTCTAAAGGGCGCATGACTGCTCTTCTTCCTAGTTAATTCAAAATAATTATAATTAATTCCTAAATAATGCATCTTATTAATTGCATTTCTTCTTAAAATTATTTAGAATATTTTCAATAATTTATTATTCTACTTTTTTTGATCGTCAGAGTAGTTTTAAAATTGACCAAAAATGAACGAAATTTCATTTTGGATAAAATTAGTGCTTGAAATGTGTTTTATTTTTGATAAAAATTCCAAATATGTATACTTAAGTGCAACTTCTTCGAATATGAGAGCTCAATATGTCAAATAATCAGAAATGAGTGTGATTTCTTATCAACATTGACCCCTTGTAAGTAATAGTTTGACAAAAAAATTGAACTTTGTTGATACTCACACCATTAAATTACAGTTACTACAATTATGATGATTTTTTTATCACTTTTTCCACACAATAATAGCAACAAAAACACAAATAATAGTAATCAATTCATTCTGGTGATAGTCAGTCTTATTTACTTACTTGGAAGCATTGATTAGGACTTCTAAAGTCAATTTTTTTCAACTACAAATCATTCTACAATTTCTCGAAAATGTGATTTAACTTTACTATTTTTCCTTGTTTTCTAATATTGCGATGGTCTTGGACTTTGTTGCTGGATGTCTTGGAGGTATTTCTTGTAACACAAATATTTATTTTAATTTTTAAACATTAATTATAGTAAAAAAAACATTAAATTTTTTAATAGGGTGTGCCGGTTTAATAGTAGGATATCCTTTGGATACTATTAAAGTTCATCTTCAAACCCAAAACTCTAAAAATCCTCAATATCGAGGCACTTGGCATTGCTTTCAATCAATTCTTGCTAAAGAATCAGTAAGTAAAATCACTCTTAATTAAGTTATTTTAATTCAATATATTTTTGTACATGTTTAAAAATATAATAAAAAATATAGCAAAAAATCAATTTTAGATTAAAAAAAACCTTAAACCCTAAATCATTTTAATTTAGGATGTCTTCTTTTAATGTTCCAAAATAACTAAACTTATCGATAACGTATTTTTAAGTTTCATAAACATTTTTAAAGACTTTGTAATGCTGATAGAAGTACCTTAAAACGTTTCATCTTTTCAGATTGCAGGATTTTACAAAGGAATATCATCTCCTCTAGCAGGAGTTGCTGTAATCAATGCCATAGTGTTTGGAGTATACGGTCAAACTCAGAAGCATTTAATTCAAAATTCTGATGATTTATCAAGTCACTTTTTAGCTGGAGCTGCTGCTGGATTAGCACAATCTCCAGTTACATCACCTTTAGAACTTGCTAAAACCCGATTGCAACTTCAAGCTCTTCAATACTCCAATTTTTCATCTAAAAATACGTCATATTCACGATTAAAACACACTCATTATTCTGGTCCACTCCAGTGTTTGAGAAAAATATATTGCATTAAAGGAATCTCTGGAGTCTTTAGTGGTCTGACTGTCACTGCACTACGAGAAGTTCCAAGCTGTGGATTGTATTTTTTTACCTACGAAGCATTGATCCGAGCTGGAGACAAATCATCAACACTCCACATGCTGATAGCCGGAGGTTTAGCTGGTACTGTGTCTTGGGTATTAACTTATCCCGTAGATGTTATCAAATCTCGTCTCCAAGCAGACCACCAAGGTCAATATACTGGAGCTTGGGACTGTTATCGACAATCAATTCGACAAGAAGGTTACAGATGTTTATTCAAAGGTCTTAATTCCACAATTATTCGTGCCTTTCCTACCAACGCCATCACCTTTACTGTTGTCCAGTGGACTTATCGGTTGTGTGGTGATGCTGAAAAACAGATTGACGAGATAAAATATAAATTAGTTGAGCATGAAATGACAAATGAATCTCAATTGAGTTCTATTATTCTTTATAATCATTCTGATGGTCATAGAAGTAGTAATATTAATAGTCAGAGTTATTATCATCATCACTGTAATGTTTTGTTGAATAATTTTAACTCACTTTTCAATAGTATTATCGATAATGCTCATACTTTTAATTTGTACTGCCAAACTACTACTGGAGGTCGAGAAAATGCATATAAAAGTCCAAAATAAAATGATTAAATATTTTTTAAATTGTTGCTAATATTGAGAATTTTTAGATAATTAGCTTAGACAGAGTTATAGAAATTTTTATTGCTAATTTGTTTTTTAATTTGATAAAAAATAAAATTTCATTCACATTGATAAAACTTGAGCTCTCAACAATTAATGCATAACCGACAAAAAAGTTGTCATTGTTTTAAAACTGAGTTTATCAGATACGATTAATCTTAAGTCCAGCAGTAGCTCTAATAAAGCAAGAGCTTACTCATTCTTTCTAAATAAAATATTACAATTTAATAAAATAACCATGGACTTTTTGAAGCTTATATCTTACATTTTAAATTATTAAATATTTATGAATTAATGTTATGTAAGATTGAAAATTTTTAATAACTTAATTTCAAAAATTTTTAATAAACCATTTTTCTAATCTACAATTTGAAAAACATTACAATCAGTATCAATATTAAAAAATTAGATTTAATTATAAATAATATAAAGCTAAATTACATACAATTATTATCACTTAATTATCATGTACTCATTATGAGCATTAAATGTATTCTATTCTATTTTTGTAATCAAATAGTTCATTTTAATTCATCATTTTTATTAAAAAACATTGTAAAGTCGAAATATTTCATAAAACTGGATATTTCGATTAAAAAAATTGGCTTATTAAAAATTCTTATTATCAAATATTATTATTATAATATTATTAATTATTATTGAGAATACCTTTTTAAATCTAAACAAAAAATGTATATTTAAATAAGCATTCTTTTGTTAATATTAACACTTTCGACTTTTACTTCGCGTCATGTGTGTTAATAAAATTTTCAATTTTTCAACACCATTTCTATTTGGTTTATCCAACATAAAAAAATTATTCCAATGAAAAAAATAAATAAAAATCATCAATTTCTTAGCTCAAAAACAACATGATATTCTCTACAAAAGTTTAATCTAAATTCTAACGATACATTTTGTCATAAAAATTACGATGGATAACATGGAGGAAGAAGAAAGACATGTTCTAGAGGCGGAAATGAATAGAAATGAATCATCATCATCATCATTGTTAACCACCTCATCAATATCATCTTCTTCTTTATCATCGTCACCTCACACATCCTTGTTAGCATCACAAAATGACACTGAAGAACAGGTTGAATCTTCAACTAATTCCCAATCAGTAGTAGAATATGGTAGACGATGTATCAGTATTCAAGCCATGCAATCACTTTATGATCTTTGTCAAAATAATCTTCTCTGTGATGCGATCATTCGCCTAGAAGATGGTGGAGTTTTTCCTATTCATCGAGCTATTCTTTCAACTTGCAGTAGTTACTTCAGGTGAGAATATAATTTTTTTCTTCAACTAAATTAAAGTTAATCTTAAATGTTTAAATATTATGTTTATTATTCATCAATAGAACTTTATTTACTACCATTTTTTACTCACAAGAAAAATCTGATGTTTTTATACCTGGTGTTTCAAGTGAAGTTATGCATCTCTTACTTAAATACGCTTATCTTCGATCTTTAAAATTAACTCACGAAAATGTTTGTCAGCTCTTTATTGCTGCTAATTACCTTTGCATGTTTGGAATTCTCGACATTTGTCGTAATTACTTTCGAGACAATCTAACACCTGAAAATTGCATTGGAGTTTTAAGATTTGGTAGAGATCATTGCTGTCAAGGTCTAGAAAGTGACACTCATGCATACATTATGAGGAATTTTGTTGAGGTAAATTTTAAAAGTTATTTAAATTTTAATTTGAAATTAGTAATCCAATTATTGAAGTCGTGAAATTAACATTTTAACATTCATTAGCTACAAGATTGATTTTTAATATTTTTTTATCTTTAATGCCATTTCACAGCTTAAAGCGCCTCGAGTGGCAAAATATAGATATATAAAAGTATATTTGACAGTTTTTGGTCGGCCATATGTAAACGAGTAAGAGAGTTATAAATATGAAAAACAATCTGTCAAATCGCTTTAGACTTTTAATTTCGGATATTTTGCTTATTCTTCAACCAATATTGTTTCTTCAATCATCTCGTTTCATTCCATAAATTTTTGTTGCACGAATCTTTTCCTGTAGGTATTTCCTTGTTTTATCTATTTATTGGCCTAAAATTAGTGCGCAAAAGTCCATATACTTGTATACATATATCTATGTATATTTGTCCGCTCGAGGTGCCTTAAATTATTAGAGTTTATGAATCTTTCTAATGTAAAATCTAAAATGCTTCAATTTTTGTCTGAATCTTTTTTTATATCTTATATTATCTTCGAGATGATCTGAAAAATTTTGATTTTTGAGTAGTTTTATAATCATTTCCGCTTCTTGCCTACAATGAAAGTACTGTTTTTACTATGACTAATTTCTTTCTATTATCTCCAAAAATATTACCTGAAATTTTTCATCATGCTGAAAAATTCCAATTTCACGACTTTGATGACTAGACTTTAGTTTATAAAATTACTTTATATTCACTAATTGCACAGATAGCTCAGAAAAGCGAAGAAATAATAAAACTTTCAATTGACGAGCTATGCCCATTGATTGATGCTGATGAATTAAATGTAAAGAGTGAAGAAATAGTCTGGGAATTTATTGTCAAATGGATTGATCACGATCCTGACAATCGCAAACAATACATCACGCAATTATTAAGAACAGTCCGATTGGGTTTACTAGACACACAGTATTTTTATGAAAAAGTCAAAGAACACAAATATGTAGCTTGCGTTGAAGTGTGTCGACCAATAATCATTGAAACTCTTAAATTCCTTTACGACTTGGAGATGATAATGCAAAAGCATGAAGAATTAGCAACACCAAAGATTGCAAGACCACGAATTCCTCATGAAATATTGTTTGTTTTTGGTGGCTGGATTGGAAATAATCCAACAAGTTTAATAGAAACTTATAATACCAGAGCAGATTGTTGGATACCAGTATATTAAATCAATTAAATTGATTGAATTATTATTCATAGACACTTGAATTAATTAACTCTGAATTATATTAGCAGCTAGAAATAGACTCAAGTGGTGGAGGTCGAGCTTACCATGCGGCTGCAAAAATTGGTTTCAATATTTATGTCGTTGGTGGATATAATAGCATTGAATATTTTAACAGCTGCCGATGTTTTAATGCTGTTACTAAAACCTGGCGAGAAGTGGCTCCAATGAATTCTAGGAGGTTGATTTTATTCAATGCTTTCATTGAAGCCATTATTTTAAAATGAAATCTGATGAACGGTTTGTTAAAAGAGTTATATGTTGCTTCAAATTGTTTTCAAATATACTGTGTATCTTTCAGGATTAGAATTAACTGTTTTATTCCCTAGACTTCAATAATTAAAAATTAATGTATTTATAGTGACATTACTATTTTATATTTGTATTATAGGCAAGAATTGAACAGAATGATGGTGGTCATTTATTAGACATTTCATTTTACTCTCTTCTTCCCCGTGAAAAAACGCTAAGCTATCCAATCAGATTTAAACAATTATATTATTTTGTCATTTGAAATAACATAACACTTTGAATAAATCATTAATCAGCTCATCGTAGTCATAATCTATCTTTTATGAATAAACTATCATTTTCCTAGATGTTACGTCGCTTTGGCAGTGCTAGATGACATTATTTATGCTATGGGGGGGTTCGATGGACTCTTGAGGCTCAAAACAGCTGAAAAATATGATTATCGTACCAACCAGTGGTCACTTATTGCTCCCATGAATGTCCAAAGATCTGAGGGCACTGCAGCAGCTCTCAACAGTAATACTTTTTTTCTCTACAAAATGACGAATTTTTTTTGCTTTCTTCTCTAAAAAAAATTAATTTGTACTTTTCAGATAAAATATATATCACTGGTGGCTTTAATGGGAGTGAATGCACCAACACTGCGGAATTTTATGACCCCAAAACTAACCAGTGGACCATGATAGCAACAATGGGATGTCGAAGGAGTGGATCATCTTGTATTGCCTATCACAATTGTGTGTATGTTTTTGGTAAGAGTGTGTATATATTTGGTTTATCAATATCAATATTTTTATCTGAAGCTTTAGATATTGATGATAATTATTATTCAAGGTGGATTCAATGGCATCTCAAGGATGAAAAGCTGCGAAAAATATAACCCAACTACTAACACTTGGAGCTACATACCCAGCATGTATTATTCTAGGAGTAACTTTGCTGTTGAAATCATCGATGATCTAATCTTTGTTATTGGGGGCTATAATGGAATCACATCAACATTTCATGTTGAATGCTACGATGAAGCTACCAATGAATGGTTATAACTTATTAATATATGCTTGTACAAAATTTTGTAATTATTTACATTCTTTAACCTGTTTTTTTAAGTTTCGATGATTTTATTAACAGGTATGCAGCCACAGATTTAAATATCTATCGTTCTGGTCATTCAGCTTGTGTAATAATGGGCCTGCCAAATGCTCGAGATTACATTTATCAGCATCATGACAGCCTAATGGAAGAAAAACGACAGAAATTATTGGCTCTTGAACTTCAACGTAATTATCAGAATCAACAGAATCATCAACAACAAAATCAACAAAATCAATTAACTCAACAATTCTTGGCTAATATTAATATTAATTTAAATAATAATACAGCTAATACGGCATCAACATCCATGGCATTAGCAAGAATTAATAATCATCGTAATAATCATCGCTGAAAAATAGTTTTTTAAACATTTTTTTCTAGATAAATTTTATTTTACTTAAATTTTGATATGCTGATTAGCAATAATTATATTTTATACTGATGTATCTTTATAAAAATGTTTTCATTAAAAATAACTTAATAGACTTTCAAGTCTTTTTATGACTTACAAATCTCCAACTATTTTAAATTTTTTTATTGTTATTAATCAACTAAAGTGGAGGTACACATTTTTGTTTATTGTTATGATGCACATGATCATTTCAATCACAAACTTCGACTTCACTGCGTATAAATAAAAAAAAGACAATTTGCGAAGCATAATTTTGGCGGGCAAGCACAAAATGTTACTAACAGAGCAATAGAAATTGTTTGCTCGGTAATAGTGTCAGTTATTTTACCGACTGAAAAACAGTCAGGTTGCAAAGAATACTGTCTTACCGTAAGACAGTATTCTTTGTAATTAGTTGCGCAGTCGGTAATTTAAAATTGTTCATAAAAAATTCGCCTTGAATGATGTCAGCGATATGTGCTTATCAATACTCGGTCTAATTATTAAAATTATGTCAAATACAAAAGTTAGGTAGAGAATAATGTATACGTGGCAACGTAGTAGAATAAAAAATCACGTGATTAATTATTTAAATAATTTAACTTTATCAAGTAATGGCTAAAATCATTAAACTACCTGATAATAACGCTGTGACAATCACCATTTGCGAATATTGTTCTAACCTTTCGTTCAAGAGAGTTCAAGACTTTGTTAAGTAAGTATTTATTATTATTGACAAGTTATTACTTCATCATATTACTAAATATCATCATTATTTCATTGTTATAATGATTAATAAATATAGAACGATTTTCATGTCGATGATTATTGTCAAAATAATGAGAAAATATTTATAATTTTCTCAATATCAAATTAAATATTAAACAATAATGGATAGTTTATAGCTTATTTCGTTTACAAAATCAGTTAATAAATGATACAAATAATAATTGGTGTGGTATTTTTCATGTATAATTGGAATATTTTAAATATTGTGAAGTTTTAATTAAGTTAGTTAAATTAGAAAAAAATAGATATTTTTAATTAAAAATATTTTCCATTCTTCTAGACATCTGAGAGAAGAGCATTGTTCAAGAGAAGGTGGTTCTTTCGTTTGCCATTATGGCTACAATGGCGTATGTTCAAGTCTTCCACTGGAAGGAGTGTCAGACAAAGATTATGTAGCACATGCAAATAAACATGCAGTAATGCAACAACAGAAAAAAAATAATGGCGAGATTTCGGATACTTTGCCACCATGGACGGTTTATTCAGCCGTTCAGAATCTCCCTGCTGTCCTAAATGATCCCAAGAAAGGCAAACAGAGCAATTTTTTGACAAAAACATGGGGTGAAAGCTTTGTTGATAAAGTAGACATCCCAAAGAGTCCATTTCTCCCAAATATTTCAATACATTTATTTGATTCTTATTTGAAGAAAATTGGACGAAGATATCGTAGATATTCAAGATCTAATGCGTCAACTGATACACCTTCTCTTTATGATCTATTGAATCATCGACAAAAAAGTAAAACTAGCGATTTCTCAACGCAAAATGATTTTCTAAATATTCCTAGCATTTTTTTTAACTCAAATTTAGATTTAACCAACCGAAAAACGTTTGAGACTATTTTTCCATTCACCAAAGATGGTTTATTGAATGAAGGTGCTAGTAATATAGTAAATCATGTGAAACATCATCAAGAAAAGCTCAGTCAACATTTGGATATCATTGAGATGAGAATTGCTGAACAAGTGGCGTCGAAATCTCAAGCTTTCTTCCAAGCTATGACAAGTCATGATGTTCTTATGGAACAATTGACTCAGACCATCACAGTCTTGAAAGCTTTAAGGAAAAACATTCATCAGATTGATCAGGATTTTGTTATTGATTCCCTAAATATCCTAAGACTAGAAAAAGCAAGATCAAATAGACTACTCGTGTATGAGAAATTAAAATTAATAGCAACAGTTCATCAAAGCCAACCAATGATCCAACTGTTGCTTTCTACTCCTGATTATGTTGCAGCCCTAGACTTGATATCAACAACCCAAGAAATTTTACACCAAGAATTAAATGGAATACAAAGCTTTAGACATTTAAGTTCGCAATTAACTGAGATGGAAAAATTGATAGATAAGATGTTGTTTACTGAATTTCAACGTTATGCCACTGCCGATTTGAATAGACCATTGATAGGTAATGACAATAATGTGATTGATGTTGATAAACTGATATCAATAATTTCTGGTCTACTTCGCCAAAAACATTTTCAATTTATTGATACTTATAAAGAAGAAAGTATCACTACTGTTAGAGCTGTTACTAAACAACGAGTTATTGAAACATTGGCAGCTAGTGATTGTAGTGATCAACAAGCTGCCGCTTTAGAAGTTAGTGGATTGTCTCTTGCTGAAAGATTGACATTGTTGCAAGGCACTATTCAGTCATTAACTTCACTTTTATTTCGTATAAAGGTAAATAACAAAATATATTCAAATGGAAAAGAATGATTAAATTTAATAATTTCTCTAGGTGTTATTATAATTAATTTATTCTAATGATTGTTTATTATTTACAGGCAGTTTATGAAGTCATGAAGGAAACAATAAACCTTTCGAGTGATACTATTTCATCAGAAGGAGGTAGAAAAGTGAATGCCAATTCCATTATTGATAGATTATTAACAGAAGAAGAATCTAGTAGAGTAAACAATAAATTGAGTGATATGCTTATGGCCATTTGTGATTATTGTCATGAACGATTAGGTCAGCTTATATTATCCTCAGGAACTAATGAACGAGAAAAATATTATAATGATACTAAAGATTTACATTATAATAGTAATGACAATGTAACTAATACAATAAGTGGAAATAGTAGTGGGAAAATAAATGAAAAAGAATCACAGCAGTCTAATGATGAAAACAATTCATGGTTGAGTGATAAAGCTACTGTTCTACAAGTATGTCAGCTGGCAAATATGGTGGAGGAATTTACAAACACTTGTGAGCTTATTTGTGGAAAACAATGCACGGGTTTGAGATCAGCATTTAAAGTTCATGCTAGTAAATTTATTCAGAGATTTCATACTGAAAGAAGAAATAAATTAAGTTTACTTTTGGAAGGCGAAAATTGGAAACAGGCTGATATTCCATGGGATTTTCAGCTTTTGATAACATACATGCATAAAAATCAATCATTTCCTAAAGATTTGTATAATAATATTAGTCATAATGAACGAAGTAAAAGTAATACAATTAAAAATGTAATTTTTGTTGGAGATGAAGAGTTTGCTGTTGTTGGGGTTACTTTAATGCTTGTACAAATGATTCATGAGTACTGTCGGTAAGTTGAAAGTTTTATAATCATCCAGATGTATTTTTTTAAACCTAATGAGACCATAAACAAATTATTTATAACTTGAATTTGTTCAGAATGTCGAAAGATAATGTTTTAAACTAGAAAAGATTCAGAAAAGGCTTAAAATTATTCAATATTAATATCATTTAAATTATTCTATCAATCTTAACATAATAATTAAGCTCTGTGATGCCAATTTATGGTTATCAACCATTAACATTATTTCCTGTTAATCTTTATTTTTCTTTGATTAAATCATTTTTATCTCTTATTATTATAATCCGTTATATTTAAATGACTTTTTTTTAAATATCTAAGCCAAAAAAATAGTTGGGTTTAATCTGAAAGATCAATTCTAGATGTTGGACTAAAAAATCTGATCGCCAATATTTCTAAAATAATTTAGTTAATACATTGTAATGATTTATTTCTTTTTTTTCTAGCATCGCAAGTGAACTAATAGTTTTATCAGGAACAATAGGTCGTTATTTAGCAGAAATTCTTCGACTTTTTAACTCTCGTTGTTGCCAACTAGTCTTGGGTGCTGGAGCAATGCAAGTTGCTGGATTAAAAACCATCACCAGTACCATACTCGTTCTTGCTAGTCGAAGTCTCAAGCTCATTCTTTGGACAATGCCATTCGTCAGAGCACATTTTCATGCTTTGGCTAATTCTAATTTAATTAGAGGTAGTGCTATTGGACTGATGAACAGTACGAGCAGTTCAGGTGGTGTTGCATTACTTGACAGTGTCGAGAGAGATATTAGAGCACATGTGAGGGAAATAGAAGGCAAGATTTTGAATATTGTTGATAATCTTGTTGGAGGACAAATCAATAGCTGGGATGCTAGACCACCTGTTCCTTCACAATCATTTAGAAATATCTCAAGGTGAGTTTAGAAAATTTTTATAAAGATTATGATTTATAGAGACACAGATATACTTGGATTTTAATCAGTACAGAAATATCATTAGTTAATTAGTTAGTAAATTGTTTATAGCTTATTTTTTAAATTTAATATACAATTCATTATTAGTAATGTTTGAGATTTATTTATTTAATTAATTAAATGCTAATAGTAACTATGATATTTTTCAGACACTTAACAAAGCTGTACGAAGCAGTATCAGGTATTCTTCCACCTGGCGATGTGCAATCACTTTACAGAACTGTGAATATGTCATTCAAGGAAAAGTTACGAGAACAATTAATTAAAATGAATATTATCAATAATGGTGGTCCTCAGCATGGAGTTGTTATTTCAGAGTTGACATTTTATTTAGAGGCTTTGAGAAATTTGAAAGTCTTGCCGGCTGCTGAACTAAGCGATGATTGGATGTTAGACGTATGGATTAGATAACGTGCAAATATTGTAAATTTAATTAATTTATTATTATTATTTATGAATTAACTATTGATATTACTATTATTATGAAATACACTTGATCAAATGAGCTATAAAAGTTTCTTTTATCAATTATGCTTTATTTGTAATAAAACAAAAATGGGTAATTTATGGATATTTTTTGATTCCGTGTAAACAACTTTCTTCTGTGCACTTTCTTTAAAAGTGATATGAGTTCTAGAGGGGTGTGGGTTTAATCGTGGAGTGAAAGTAGCTCTATAAGTATCAAGTATTATACATCCGCGAAGATGTGAAAACGTACTCTCAGTCGAGATTGTGAGATCTCTTAGAAAATATTACTGAGTGAAATCGACAGAGTATTATTTATTTATTAAACAGATTTTTATTGAAAAATTTTTGTAAGTATTTCTAATATTTTATCCAACCAAATATGTTATTTAATGGATTTTTGTTTTTTTTTCTTGGACTTTAAAGGATTGGTTGAGAAAAAAGAAATACAATGGAGCTAACATTTAGGACTATTGACGATAACAATGGAAAGAAATTGGATAAAATGTTTGGAGTGAAATCAAGCTTTTTGAGTGTTGAACCGAGTGGTTGTATTATTCCACCACACTTTGTTTTTTTAGCGACTAAAATTCGAGATATGGAGGTTTATGATGATGATGTGTGGATGGTATCTTATCCCAGAACAGGTAGAATTCATCTATTGGATCGGTTGATAAATAATGTTGTTTATTTTTCAAAAATTCTAGAGTCTAAGTAATAAAAATTATTAAAATCAATGCAAGAACTAAAACTTTTACATTAATTGACAACTGACATTCTAAATTATTCAATACAAGGACAAAAAGATTAATAAGCCATACAATAAAATTTTTAATTTTCTTGTATTTTCCATTATTATTATTTATTTATTTAGCTATCAAAACTTTATCTTGAAAAAATTCTGTTGATTACTAATTATTATTAATAATATCATATCAAAATTCATAAAAAAATTTCATTGTTTTTCAAACAATTTTAATATAATAATTTTATATTAACTATTATTGAAAAATAATTAAATCTTAAGGAAGTCATTGGGCTCAAGAAATGGTGTGGTGTATTGGAAATGATTATAATTACGAAAAAACTAAAGTTCCGCTCTTAATACGTAATCCATTACTAGAGTAAGTATTTTTTTTATTTAAAAGAATATAAAATTCTTTGAAAAAAATAAATAAATCACTTTAAAAGAATCTTTTTATAAAAAAAAAAGAGCAATAAAATGAATGAATAAACAATTCTAGGTCATCAGCATTGATGGTAACAGGAAAATACGTCCAATTTTTTTCACAATTTGGTAACTCTGTAGAGAATGTTGAGAAAATGGCTAGACCAAGATACATAAAATCTCATTTGCCATGGCAATTATTACCTCAACAAATTCACGAGAAGAAACCAAAAGTTATTTATGTTACACGAAATCCCAAAGACACTTGTGTTAGCTTCTATCACTACTGCAAGTTGATGCATGACATGGAGGGTACATTTTCAGACTTTGCTGAATTGTTTCTTAATAATTCTGGTAAATTTTATTCAAATTGGTTTATTTTTTTCAGTTAAATTCTAATCTAATGTATTCAATTTACTCAGAAATAATTATTTCACAAAGTTTTGATGACAATTGTCATCGTCTTCAAATAAAATTAGTAATCTTAAGTTAAATAATTAAAATTCTTAGCACCCATGGGGCCTCTTTGGAAACATGCTATGGAGTTTTGGAAACGAAGAAAAGAAGAAAAAATCCTCTTCCTGACTTACGAGGAGATGAAAACCAATCAAATCGGAGTGATAAAGAAAACTGCAGATTTTATGGGAAAAAAATGTAGTGATGAACAAGCTAATGAATTGGCAAATCATCTAGAGTTCTCAAAAATGGCAGCGAATCCAGCAATTAATTTAGAAAGCATTTTATCAAGCAACGGTGCTGATAATAAATTTATTAGAAAAGGGGAAATTGGAGATTGGAAAAATTATATGGATGAAAAGTTGTCTAAGAAATTTGATGAATGGACGGAGAAGTATTTTGTAAAGTTCGGGCTCACATTTAATTGTAATACATCTTCAGAGCCATAAAACAACTTGGGAGCTTTAAAAGCTAAATTGTCCTTCTCTGAAATATTTTTTGAATTAATGAATAATAATACACCGATTTGAATAAATTCTATAACCTTATTTTAAGGGTGTGCTAATAAAAATTGTAGAAATGTAAATAGATTTACTCAAAAAAGTCGAAATGAAAGTTTTTTTCTTATTTATTGTACCTTCAAACATCTGTACAGCTTTTGTAACATTTGAACCAGTGGTATTTTTTACAGATTACAGTATTTAATTGCTTTCAACTCCAGCATAAGTAGATATTTTTGATATTAATTAGCATATTTTTCTATATTTTCATTACTTTTTTGCGAAATAATTAAGAAAAGTTGTCAAAGTATTTATGTGGACGCTATCTTGGCTCTTACAACAAACGTTCCTATTGGTCGAAACAATCAGCCAATAAAATTCGTTTTAGCATACATTGTACAGTATATGTAGGTCTACAATATGTGCATTGTTTATTAGTTTTTAAAATTAAATAGTTTATTTATTTTTTATTTAACTCTTTTAGAAGTGTTTATAGCAATTATTAATCAATTTGTATACAGTGAGATGATGATTTTTTTTTAAATTAATAATAAAGTAAAATTTTTTGAGTCAAAAAACGGTTAAGCTCCAAAATGCTGAAGTAATTTGTCAAAAAATTGATAACTGTTTTTTAGAATTCCACAAATGGACCCATCATCAAAAATTTTGACAGCTACTGAAGTCGAAAATGTAGTTACTGGTGCGGTTAATGAAACAAATGGATCAAATAGCAATGAAGAGTTACATGATGGAGAAAAAACTCCACAAAAAGATAACAATAAAATCAACAATAATTCTATTTTTAATACAATTTCGAAAATTGTTAATCGCTCAACAAAGGTAATTTTTAAATAATTCAGAAATTAATTATTTAAAAAAAATTAAACATTTTTTAAATTACTTTTAGATTCCGGAAATCCAAGATTTCAAAATTGTCAAGCCCATCAGCAGAGGAGCCTTTGGTAAAGTGTTTTTGGGTTATAAAAAAACCAATCCTGACCAAGTGTATGCCATAAAAGTGATGAAAAAGAACGAAATGATCCACAAAAACATGGCATCACAAGTAGTGATTGAAAGAAATGCCTTAGCTTTAACTCGAAGCCCATATTGTGTTCAATTATTTTACTCCCTTCAATCAGTGAGCTGCATTTATTTAGTAATGGAATACATGGTTGGAGGAGATCTAAGTAGTTTTCTCGGCAATGTCGGTTACATGGAGGAATCAATGGCAGCATTTTATATCGCCGAAGTAACATTGGCTCTAGAATATCTTCATTCTCATGGAATAGTTCATCGTGATCTAAAACCCGACAATATGCTTCTCTCTCATGAGGGCCACGTGAAACTGACTGACTTCGGTCTAAGTAGAATATCAGCATTTCACAGAGACCTAGAAATATCTGATCTAGTGAATGGTACACCAAATGTAGGTACTCGAACACCTGGTCAATTACTTTCTCTCACCTCTCATTTGTCTTTTGGCTCTGGAGGTCGTTTGTCACTCGACTTGGATTCATCAGCTGTTGCAGAAGACTCTCCTGCAGATGTGATTTCATTAAAAAAAAATCTGGATGCCAAATATTCTTCTAATTCAATTATAACATCACCATCACCACCAGATTGCTCTAGACTATCGGGAATTATTCCTTTTCATTCAGCTGATGATTTGGATTCAGCAGACGATGATGTATTTCGTGATAATAATACTAATAATCAAGATGTAGACAGCAGTAGTAGCTATCATACGTGCCAGTCATCATTGAGACGTTCTAATTTATCAACAAGTTCTAAATGTATCGAGTGTGATGAGTCTACTTTGGAGGCTGACAAAAGCCGTTTATCATCATCATTAAACACTTCCAACAGAGGAACGAAGAGAAAGAGGGTTGCTACATCAACAGGATTGACAAGAGAAATTTATTTGATGGGTTTGGATGCTAATTCAACGCCTAAGAGAAAAAATAGAGGCATTTTTCCATCAAGGGGCAGCTCTGGTAACATAGAAACCCTTAAAAGAATTGAAGAAAAGCCTGAGTTGCAAGAAGATGGTGATAATTTGATCAGAAGTAATTCAGCTGAAAGTCGTGTTGCCTTTAGTACACCAGTATCTTCAATGAAACGAAATGTTCCTGAAGCTAAAATCAAAACTACTAGATTTGAATTACCAACACCAATGACTCCAACGTCTAATTCAGATTCTAATATTCAAAGACAGTCTCCCCAAGGTATATCTCCAATAAAAACACCTGCACCAGCAGCTAATGGTAATTACACGCCATACAGAACACCTAAGAGTGTCAGAAGAGGTACACAAACTACAAACACTGGAAAATCAGATGATAGAATTCTAGGCACTCCGGATTATCTAGCACCTGAGCTGCTTTTGAAACAGGGTCATGGGCCTGCTGTTGATTGGTGGGCCTTGGGAGTCTGTTTATACGAATTTTGTACAGGTGTTGCACCATTTAACGATGACACTCCACAGGCAGTGTTTGATAATATTCTAGCTAGAGATATACCTTGGCCTGAAGGTGAAGAAGTGTTATCTGAAACTGCTATTAAAGCTATTGATTCTTTGTTGACGTTGGATCAATATACTAGACCTTCTGCTAAGGAAGTTAGACAGATGGAATTTTTTCGAAATTTTCCATGGGATCAACCTGCTCAAGCTGTGCCTCCTTTTGTGCCAAAGCCTGATGATAATTATGATACTTGCTATTTTCAAGGTAAATTATTAATTTTTTTTCAATTGATTTATGATCAGTAATATAATTTGATATCATTTAAATAGAAAGACTTATTTGATCATTTTATAAAAAACTCATGTACATGTTTTATGAATTGTTTGATGATATTTCTGAATTTCTTGTAATGTTCAAAAGAGAATATAAAAAATTAATTGATGTTTAGAAAATGGTAATATTTACAACTATTTTTCATTATAAATGATACTATGACAGATAAATAAATTAATAAATCTCGTGACATCACCCAAAAGATGGAGAAATTTTTCAGATGAGTAAAAAATCGAAATCTAAAAAGATTAGAATATTTGTTGATCTTTAAGTTAAAACTTGATTTATTAAATAAATTCAAAATTCTTTTAATGTAAGTCAATTTCGTCTACAAAAAAATTTCTTATTTCTTATTCATTTTTTTTTTCAATTGCCTATCCATTCGTATGGTTATCTTACCACGTTTCATAAGATTTGTGATTAGTAATTTTCTTAAGAAAAATATTTAATTTACTACTATCAACTTGTATAAAGTACATGGTCTAAAAAAATAATCACGCTGACCTTTTTATTCTAATTATAAGAAATAATTATGTAATATTCAATTTTTAAATATCATTCAGAATCTGAAGGTCTTTTAGTTTGCTTCATTCGTAAATATTTTTACGTTTGCTCTAAAATCTTAACATCCATTTTTTAGCAAATCTTTTACAATATTAATATTTTTTTAAAGCATATTTATCTTTAAATTCAATAAAAATTACCATAAACTATTATAATGAAAAATGTTTATAATCAAAATGTTAAAAAAACAATCTATGTTAGAATTCAATGTCCAACTATCGTGTGATATTTAAGAATTGATTCAACATAAATAAGAATCATTTAATTATTAAAATTTTAATTTTTTCAGCTCGTAACATAATGCAGCATCTCACTGTCAGCAGCTGCGAGAATGAAGCTTGCTAGAAATAATTCAAACAATGGCCGTATTTATATAAAATTGTTAAATTAATTGTTTTGTATCATAGAATGTATATGTATAGTTAGAAGAATAATTATAATAAACTCAACTTTTTATTAATTTCATTGTTCATATTAATTACAAAAAAATCGGCAATGTTATGAATACATGAATTGAGTAGAATTCAATATATTTAAATATACAAAAATAAAATTTATCGTGAATTATCAACAGGTACTTATTGATTATATATTGAATTCTGCAAAACACTTTTAACAAATACTGAACTTCATCATGTTGAAATTTTTAATTCTGACGGGTCTTCTTTTTTAACACTTTAATATCATATTCTGTTTCAGAGTCATCATCTATATTGTCAACTATTTCCTTAAGATTTTTTAATTTAATTCTCTTTTCATCGATAACAATTCCATTGGTAATTTTTTCACTATCATCTGATGGAGATAAATCTATTTTCTCACAAGCAGCTGGTCTTCTTCTTAAAACCCTACCAGGTTCAACCTTTTTCTTCTTAGCTTTAGACTCTGGTGTGGCAGTGCTTGACGCAGAAGCCCCTGTTGATGGGAATACCAATTCCCCATAAACTTGTTGGCGACGTCGTTGAAGAGCTTTCTCAAAAATAGATCTCATTTCAGCATAATTTGGTGTATCATTAAATTCCATTTCATTAAGTAAATGCATATATTGACGGATAGCACTTGGAACTTTAATAAAACAGTCCTTAAGAAATACATCAACATCACTTAAAGCTTTGAGTTTGGCATTGTGGACGGATTTAGGATCTTTTAGCTCTTTTTCCCAAGGAAGTTCACCAGAAAGCCATTGGACAAGATTATAGCCTAGTATTTCAACGTCTCCACGTTTTGTTGGTATTCCAATGTGAGCATCACGACTTGTATACTCTATGGTTCCATTGTGAGCTCTTTTAGGATCTGGTTTATATTCCTTGGTTTGAGATACTTTTGCTGCTAGTCCGTAATCCACTAGGAAGACGTTTTTTGAATTGTTTTTATCTAATAACAAGTTAGCTCCTTTAATATCCCCATGAGTGTAACTTTTTGAATGAATATACTCTAATGCATCAATTATTTGGATTGCTACTCTGTAGACTGTAACTTCAGGAAACTGGCGTCCATTTTCTAAGAATAATTTCCATAAATCTTTGCCGAATCTGTCAATAAAATAACCTTTAGTGATCATTTTTATTAAATAATCTTTATTAGAAAAAAAAAATATTAAACAAACCTTTCCATAACTAAAAAACGATATTTCACTCCTAAACGTTCATGACTTCCATTACTAATGAATTTTGGTACACCTAAATGGCTTAGCTTCTTTTTATTTTTCCATTTTTCGATTTCATCAGATGATGCATTTCGCATGTAGAAATGCATTTCAACAAATAATGGTCCATTTTGGTGTGGTTCTATTTTAATAACGTGATCATAATCGTTTGATTGTTTTGAAGATGCGACTGCTGTATATAAAGCGCCAAAACCACCGACACCAATCGGATCACCAAGAATCCAAGATTGTTTGGTTAAATCTGTTAAAATTTCTCCTTTTGGGATTGGATCCGGTAATTTATAGCCACGAGCACCTTTTCGTACCTTTTTATTCTCTTTGGGAGGCATTATTGAGGTTATCTTAGTATCAAACACTTTATTAACTAGATTTAAAGTTTTTTATCAATGTCAATCAGCGATGCTTATATATTTAATGAATTAGTAAGCTTTTCTAGCAATATGTATAACTAATTGATCACTTATTTAACTAATAATATCAATATAAACGTAAAAAAGAGTGTAAACTAAGTTGCAAAATTTTTTGGCGCCTATTTGTTACAGTATTCTGGTATGAGTTGCGAATGTCGTTCGAGTAGCGGCCGTTCGAAGCGTCTGTGTTTGCCGGTGTAATCAACTAAAAATTGTTTAAAAAAAATTGTAAGCACGTGTCTACCAAGAGATAAAAAATATTTCATTAACAGTAAAAACACATAAAGTTCAATTAAAACCATAAAAAAATGTTGGTTTTATTTGAAACCCCATCGGGGTTCGCAATATTCAAGGTAATTTACTCCAAAAAATCATTGTAGAAAAAAATCTAGCCTCTAACTAAACACGTGTTCGGCTTGATTTCAATTAAAAATACTGTGCCGATTATTAAAAAACAATAACCAAGATAAAAATAATCAAATATTATGAAAAGAATAACAATAAACAACTCAATTTAACCTCATTGACTAGCATTTTATTGATTAATTGTTTTTGAGCAATGATGTACTTTTCAATGGAGTTGAATCAAGTTAGCTACTGTTCTTTTCATTACATATTCACATATTTGATCATTAATAATTAAATATTATTATTCATTTTCATTACAATAACGTTAATAATCGATGCAATGAAATTTTTCAGCTACTCAATGAAAGTAAGTTGGAAAAGACAGAAAATTTATACAAAGACTTCGAAACTCTTGAAGGGGCAAGCAAATTGTGAGTTAATAATAATTATTAATTTATTTATTTTAAAAATAACAAATTCTAATTATTATCCAATACTTTACAGATTAAAACTAAAACATTTTGAGAAATTCTCCGATACAACAGAAGCCCTAGCAGCAACGACAGCAGCTGTAGAAGGAAAACTATGTAAAGGTTTGAAAAAAACCCTCAAAAAATACTGTACTGAGGTGCAAGACCAGTTGGCAGTGGCAGATGCTAAACTTGGGAATGCAATAAAAGAAAAACTGTCGTTATCATGTATCAGTAATTCATCGATACAAGAACTGATGCGATGTATACGAAGTCAGATGGATGGTCTTCTAGCAGGATTTCCAAAGAAAGAAATGACTGCTATGGCCTTAGGATTAGCTCATAGTCTGAGTCGATATAAATTAAAATTTTCACCTGACAAAATAGACACAATGATTGTTCAAGCGGTAGGGTTGCTTGATGATCTAGACAAAGAACTCAATAATTACATCATGAGATGTCGAGAATGGTACGGATGGCATTTTCCAGAGCTTGGAAAAATTATAACAGACAATATAGCATTTGTAAAAGTAGTAAAACTCATTGGAACCCGTGAAAATACCGCAAACACAGATCTTTCCGATATATTACCAGAAGAAGTGGAAGAGAAAGTGAAAGAAGCTGCTGAGATTTCAATGGGAACTGAAATATCTGATGATGATATTCTTAATATCCAACATTTGTGTGACCAAGTGATAGAAATTTCACAATATAGAGGTCAACTTTATGATTATTTACGAACTAGAATGATGGCTATGGCTCCAAACTTGACAGTTTTAGTTGAAGAATTAGTAGGAGCTCGTTTAATATCATCTGCAGGATCTCTTATCAATTTAGCTAAACACCCAGCATCAACTATTCAAATTCTCGGTGCTGAAAAAGCTCTTTTCAGAGCTCTGAAAACCAAAAAAGACACTCCCAAGTATGGTTTGATCTATCATGCACAACTGATCGGTCAATCATCAACAAAGAATAAAGGAAAAATGGCAAGAATGTTAGCAGCCAAAACAGCATTGGCTACCAGAGTTGATGCTCTCGGTGAAGATGGTAATTTTGATCTTGGAACAGAACACCGAGCAAAACTGGAATCAAGATTGAGGATTTTGGAAGAAGGAAATTTAAAAAGAATCAGTGGTACTGGTAAAGCTAAAGCGAAATTTGAGAAGTATCATGTTAAATCAGGGGTAATTCAGTATCCAGCTGCTGCAGATGCAGTTTTTAGTCCTGGTAAGAAAAAGTTACACTCGGAATCTGAGAAAAAAGGTGTTTTAATCGAGGAGATTAAGCAGCAGGATGAAATGGAGGGGCAGAAAAATGATGGAAACGAAGATGTGCCGAAAAAAAAGAAGAAGAAAAGGGTAAAGAGTGAAGGAGAAGTCGAAAGTCAAAGAGATGCTTCTTCGTCGAGTGTTGTAGATAGCGCGGGTGAGAGCATCAGTAAGAAGAAAAAGAAGAAGAAGAAGATGGTGGAGAGATGAAGATGAAGATTGTTTAACTTCCCAGTGGGAAGTTATACTAATGGGTTCAATTTTGCGAATTCCAAATTATGACATATCTCCACGTTTCAAGATCCCCAGAGTCAAATACAACAGTTTTCCTGTGGATGTCTGTGTGTGGATGCGTGCGAAATGATTTTTCATCTCGATTATCTGAAGAACACAAAGTGGTATCGATGTAAGACTAATTGCATTTGATGCATAATTGTGCAATTTAATATTGATTAGGTTTTCAAAAAAATTGATCTAGTTTTTTTTTAGAAAGTTAGTCGTGTGGACCTTTCGGATTGCACCCAGACCACTGAAAAGCAGTGATATTTTACTTTGTTTTTTGCCTGGTTTTAAATAATTACTTTTCTTCAACTACACAATCTTTTAATTCCATTTTCTTTCTTTATCATCAAAGCCATTATTATTAATGAAATATAAAAAATAATTTTTAATTATAATTTAAGTTTAATACTTATTGTTAATTTAGATAAAAAATTAATTAATTTTTAAAATTTTGATTAATCATCATGAACAAATAGTATTGTTTGGATTTATCAAAACAAATTTATTTTTGTAAAAAAATGAAGAAAATTACAAAAGAATTTAAACATTACATTCATTGTACATTTACTTCCACCACACAATACTCGCATTAAACTGTCATAGCTAATTATCAACTGCGCACGTTCGAAATAAAGGCAGATAGAAATGACATGTACATACTTTATTATCTACTTCTATGTGTAATACATACCTCTTTGATAGAATTTGGTTCTAAAACACCATTTTTTTGCTCCAGTTTAAAATTCAGCATCAATTTAACATTGTCGGTCATCTTTCTGCATTAACCCTAATTTTTCAAACGCCAGGCTTCGTTTGAATGAACTTCAATTTTATTGGACGAAACATATTTTTTACCAATGAGCATTTTTTTAAATACCCCTTCATAACGTCCTTATAATGCTGACGAACAACCCCAAATCATTCTAAAAATATTTGAGTAACAAGTAAGTTATTATCACTTATATTAATAAGAAATATTTTTTACGTCAAAGATAATGATTATTATTCGCTGATGGCTTATTATTTATAGTTATAAATGTATATATTATCAACGACTCCAGTATCGATCAGCGCAAAGGAATAAAATCATCCACAAATAGAAAAGCAAATGCCTTATCATAATACTGCAGAATACTACGCAAACTCGTGTGACAACAGCAACAGCAGTAGTATAAACTAGTAGTTGGACTCTAGAATTTGGCTTTTAAAGCCGATGTGAAACCTCTATTAAGAGGTTTCAAAGTCACTTTGTTAGACTTAGATCAAAATTATTAAGAAAATTTTGTATTAAAAATCATTAAACACCTATAAATCATCAACATGAGTGAAGATTTAAATTATTATATCATGTTTCCTTCATTCACATCGTCAACTGCTACCCCCAAGGGACAGGAAACGACTGTTGGAAGTGTTGAAAATCCAAAAGATGAATTTGTGTTTGTCTACGAAGATGCTGAACGTCCTGTCGTGGTGCTTTTAGGATGGGCTGGATGTCAAGATAAATATTTAGCTAAATACAGTGCTATTTACGAAGAAAAAAGGTATTTAAATATTTTATTGATCTACTTTAAAAGATCTAGTTGATACTAAAGTTTTATTTTATTGATGTGTTTATAGTTTCATTACATTGAGGTACATTGCACCAGTGGAATGTCTATTTTGGAGAAGAGACAAACTTCCTCTTATTGGAAGAAGATTACTGCAAGTAATATCAGATAAGAATCTCAATCAACACCCGATCTTTTTTCACATTTTCAGCAATGGTGGTGCTCTTCTCTATCAACACATCAGTCTTGCGATGGAACAGATGAAGTGTGATATAAAAGTAAGGAATTAATAAATAAATAGTTATTTAGGTGGTCAGAATCATGACGTATTGATGTTTTCATAGGTAAAAGGTGTTATTTTTGATAGTGCACCCGGTGAAAGAAGAGTAACATCATTGTATAAAGCTATTAGTGCTATCGTTGGTGGTCATCCAGTTGCTAATGTTCCTGTTTCTTTTTTTATTACAATTTTTTTGTCTCTACTGTGGTTGTATGAGGTAAATACGGGTTTTAAAATCATACAATATATAATATACTGTAAAAATTGAAAGCATTTTTATTGTTGGGTTTTAGATTATTGCTCATGCTTGGGGAAAACCGCATTTGATTCCAACAAATCCTATTTCATTATCAGAAGAACCTCACTCCTGGCCACAGCTCTTTCTCTACTCGAATGTCGATACGTTGATACCTGCAGTGGTGAATATTTATTGATGTTTATATCACGTTTAATTAAATCTTATACGTTTAATAGGATCTTATACATATTGAATGCCATTAGATCTTGAAAAACGTAAACGTATCTGGTAAGAGTTAAGTCCGGCTTTTGCATCTAATTCAGTTTTGTGAAACTCAATCCAGGCAATTTTCCAATGAGAAGTTTTAGTAATAGGTCCGATTTTTGCGAATCCAAAGTTTTGACACATCTCGTTTCAAGATCCCTAGAGTCGAACACAAGTTTTCAAGTATACGTCGGTGTATGTATGTACATATGTGCATTTGGAATGATTTTTTGTCGAAACATATTTTGAATAATATTATTATTACGTGTTAGAAACATTTGCATAAAAAATATGATAAGAATGTCCCATAGAAAAAGATCATTTTACAAAACAAAAATATCAATAATTGATAGAATTCTAAACTGTATTAGTACTGAGAGAATAATATTAGTGATGCTATAACAATGAAAAATTTTTGTAAATAACAATTTAATATTGTTACTAACAAATGATTATTGTTAATAATTTTTCGATATTGGTGATTACATTAAAACAGTAATAATAATAATGATAAATAAAGATATAGTATTTTTATTCTTTTCACTGAGATGTTAATCATGTGAACCTTTCAGTTTGCACCTAGACCATCAGACTGAAATTTCTATTTAGTATCTATTCAGATTGAATTTAATTGTTTACTTAAATAAATAATGTTAAGTAATCTTAATTTTGATTAATTTTTATTTATTTATGATGATGGATTTTTTTAGGACGTTGAAAGATTCGCTAGTCGCAGAGCAGAGCGAGGAGTCCAAGTCCAGTTGGTTCTCTTCATGGATTCCCCACATGTTAAACATTACGTAGTTTATCGTGATGTTTATGTTAACATTGTCTCCAAGTTTATCAATAGTTGCTTGACAACTAAACCAGGTATGCTATTCAAGTCTTCCTCAAGCATGGAAGATGATGATTTTCGATCAGCTTTTAAGGAATCATCGTCAAAACTTACTAAACGAATAGTATTACCTCACGAAGCGTCAAGTAAATTATTTTTAAGTGAATAATAAGGGCAAAAAAAGGTTTTTGAAATTAATGTTTCAATTTTTGTCCAGTCAACTTCAATTTAAAATTGGTAAAAAAAGTAATTGTTGATAAAGTTATTGTTGATAAAACAACTGGATAAATTGATAAATATTGTAACAATGAATTTATCCAACTTTCATTTAATTTATGAGTGGTGTTCTCATCAAGCTGGTCTTGAGTAATATGTACTTAATTTATTTATTTAATTATTTTATTTATTAAATAATTTGTTTTAGAAATGTAAAGACTGAGATATTTGTATTTGAATGTTTTTTAGAGATTTTGTTTTTCATTTTTAAAATTAAATGAATTTTTTCTTTAGATATGTATTGAAAATATTTTATAAATGAGGATGAAATTGTAAAAGATATTTTGAATATTGTAAACTTTGATTTTTTTATAAATCATATTTTCGTTTGTTATGTAAAAAATTGACAATTAATAAAATTCATTAGTGAGCTAAAAGATAAAATTTAATATTTATTTACAATGATTTCTGTACAAGTAGTAATTGAAAATAATTATTACTACACAGACATTAGGAAAAAAATTGTAATTATCTGGTAACAAGTAATAATTTTTTACAAAAAATATCATTTAGACAAAAATGATAATTCAATAATAACTTGATATGTTTCCTGAGCTTCTGCACACGCTTTTTTCACTTTTCAAAGTCTTCAGAAAGCAAAAATGATTCAATATTTTGGTTTCTTTAAAAAATTTATAAAAAAAAATACATATTAAAATTTAAAATTATAACACAGGAAGGGCAGAACTATGACTTTGATAAATAATAGCACTAGTGAAATTAATTGCAGCAGCTAAAACAAATACCGGCATCCATCGACCACTTGAAGCTGTCACTAATTCAGCAGTCAAAGGACCACAAAGAATTCCTGGAATTGTTGCTATAGTATTTGATATGGCAAAGGTCATTCCAGCATGATTAGGAGCCACTTCTGCGTGATTACTCAAATGCCCAGCTGAATTACATGCGCATAAACCCATTGATGTTGACACGAAACTATGGAAAAATTTTAACATCAGTCAATATAATCATCCTTGACACATAAAATATTTGAATTATTGTTCCAAGTATTTCAAATGCTAAATTGGCTACACATCTTAAGCCAAATTTTTCTTTTAACTGTTTGAAGATAATTTTCAAATATTTTTTTGGAAACTTCTTAAGACCATTTACAATTTGTTTCTTCTACAACATTCGAAATATTTTAAATAAAAATAAATACTTACATTACAGCTAATAATAAATCGTCAACAGCACAAAATGCAAGAAGAAAAGCACCAGGACCTATTAATCCTATATTTGTCATTAGCCTTCGGACAGACAGAATTGACCAGCGTTTTTGGATAAGATTGTCAGCGCTATAACCTGCAACTAAAATTAAAAGCAAATATCAACAATAATAACACCTTTAAAGCTAATTTTTATTTTTATAAAAAAATTAAGTAATTTATACAAACCTATACCAACAAGAGAATTAACTATGTATGGAATAGCAGTTAAGCTGATACTTTCTCTATTAGCTGATAAATTACGTGCTAAATATGTGGGTAACCATTGCATTATAATATAATTACTCCAGTTCATCGCAAAGTGGGCGATATATAAGGCCCAAAGTGGCCAATGAGATATTAATTTTGTCCACGGAAAACTTCTGCTTTGATTTACCTACAAAATTATTTTCATTTAGTTTAACATTTAACAATAACTATCTATTTAATTCTTAATTAACTATTTTATTGAAAAAACCATTTTAATCAATTTTCAGTAAGGTTTTATTCATTTAACATAACATTATCAATAATATGTTTTTTAACTTAGACTCTCGAGTGTTAGGAGTTGTATTAAATAAAGATAATAAATTTTATAATTGATTTTCACTCAGTCATAAAACTACTAGTGAACATCAATTGTATTGGTTGAAATTTTATTCTAAAATTTAAGTTTGACGTTTAAATATTTTTTTATTGTTATAAGTTATCATTAAAATCCTAATCAATGGAACGTTGATAAATTATAATATGAATTAAAAATCGTAGTGCGATAAAATTTTTCAGTGTATGAATGTTTTGAGATTCATTTTAACTTTAGACTTGATTATATATGTGTAAAATTTTTAGTATTTATTTTTCATACTTTGTGGTTATGTTAAAAAAATATAATTTAAACCAAAAAATAAATTAATAATATCTTATTTAATATTACCAGCAAAACACATTACCTTTGGAACAAATAGTGGTATTTCATCTTGAGTATTAGACTCTTGATACAAAATAATCCATAAGAATACCCACACAATGCCTACCGTACCAAAAAGATAAAATTCAACTTCCCATGGTAATCTTGAATATATCTAGATACATAATTAGTTTATAAAGAAATGTAAAAAACTAATTTTAATTGATGATGACTACGTACAACTGAAGCGACAACTTGGCCCACAGAACCAGCAGCTACGAGGTATCCAAAAGCTCTTGATCTCTCTTCTGGAGGTACACTATGTGCAAACAAATGGAAAATCACTGGCAAACCTACCAAAAAAAATCACATCAATGATTATTCAATAATAAAGCAAAGACTTTAAATAATTTTTTGTTGATGTTTTAAATCACCTAGTCCTTCCCCTAGACCCAGAATCACTCTACATGTTATCAATAAGGGAATAGAGTGTGCTAATAATGGAGTTATTACTGTGCTAACTGACCATAATAACACAGCTGACATCAAAACTGTCTTACATCCGAATTTGTTAGCAGTATTGGCGCCAATTATCTATAAAAATGCCAATGTTATGGTGATTTATAATTTCTTTTCTGACATATGTTTTGTTAATTAAATTGAAAAGAGATTATAGCTTTACTTGGCTCGTAAAATAACCAAAAGCAAATGCTGATAGAATCCATCCTTGCCAATAAAGATTCCATTTATATTCATTAGTCATATCTACAATAGCTAATGGCATAATAACTCTATCAGCAGCATTTATAAAGTTAGCTGCTGAACAGAGTGCAACTATTCGCGAAGTTCTTGGTAATAATTTTAATCGTGGCATATTTATATACACTTATTATTAATAGTGTAGGCAATTATTAATATTAAATTTCAGTAAAAATATACACTTCAGTGACTGAGTTATTCATTAAGAATTAAAATACACTATAAACATAACCTTTGTGAAAAATTTGCTATCGACATTCACATAATAATTTTGAAACAGTTGTTGAATAATTATTAAATAAGAACATTATTTAGTTGGTAATTTTATTTTATATTTGATAAGAAAATGTGTGTTAATTTGTCAATAATATTCGTGATTTTCTATAAACAAACAGTTTGACGTGTCAATGTGTGGAATTATCAACTATTTTTTGGTGCTCAATGCAGTGTTTTCGATCTCATGACTAATCTACCTACTTGATTCAACACTTTCATGTTTATTTGCATAAAAATGACAATGAATGATCTATTATTGAGACTAGAATATTTTAGATATGTAAATAAATACATTTTTTTATAACGTTAAGGATCATTTAATAATATTTTGCGGTTAATTTAATTTTTTTGAGATAAACAAATATTTAAAAATTTTTAAATTACCCCTAGTTCACTTTCTTACCGCCAGGGGCAAACAATGCGCAGGCGTTATGGAATATGGATTCCAAAGAACGAGGGATGGAAGGAGAACCGTGTAATTGTTATTAATTTATTAAACTCTTTATTAACTAATTTACCAAGTACATAGAATAATTATTTGAGATCAGACTTGTGCTACAGCTATGGCGGTAACGGATAAACTACTCTTCAGCCGGTGAATCAGGTTATCCAATCGACTAGTTTTGTATTTCCCCGCTTGGGGTCTAGAAGTCCCTACACTGACAGAAAAAATGTGATAGCGGCAAACACAGAATATACTCAATTTGAGTATAATTATTATTTAATGCACGTACATTTTATATCAAAATGAAGTTTAAAGTGTACTGTACAATCATAATAACATTAACTTGACTGCAAATTTTTCATTACTCAATCCTAATATAATATTAATTTATACCAAAAATAGCGATTATTGCATTTTTGTAAATATTTTGTTTATCTCAAGTAGGTAGATAATAAAAGAAGATTACAAAGTTTACTTCAGTTGATAATATAGTTTTCTTACACTGACGATCTTCCTTACTTTCCACAAGTGTATTTTATACGGAGATCCCGTATGAAGCGTACTTATGCTGAGTATAATGCTGTTTTACACTTCAAAAACCATTTTCTCATATTATGAATTCTTTTTTATTAATAAGAAAATACTTGTTACTTGAATCAAGTATATCAATTCTTTACTGCAAGTATATTATATACTTAAATTAAGTAAATGGAGTACTCATGCTAAAATTTTGTTCTTATTAAATTTAAAAATTTCAAAATATAAATAATCATATTAATAATAAAAAAGTTACTGTTATACCCATTGATATTGGTAAATTTAAATTAGTGAGCATTACTGATGAAGTAACTTAATGATTAAATATTCAGTAATTAATAAACAGATGTAAAGTAATCTTATAATAATTACAACAATTACTGTTGTACTTTTAAATACGTGAAGCTGCTGCACTTAGACTTGGCCTATTAAAAGTCTAACTCGTAATTTAGCGCTCAGCGATAAATTATTGATTGTCGAATCTTTAATACTAATTAATAATTTATTGAATGCCTATTAATTAATTCTAGAAAATTGACAAAATATTCTAATGAATTATCTTGAACATTTTTAACTATAGAGGTGCCTCTAATTCATCAGTCGATCTTAATGAATGCGGTTCATCATCTTATTTTAAAATATGATTTAGTCAAAACACACAAATATTCTTTACAGATTTTATTAACATAATAATTTTACAAAATTTAGTTGAATTACTTAAAATTATAATAATTTTACAAAAACAGTTTCTTTTTTTTCCATGTTATAATAATGTAATGTAATTATGTATATTTTGAAATTTTTAAATTTAATAAGAACAAAATTTTAGCATGAGTACTCCATTTACTTAATTTAAGTATATAATATACTTGCAGTAAAGAATTGATATACTTGATTCAAGTAACAAGTATTTTCTTATTAATAAAAAAGAATTCATAATATGAGAAAATGGTTTTTGAAGTGTAAAACAGCATTATACTTAGCATAAGTACGCTTTATACGGGATCTCCGTATAAAATACACTTGTGGAAAGTAAGGAAGATCGTCAGTGTAAGAAAACTATATTATCAACTGAAGTAAACTTTGTAATCTTCTTTTATATCTACCTACTTGAGATAAACAAAGTACATTGGCTTACATTATACTGATTCCAAGTAGAAAGACTATTTAGATACAAGTAATTTATTTTCATAAAACTTGTATACTTATTACTTCTTCAACCGCTTGTAGTCTACTAAGGAGTGGTATATTCTGTATTTAGACTCAGTATTTTTTTTTAATCATTTCAGAACGAAGTTTTACTGATTCCAGGTACTTTCTTTACCTGCATTCCGAAACTTTTTTACCTATTACTTTTAAACTGGGGACAAGTAAATTCTATAGTTCGCCACCGGAAAATATTTCTGTCAGTGTAGTTTATGCTTCGCCACCAGGGGCGTGGTGGTACCACCACCACCGCCACAGCGTGTGTAGTTTTTTTGACAAATGGCGTATCATAAGTGTGTGTGATAAATAATATTTTATTTATTGTGAAATAGTTTAGTTTAATGAATAAATAGAAATGTCATGCGAAGTTAAAAGCTTTGCATGCATTGCAAATCCTAATGATATAAGATTAAAATTAATAAAAAATTTGGCAGTAAAAAGTGAGTGCTATTTTTTATCTAAATAAATTAATTACTCCAAAATAGCTTTTTTTTTCATGTGTTTACTTTGGTATTCTTTATTGTAATTGTCTGTCATTTGCAGTTGAAAATCTACCGAAGCATGAATTACCTTTACAAGACTGTCTTATTTCATTATCATCAGCTGGAGACACTTTAGCAATAGCTTTGCATAAAAATATTGTTATTTTAACAAGTAAGTAACACTGATAAAACAATTATTTTATGGATTTTTTAATAAATATGTCTTTTTTTGTAGGTAAATGGGATCTCCAAGAACCTGGTGAAGTCAAGAACAAATTCTATTCGATATGGAGCGAAAATTTCTTTCCAGACTCCAACGAATTCATCACTTCAATTCTGTGCTTGCCTTTAATATCTTTAGGAAAATCTAGCTCAATAAATAACCCAGATTGGACCTGTATCGCTGTGGGTTTTAGCTCAGGATTACTTCGTTTCTATACTGAGACTGGATCTTTATTACTTGAAGAACAATTACACAATGAAAGTATTTTGGGAATTAAATTTCAATCATTTTCTTCGCCAAAACACGTCGGAGATACAGGATTAGCAGAAGAGTTTTATGTTATCTATGAGAAATGTCTTTGCATTTTCCCTGGATTTCCTTTATTTTCAACTCTACGAGCCTATCGCAATCATTTAGCTCGAGTCCAAGCCAACTGTAATGATCATCCACCAACATCAACTCTAACTTTCAAAAAGCTAGGCTTCAAAGACCAGGATGTCTTAAATGATGCCGAAGTGATTGGCTCCACATCAGTAAATACTTTTGATCATCTTTTAACAGCTTCTATATGTGGAGGATTTAGTGCTGCTTATCGATCTAGTGCTCCAGCACATAATTTAGTCATGGCAACTGGTAAAAGACCATACATTGGTTTCCATTTTGCTTTGGAAGGAGGCACAGCACCTGTTTTTTCAGATGTAGCAATAGCAATGGCTAGTTCATTAGCTAGTGCTATTGGAAAAATTGGTACAGCTGTGCCTTGGTTCCGTAATACGAAGTCAGAAAAGCCAAAAGGTCCTGTTCATGAGGTTCCTGAACCTATGACCTGTAGATTTGGGCTCAGCGATATTATGCGGGAAGGGGATTCTTTGATCATTAGTCCAAATAAAACATTGTCTGTCATCACAGATACTCTTGGGAGAGTTATTTTAGTCAACAATCGTAAAGGATTGGCTGTGAGGATGTGGAAAGGCTACCGTGATGCTCAGTGTGGTTGGATTGAAGTCTCTGAGGAGCAACATAAATCGCAATCCAACTTCAAAAGCTTTAGAACACTGAGATCAGCTTTGTTTCTGGTGATCTATGCACCTAAAAAGGGTGTCATTGATATATGGGGTATCCAAACTGGCGGTAAAATTACCACTTTCTCTGCTAGTAAAACTGGAAAATTACTCTACGTAAGTCATGGATTGGGTGGATTAAATGACGTAACACCTTCATTTCCAATTAAAGCACAGCATTCGTGTGTATTTTTTGATCCTCTAGGTGGACTAAAAGAAATTCTGGTTCCTTTTCATTTCTCTTTAAGCAGTGAAAATGGTAAAAGAGCTCGAGATGTTCATTTATTTAAAAAACTTAAAACATTTATTAGAGAAGAAGAATTTGATGATGAAAAATTAATCAAAGAAGTGGAAAATGTCTGCTCTGAGTTAAAAACTAATGAAATAAAATTACAAATTTTAGAGATGTTGAGAAGTAGTAAACATTCTTTTCCTGATGTGATTATCAAAGCTACGGGAATATTTCTTAAGAATTTAAAGCTTTTGGATGACTCTGAGATGAATCCAACAGGAAAGTTATTGATGCAGATTTCAGACCAGGTCAGAAAAGCTGTTAAATTTTATCAACATCTTAAACCACGATTTGATCAACCTCCAGAGTATATCACAATAGCAGAGGATTCTATTCCTGATGTCAAGCAGCTTTCAGATATTCTCTTAACGTCAGAACGTGAAATAGAACGTATTGTAAAGCTTTTTGATCATTCTAATCAATCGAAAAAAATTAAACAAGCCAAAGTGACATTCAAAAGTGACCGGGGATTATTTTTAGACTTCATTTCATGTTTGGAGTTTGGAACTGCTGAGAAAATGAGTTTAAAAAAGAATTTGGATGACAGTAAAAAATACACAATAGCTTCATTGATCTTTCAAGGGTGGATGTATTCCAAAGAAGATATTGAAGTTTGGGAAGACGCAGCAAAACAAAGTGGTATCAGAGCTAAGACATTCCTGGAACTGGCATTGACTTTCTGGCTCAACAAACTATCTGAGGTGCCTATTGAAGTAGAATTAATTCGATTTACTCACCTGTTGCATTCAATATGTGCACTAGCAGACGTTGATGAAATTTGTGTTGACTACAGTCAAGTTTCTTCATGGTGGAATGACGCAAGAATTATTCTAATGAATTCCAATGTTCCTCTTCAAGCGTGTACTGCTGCACTGGCATGTAGGAGTGTTGCGGTGACGTTACAAAAAATGAAAGATCTTAAAGACCAAAAATTAATTCAATCCGATGAATTTTCTGAACAGGATAATAATGGGAATTCACTGAAAAAGCGTGTTGAAGTTGATAATAAACCTAAAGCTAATGAATCTCAAGGATCTCCAACTGGAGAATGGGAAAGTGTTAGTAAAGATGTTTGTCAATTTTCATTAATCATTGGAAACCTTGAAGACATTGCTAATTTATATTCTATTATTTCTGAACCACCTGCTCATGATGATTCAATGACATTTTTAAAACTGCCGTCAGAGAAGATAGATATCTCGTTATCAGATATAATTTCTAAAGGCAAAGGTGCTGTTTCTGAAATAGTTGCTTGTTGGTTAGCAACTTCTGGAATAGATCCAAGTAAATTAATTGATACTCGAGATAGAGAGTTTGATTCAATGTCTAAACAAGTTCAAGATGAAACTCAAGATAGTGTTGAAAAAGCTCAAGACCATCAAAAAGAAGAATCTAATTCTGATCTAAATGATTGTGATGCTACTAGTGATGTTTTAGATAAGATAAAAATATTGAAAAAACATTTCCCGTATAGCTTGAGTTCTAGTGTTATTTTAGCAAATCTTGCATGGGAATACGTCATGTTTTGGAGTAAAGATATCAGTAGTTTAGCAGTTTTAGAAGCTGCATTAGTGATTCTGAAACAAATTCCTATGAAAATGATGCGTCAAGGGGTTTGTTGTTTACTGTGGACTATTCATATTAATAAAAAAATGGAAGCCGCTGCTAAGTTGATCAATAAAATAGGAAAATTGCCGAAAGAAAGACTCTGCTGTCAAGAGATCGGACTGTCTGATATTCAAACAACTGAATTTCTACGACAGTGTGTTTTATTTCTAGATATTTTTCTCGATGCTGAAGTGCTGGAAGAGGATATAAATGTTAAGATTAAAAGTGAAGAACTTTGGGAAGGTTTTCCTGCTGGGCCTCAAGCCTTTGCTGCTACAGCTGTTGAACAAACTCCTGCTGGATTTGATCTTGTTATGCTTCATCTTCAGTTGGCTTATGTTCTTCACATGATGGCGCATTTTAGTCTTAAATCACCAAAACCTATGACCAATCTTTTTGAATCAGTTGTAAGTAACTTGATGCTTTAGAGTTCTCGTTGTTATTTTTTTTCCTCCTTAATAATTAACTTTGATGTCTTTGTTTTTTTTTCTAGACAAGTCGATATTTTTTCTCCGACATTTCGAATAAAGTAATTATTCCTTGGTATCATGATGATAAACAAGATGAAAGAAGATCAGATTTTCTTTGTCGAGTAATTACAGCATCAATGGAGTCAATTCATCAAGAGACTATTGAAGGTAATCTTAGTTGTCCGCAAACAGTTGAATGGATGGGTAAATGTCAGACACTTTCATCTATTTGGAAAATCAATAATGATAAGCTAAGAATTCATCAAGTTTGTCAACTTTATATCAATGGATTTGATCGACTTGCAGAAGAGGTATAATTTAATTATTCATTTATATGTTATTTTTGCATTTTAAGACACTTCGAGAGGAAAAATATAGATATATAAAAGTATATGGACCAATACGCATTAGTTGTCGGTAAATAAATAGATAAAAATCGGAAATACCTATAGAAAAATATTCGTGCAATAACGATTTATGGAATGAAATCAGATGAAAACGATTCGTTGAAGAATAAAGAAAATATGTGAGATTCAGAATCTACATCGATTTAATAGATTGTTTTTCATATTTTTAACTCTTATATTCATTTTACATGTGGCCGACCAAAAATGACGTTTAACTGTGTTCTAGTCTCGGTTGTGAACTAAACATAAATAAATCAGTCATGCATTTCCAACAAAAAATTATGTCATGAGTCAATCTTCAGATAAATGGAGACATAATTAATTTTACGATATTTTACATTCAAATTCAACTTAGATACCTTATTTTTACGACGTAATACTTAATATCTAATTTTTTTATATTTATTTTTCAACTGTTTCTCTTCATCAATTTTATTGTAATATTTGCAAAAATGAGATTATCAAAATAATTTCTCACTATTACTTTGTTTTATTAATAATTTTTTTTAATTAATAAATAGATACATAAATACAGCAGGAGGATACCTTTAAATTATTTATTCATTTTTGACTATTGCTTTTTAACCACTTATTCTTTTTTTTCAGGTCATGACAGCTGTCAACGACACAGAAATACTTGCAGAAAATTTATTATCCATTGCTGGAAGGAGAATGATGGTATTTTTATCAAAAACACCTGATTTATTAGAAGAAGTATCGAGAATTAGTCCTGCACTAACTCAATACCTAGAAAATTTGGTAATTATTAAAAAAAAATCATATTACCTTATCTCTAATATTTTTGTTTTTATTATTATAAAAATTAATTATCAACATTTTATTTCAGAATACACGTAGTGTACTTATAACAAACTGTTCAAATGAAAATAATATAGAATTAATAAAAAAGGTATCAAGAGTTCTCCCAGAAACTCATAGTGACTATCACATCGCTCAATTGATGTTAGATGCAATATTTATTTATGAAGGTGCGTAAAATGACTTAGGTGTGAGATCGAGTGTGATATATTGTTCAATGAATATTAATTTAAAAAAAATTTAACGTCGTTAAATGAATATTTTTATTGAATAAAAAAAAATTATTAAAATGGATTGTAAATAAAATAATATCATTAAAATATAATTAAAATACTGTCTTTAATAACTTATTAAATAGTTACAAATAGTATATATATTTCGATATACAATAAATTAAAGCATTATTCGTTTTTTTTTAAAATAAGTAAATAAATATTATTATATGATGAATTACTTTACTTGGTGAAGTAAACAAAATAAAATAAAATATTATTTTTATTATTAAATATCTCGAGTTTTCTTAATATCCATCCATCTACAATGATATGGTATTAAGGCTATTCGTCGGATAAATAATCGTTTGAGCGAATTTTTGAAATTTATGTTACATTTAACATAGTCAATATTAATTATTAATCATATAAACATAGCCAGTATATATTTGTTTTTGAAGTTTAATTAAAAATAACGGTCCATGTTGCTGAATTTTATTTACTAGTATATCCTAAAAAAATTGTTTAAAAATTTTTCATTGTATTTTTTAAACTTTAAGATGATTTTTTCAAATGAAAACGAAGACCATTATTGATTAAATAGTATCAAATATTACGTAATAATATCAAATTATTAAATGAAATTAATCAAAACCTTATTGAAAAATCGGGGTACGACGTTCGGCGAATTATTTCTTGATTTGTAAATTCTGTATGATGGATTTGACAACCAGGACTTCCAACAGTTGTTAACCAATGTGCCCTATAAGCAAAATAATATCTAGAAGCTAATTATGTATTCACTAGCTTATTAAAATTTAATTAATCTAAAATAACTTTTATAATCAATTATTTATAGTTAAAGTTAGAATAGGAAGTAGAGAAATTAACAACACTCTTTGGAAATAGTTTTTCATGTTTTTCTCTAAAACTAATTCAGATATCGAAAAAAAGTTATAGAGGAGAAAAAAGTACACAAAAAGCATCGATATGCTTTTTTTATATTTATGATAGATAGCGAATAAATCATGATGAAAGTATTCATTTTTAAGTAACATAGTCAACAAATCATGATAAATCTTAAAGTTTATAATTTATTTATTAATTAAAAATATTTTCTTTAATTATAATCTACTTACAGTGCCCTACAAAAGTTAATGAAAATATTGAGGTAAAAATTGTCAAATACTTTCTTTTTGTTACTTATGGGATATTCTAGAGCACAGTGAGTTGAAGTGTAATCTGTGTTATTTATGTCGAATGGAAATGTATTATCGACGACAGTTAACAATGTAAATAATTTCATCTTATAAGTACCGCGTAATTAACGCTTTTTTTTTCTTTTTTTCATCACAAGTTGTTTGATGCTATGCGTATACTACACCACTTGTACACAAGAAAGTGAATACTCGATAAAATTAGCAACTAATCAGAACGACTTAATGTATTTTCGATCACCTGTTGTCACGTGATGCTATTAAAAAGCCAAAATAAAAATGATAATCAATGATTTCAATTCATTCAATGTAATCAAAAAATGTATTTATTCCATTTAAATATCATCAAATTTATTCATTTAATCTTTTAATAATTTAATTTTAAAAAAAGGTTTCCTAAAAATCATTAAATGCCTTATTTATTATTGTAAACAAGTAAGATAACGTCTTACACAATAATTGCCAATTTAGTAATCAAAGTATCTCATTATCCCGCCAATTTCTTGACTAAAATAGTTTCAAGATCACCGTCATCATCAGTTTCCGTTTACTTCCGTTTGATAAAACGCCAAAATATTCTTAATCCATAACAATATAACATATAAATAATATTAAAATAATAATAAATTGTTATCTAACTTATATTAATTGAAAAAAAAAAAAGAAAAAACATTTCACTAAAAGACAAAAAAATGACGATGGTGAAAAAAAGAAATTCTTATGAGACATTTTAATGCATTTATCGGTTGAATAGGTCATTATTTAATTAAATTTTTCTGACGTCCATTCGTCATTTTAGGGCCGAGGTCATGTTTCTCGAGCAAACTAATACAAATGCTTAGTGTAATGACACAAGATAATGTCAAACAGTGACACAAGACGATGATGATTGCATCCATTTCTCAGTATTAACTGTTATATTGTATCAAAAATATTATATTTATTACACATACCATTCATTTTATTACTTACATTTGATCAACATATGGCTTAGGTCCTTGCATTTTGCCCATAATTGTCCCTTTTTTGGTATTTTTCACCCAACCAACAATACCTAGTGATCTGCAGAGGTCACGTGTGTATTTTGTGAAGTAGCATCCTAAAGAATACAGTTAGAATTAATTAATTAATTTTTATTGTTTCTAAAAAAAAAAGATAAATATTTTGATTAATAATAACAATTTAAAAGCAACAATAAATACTCTAGACAATTTTTGTTGGTCAATAAACAACAAGTATATAAAAAACTATATCATAATAATTATTTAAAAATAATAATTGTTGAGTAAATAATAATAAGTTTATTACCTTGGACCTTTCCAAAGACCTCAAATTCCACTGATGAAAGAGGGGCGTCTTTAATAGGATCATCAGTTGCCATAATTTGTAAAATGTTACCGGTTGTGGAGTATTTACTACCACAATGCAATTTATCGTACAAAAATCGATTAATGGTGATAAAATAAATCGAACTTATCGATTGAAATGATTATTTAAATAATGTTTTACAACTTTAAGTGTTAGTTATCGACAGAATTAAAGGTTAATTTAGTAAACAAATCAAATTTTAATAAATAATTTAGTATCTTTCAAAAAGTAATCGTAAGTGTGAGGCTTCTCTTACGTCGATGCGAACTGATTTCTCTCTTGTGCGATCTTCAAGATGCCTCAAATAGACTCCCCACTTGTAGTTAGACAGGGCCAACGGGCCATTGGCAATCGATTACCAATCAATTCTTCATCTAATATTCATTCTTCATTTTTAAACTACAATAAAAGTTATTCTATTATCAATATTATCTGTAACTAATTATTAAAATATATTTTTTTATTATTTATACAATTTATTTTAGTTTAAAATGAATGAATAATGGTGATAGTTTTTTAAGCCTCCAAAAGGTTTTATGTTAAATAGTGAATGTAGGCCAGGAGGTCAAACTCATTTTCATCAAGAGCTGGCAATGTACAATGAGGAAAATTGATCTTTTGTAAAGTAATCGACTAAAACTGATCATAATAAAAAGCAAAGAAAGTTGTTATATATTCTTTTTAAATATTGGAATCATCAGAATAATGTTGTTGTTGAATTTTAACATTAATTTAATTATTTATTCAATCAAAACATAGTTGATTTCATAGGGTTTAAATCAATTTTCGATTTAAAAGTATGAAAAAGATGTTTGCATAGTTGGTTCAGTTATTGAAAGGACATTGACTTAGATTATTAATTCTAATGTTAAAAAAAATAATACAAAACTTATTTTACTTACTACTGTTGAATATCTATTGAGATGACTCAAACTTTATTAAAACATGATGCCAATGTTAATGTTTTAGATAAAAATAATCAACCTACCCTTGAAACGGGTATCAAGCACATATTTACATGTCGACATAAACAACTTAACAATTGTAATTAGTATGTTAGTTATATTTACTTGAATAGTATAAAGAATTATGAAGAAATAACAACGATGAAGAGGATTTTTACAATTGATATCCATAAACTACTCCAAGAGAAAAGTGAGCAAAAAATTGAAAAAAAAAATATATATATATATATAACATTGATAGAATAAGCTCTTTAACGCATCTCTGCTCAAAGTTAAATTTTGCTCCCTCAGCTCGCAAAGCGACGTATTCTATCGCGCATAAATAGACAAAAAATCGTGTATGCGCATGTCCAGAAGAGTGTTGTCTTCCTGTACTAAAGAGAAGACGTTACTTTTCCAACTTCAAAACAGAAATACTACATTTCGTATCAAGAGTGTAAAATATAGCATTTTTTCCACGGGAAAAATTTTTAATGAAAACTTGCGGATAGAAGTACTGTATGTTTATTTCTATGGTGTAAGTACTTCTTTCTGTCATATCTAATCTAACATAAATGGGCATTTACAGACAGACCTTTTTATACCTGTTAGCCGAACTTTTATATGGGCAAACGTATATCTGTCAGCTGAAACTTTCTCTGGATATTACACTCACAGTTGGACTTCTACATCAGTTCCTCTTCTCTAATGTTAGACTACACTGCTTCTAAACGGGGCGTAAAATCAAAGTTTATGTGGGGATATGAAAAAAATGACATATCCATTTTCAACGTAGATTTATTACCAATAATAGAGTTGAACATGTTTTCAAGTGTGTTAAAAGTGACTACAATTTTAATCAAATGGGTGACATCATTTGTGTATACTTTAGCTGTGTTAGTGAATTTTACATCAATAAAAGCTATTAGTAAAATTTTGATTGATGACATTTTCTGTATAAATAGACTCTAAGAAACGAAACTCCAATACAGGCTAATAAAGTTTGCGAAAAATTTTCAGGTAAAATGCTTGGTAACAATTGTTTGTTCACGATTACACATAAATATACAGATTTTAACATTCAAGATTTGAATGTATGTAAATAAATGTTCTCTAATAAAGAATAACAAATAGTTGTGTATAATAAATTACTGAAATTGTTGTAATATTACTGAAATGCTTATTGAAAATTTGGTATGATATAATTTTACTCGATAGATTTAAAAATTTTTATTAAATTCAGTGAGGGCCAAAGTCTGTAAATAAAGAAAAGACAGTAATCAGTCTGCTTACCTGACATAATGAGGGTTCTGATAAGTGATACGTACATATTGTATTAGTCGAAGGAAATGTTGTTTATTGCACGTCAGAAATCTTGAAGGTATAAAGAAAGTTGGAATAGTACATGAAGCGATCAACGAAGCACGTAAAGTTCAGGAGCGAAAACTTTTATATTTTTTTATTATGAATATCTTTTAGTGGTGTTTATATAACGTTAAGTGAATTTAATTATCAATTATTATTTATTGGTAATAACGAAATATTCACAATATTGTGCGAAAACGAAGAAATAATTGATAAATAAAGTCAGATTGTGAACAAAACAATAGTGATCTCGATCTTAACAGAGAAATGGAGAGAAGGAATGGAGCTGGACCTCAAAAACTGCAATGTATTGATGATGATAATAGACTACTCAGTCTTGTAATTCAGAAGAACAGGATAGTGTCAGTGTTATTACCTGTAGGAAGAGAAACTTTTCTTGAAAAAAATTTTCATTTATATCTGAGTGAGCTTGTTGGAAAAAAGATGCCAAAGTATCAGAGATCATAATTGATAATAGAACACAATATAATCCATCAATTAATTTGACAACTTATCTCAATGCTGCTATTTTGAACAATAATCCAAATATGATTGAAGCTGTTATACTACATTGTGGATTTTCAAAACCATCTGATCTGTATGTTCCTAGAGATTTAGTGATAGATTCTAGTCCATCGTCTGAAAACTGTGTAGAGTTATTGTTAAAATGGAATTTTACTCTTCACCCAGACAGTCAATATGATAAAGATCTTGTTTGTCAAGTGATAAAAAGAGGTTGTTCGGAAATTGTTTAACAACTTTTTGATTTAGGAATAGATGTCGATACCATTGATGCAGATTCAGAACTCAATATTTTGACAATAGCTTGTTTAAATCAACATCATGACATTATTGAAAATCTATTAAAACGTAATGTAAAAATGAATACAATAATATCCAAAAAATCATCATTCACGAGCATGATATTATTCGTGGTTAAAAATTGATAAAAAAATTCAATTGAATTATTTAACATGTTTACACATTGCAGTTTTTAATTCTGGTCTGAAGATGACAGAACTTTTATTTAAATACGGCACAGAGATAGTAGATGATCGAAATTTTTTTAGAATAATTGATTTTGCTATCTTGTATAATAATGAGGAAATTATTCGTTTGTAGCTGAATCATGATGTTAATTTAAACCAAATCATTCTTCAGGGAAAAAATATTGTATATTGGAGTATTAATTCTCTTTCATGTAAATCCGATTCACAATACAACATAAAGTGATTTTAGAAAAAAGAGTACATGAATATCTTCACATTCCAGGCAATAAATTTTTTTTCAAAGCAATAACAAATGGACATCGTAAAGTAGCACAGCGTTTCTTAGATTATAATCCTGATATTCAATATGTTAGCAGTCAAAATGGTTATATATTACTTCATTATGCTATAATATATCATTTTGATACGAAATTAATAAAATCTTTGCCAAAACTTCGTCCACCGATTAATGCAGCAGATTTTGATGGACGTACACCACTTCATTTTGCTTGCAATACACAATCAAATAATAAATCGGAGATCATTTAATTACTCTTAGAAAACAATGCTGATGTAAATTATCCTGATAATTCTTTCATGACACCTTTACTTTACATGCAGAGAAATGTATAGTAAAAATTACCCTGGATTTTAAAGTAATTTGGTGATACTGCAGAATGAAGGTAAAAATTACTATACATATTATAAAAATTACTGTGCACATTGTAAAAATTACTTTTAGGTAATTTAAGATAAAATTAGAGTAAAAATTACTATGCAGTTTAGTAATTTTTATAATATGTATAGTAATTTTTACCCTCACCCTGCAGTATCACCAAATTACTATAAAATTCAAGGTAATTTTTACTATACATTTCTCTGCGTGTATGCTTGTAAAGTGGGTGATGCAATATTTGTTATAATGTTCCTTGATATGGGTGCTAATCCTAATACTAAAAATAAATATGGTGAAACACCTCTTTATATCATTAAGAATTAATAGTGCAACTTCGAATGTAATACCATTGTTGTTGGATTATAATTCTGATATTAAAGCATTAGATGTGAACCGTCGCACTCCACTTTTCCAAGCCCGTCTAGCCAACAATTGTAAAGGAATGAGATATCTATTGGATAACAATGCTAATGTTTATCATATTGATAGAATAAATTTAACTCATTTGCTTTTTGATGTGCGAACTTTCGGTTATAATTTTGAAGTTATTGAAATACTATTGGAACGCAATGCGAATGTTTTTTGTCGTGACATGGAAAGGAATTCAGTAATTCATCTTCTTGTTGAAAAAGAAAATAAAAACTTGTTAAGGTAGTTCTTTCGCTCCGGGCCGTATCAAAAAATGAGTATAGGCCCTCGAAAATATAATTTCTATTTTTTACCAAGTATTCCAATAAATAGCTGTAAATCTAGTAAATTATTCTGAAGACTTTCTTGAATGATAATAAAAAAATTAAAAACATTAATATTGTTGTGTTTATAATATTTTTTTATTGGAGGGTTCCGGATTAAATTTTATATCTTCCTGATACAATACATGATACCGCGCCATGTACATACACGCACACACTACTAAACATAAGTTAATAGTGAGATCGTGACAACGTTGCATTTTATATTAATATAAAATATAATACTTCAAGCTGAATATAGTATTAGTTATTAAGTTACTTGTGAACTATGGAAAGAAAGCATTATCAGAGTATTATCTGAAAAAAATATGCGAAAGAAATTAATGATTACTAAAGATAAAAGAGTTTTAACTAAAATAATTCGTTGTTTGAGAAGTTAATTATAATATTATTTAGAAGTTTGTTATGAAAAGTATTTTTAAAAAATATAGATAAGAAACCAATGGTTACCAAAGGTAAAATACTTTTAATTAAAGTCATATGTTGTTTGAGAAATTAATTGTCTTATTATTTAAAAATTTATTCTAAAAAATATTTTCAAATAATAAAGAAAAATAACTAATAGTTACTAAAGATAAAAGAGTTCTAACTTAAATAATA